TCTGCCTAAGCACTGTCAAAAGCATGGTGTTCACAATTCATTTGAACGTCGCATACGTTGATATTACGAATGAATGCCTGGGTTGAGGGCCAGACTCATCGGGCTGCAAGGCTAATGCGGGTTAAGACGTGGGTTGGATTGTTTGTGTCCAAGAGCAGGTTCGTGGAACAATAGAAAACGCCGTTTTACTTTACAACCAATCTTGGTACCCATTAAAGTATATGTTGCGAAGAGCGATTTCCGAATTCATGCGCGTAATTTGTCTGCAGCGGTTCTTCGAACAAGGCGCTCCTTCCCCCAGACTCATTCCCATTCGTACCATTCTCTTCCGGTTGAAAGACAGGGACAACATTACTTTACTCGTCTACGCGCATTTATCAGTGCTGTCTTGCTCCGTAAGTATTTTGTGCCAACTAGTATTAGTAGTGCGTTGTTTTGTTTATATTTTTATTTTTGCTGTCCTTTTGTTGTCTAAATATCAGTGGTCAGCATAGAATGAAAAGAAGCTGTAGCGCTGCAACAGACAGTATCGCTAAAGAGCATTCAGTCAGCACAAATACGCATAACAAATACGATATGCTGGACTGGAGCCTTGAAGCATGTGCAAAAATAACAATAGAGGCGGGCATGGTGGAACGGGGCCATGTTTCTGGAGCCGCGTTGATGAAAACAAACTGATCCCGGAGGAGTGGGATAACTTTGCTGTACAGTATATTTCCTATTGGGGTCCTAAAAATTTTTTGGATGGGGGAACTGTGCCAGTATCCCAAATTCGAAAGAAATACTTGGGGGATATTACTCTGGATTCCTCCTAGTGTAGTATTAGGATCCCAATACAATGCACTCACTTTTTTCTACTGTCTGTAGGTCTGTAGAATAAAAAAAAAAAAAAAAAAAAAAGGCTGGCTGCACCATCTCATCTCCATTCTCATGTCGCATGTTGCACGTCTTAATGGTCATAATGGCAAGCTTTTTTTATTCACTTTCTATCTCTCTACGTCAAGTGTTTTCACGTACCGGTTCATAGACATCGTTTGGAGCTGCTCTTCTACTGATTGTAGAGCTGCTTCAACCCTCAACTCCAATGTGGACCCAGGCATCCGCAAGGAGGTTTTCAACACCGAGCGGATCAGACGCCTCTTGTAGTAGAATTGCTTTGACCGCGTGTTAGCTTTCTGGTCGCTCCCCTTCCGCCACTTGGACTTGTAGTGCTTGTTGAGTTGCCAAAGTGATGGTTGCCCATTCAGTCCAAAGAACCACTCCTTCCATTGGTCTCGAAGAGGATCGTCGCGTCCAAGCATGATGTGGTCAGCAATAAAAGGTGGTTGATATCTAGGGTACGCCAGCGCTTCTTCCATTTGGTCCATTTGGTCCTCTATGTCATGCTCTTCAGGCTGTGGTTGATGCTCTGGCGGTTGAAGCGCCTGTTCCTGGTCCGGTAGATGCAAGGTGGCTTCCTGATGGATTTCCGATTGCTGTTCCTGCTCATCTTCTTGTTCCACCACCGCTTGCTCCTGCTCCGCCGCTGTTTCTTGTTCTTCACCCGGCAGTTGTCGTTCTACTTGAGAACGTTGAACACGAACATGCGGCTGGAGCGTATGCAATAGCTGATGTCCTTGGGGCTGAATTAGCTGTTGCGTTTTCTCTATAAGCTGGATGTACAGCTCTTGCGCTTGCGCTAGTTGCGGGCTGGGTCCCAGATTTCGGAGTAGCTGCAACCCCTGCATTTGATCCTGTTGAAGTTGTCGTAAGCCATTCAAGTTCTGTTGACTCTGTGGTTGACGCCCTTGATCTGCTCCCTGCTGCTCCCTCTGAGATAAATTGGTTATCGCTTGAGTGAGGCCAGATGATATGTCGAAGGCAAAGCTGACGAGAGCGCTGAATCGATCGTCGATTCGAGCCTTAATGGTGGAGGTAGCCTCCATGAGGTCTTCTCTCTGCTCGTTTCTTACAGCAGATGTGGTCTTGAGGAGCTCGTTGAGTACGCGGTTATTCTGCTCATCTCGCATGTGCAGCGAGCGGAATTCGTGGTTGATGGCTGGAGCGTTTGCGGCAAGGCTGTCCGATACCGGGGAGCGTGTAGTTTCTATGCTGTGAAGTAAGCGTTCCTGGAACCTCAAGAATAGAGTGCTGCCAAATAAACGATCTCTGAAGATGTGGTGCTCGCCGTAACGAAATTCGGAAGTTCGAAGATTGATGAGAACCGCAGCGTCTTGAAGAAGGACTTTGCGCAGATGTGTCAATAGAAGAAGGATGCGCAGCTTGGGGATGTCCTGGCTCAGAATTTTCATCCTGGTGTTGGAAGGCCGATCCTCGAATATATCGCGATCCATCATGATATTGGAAGTCCATACGAGCCAATCCTCGGAATCCGTGAAGTAGTGTTCGATAAATGGGAAGACTTGTCGCTGAAGGTCAATAGGCGGGATGAGAGTATTTCGCGCGAGCCATAGACGCTCCCCTGGCAATGTGCACCCGGCCATTTTCAGAGCCACCTGCGCAGAATGTCGGTCCAGATAATGTGTCGCCACGCGATCAACGCTCCAGTGTCCAGCTTGCGCAATTGAGGCGATGTCCGCCCCGGCCGCGAGAGCATGGCGCGCTCCAGAACCTCGATGCGCATGAGTGGGCTTGTTCGTTGGGTTGGCCGATTTATTCCACATTGTGGCGGCATGCCTGTACTGTGCACTGTGTGACAACTGCTTCAACGGATCCCCTCCTGCATATAGGATGAAGATCTCGCTCCAGGAGTGTTCGTTGAAATCCGGAGGGCTTCTTGGATGCTACAAAGGAAGAAATGAAAAGGCGATTGTTATGAGCGCGAAAAAAAAAAAAAAATTAAAAAAAATTAAAAAAAAAAATTAAAAAAAAAAATTAAGGAAAAAAATTAAAAAAAATAGAGGAATAGAGGAGAGAGATCATACCATCCACAGTTCATAGAGGTAGAGTACGAAGGCACCGACGGGGCAGACCTCAACATCCTTGCTTCGCACTATAACTCCTTTATTCTCCTTGCCCTCGCGGTTCGTTTTCCCTCGTAGCATCGAAAGAGAGATACCAACAACACTTTGTCCTCCAGAGTTTCCTTGATTGACGGTGTGAGTGGCGAGGTCAGCCAATGTAGCCATCCTCATGTTTTCACCGCGCATTACCATATAGTGGGACCATACAGCGTTAAGCCGAGTGCGGAGGCCAACGACATCGTGCTTCCTTCCACCGCCTAGATGCCGGTACTTGTGGGTCCAAGCTGTCTTCATCGTCTGCCTCAACACCTCCAAGTCGTTTCCCTCGTCAAAGGTCAGATCGGTCGAGACCATAGATTTCTTCAGCGCGGCCACTCTTAGCTGATACTTCTTCATGAGCGTCCGGACATGAGCGGAGCGTGGGTGGGGCTCGTTTTGCATGGCCTTGTTTGAGGAGTCGGATTTCTGGCTGACATAAAGATCGATGGCGGCCTTGATATACGCATCCACCGTTTCGTAGGAAGGCAGGGGCAGGTTTGGATCGTACGCCAGCCGTTGCTGAGATCGGACCTTTGGGTTGGCGCGTAAAGGTTCGATACCTTTCATAGGGTCTGGCTCCTCAGCAACATTCTCAGCCATATATCGCTGAAACTTCTTGCAGTAAACGTTGATATCTGGGTATCCTTTTCGACGGCACCACTCCTGGAGAGATAGAAGTCAAGCATTAGGTCAGGTTCATTAGGTTTTACGCGTGCTTGTTGCGAGTATAAGGTATTAGAGGCAGTGCGAACCTCACACTTACCACCCAATGCCGCTGGTATCGTTCGTACATTGATACGGTCGATTTGGTCAAAAGTGCCTGGCGTTCTTGCTGGATCATAAGGTCGATTTCTTGTTCTGCCAGCGTGTTCATCATCATTCCTAATCTCTGTCCTGAAACCTGTCCATCCGCAAGCTCCATTTCTACTCCTGCCTCGGCCAGAGAGTTCTCCACAGCTCGTCGACGTTGTTCTCGCAGACCCTCCTGGACCTGGGATATTGTTTGCCGGCTTCGCGTGCGGGACGACAGGCTGGTCACCAATGTAGAGGAGGACGCCTCGCTGGAACCGCTGGAAAGCAAGGCCGAGGGCCGAGGATACATCTCACGGTGAACAGATTTCTCTAGAGCTCTTGGTGACAGGTGTTGCTGGGTTGCATGTTGTTGAGAGAATTGCGGTTGCATGGAAGGGCCATGACCCATGTCGACAACCTCATCACAGGAGGGAGTAATGAGGCCTTCGAAAAGAGTCTCGGGTACCATCTCTTGCTCCACCTCTTCCAGCTCCTCCAGCTCCTCTCCTCTGTCGGAACCGCCGACGGACAACGCTGCTATGCAGACATGTAGGCGAAAGGAGAGCGAACCGTTGAGCGCCAGTCTGCCATGGACGTGCTCCGTCTAGACGAATGTCGCGTCGATTGTCATTGAAGATGAGCGTGCATTTACCATTAGGAATTGGGTTTTGGGAAGAAGAGCCAGCTCGGCTGCTGGGGCCGTGGGTATATGGGGTGTGTGGGTGCTCCATTGCTGTAGACTTTGTCGAGAATGATGGTGGATGGAGTGGGTGGAGTGTCTGAGTGTGCCTGAGTGCGACGCGTTTGTTCAGTAAACAACATCTGGGTCCTGGTTTCCCAATCCTTATAGTGGTCTCTATTGTAAAGCACTAGGATTCAATTCAATTCGCACTGATTTAATGTAAATTAGGATCTTTTTTTGCAAAATATCGTCACAGTAGTCCAACAACATTGACTGCTGAGGCTCAAATGGAAAAAGAAAAGTGTCCGCCTCCGCCATGCTGGGTTAACTCCCCCTTCTTCTCCTTCTGCACTTTGTCACTGACAAAGAAATCGCTCAGCTCCTCCTCTCCTTTCCCTCATTCACTGGAAACAACTATTGCAAATAAGCCAATCTCTTTCTCTTGGCAGGGCACCGGCAGAATTAAAGGGAAAGCAAACCGCAGTACAAAGGACAACAACACTCACTGTTTTAGCATGCAGGCCCTGGACTACACCAATGCCCGCATCCTTGCACCCATGGTAGAAGATCTTGCCACCATACTGCTTATTCAGGAATGAACTTTACAGGACTGGGAATCGACAAACAGGGAATTATGCATTGACGCTTCCGCCACATGAACAAAAATAGGTCCGGATTGGCACACTGCCGATACGACTCATGGCGCTCGAATATGGAGCTGACTTGGTCTATACACCCGAGGTAGTTGACAAAGGCATCGTTGGAGCCGAGAGAGTTGTTAATGGTAAGTAGTAGAGTTGTTTTATGTTGTGTTGTTGTGTCTCATAGCTGGAGGGAAGTGAGATGCATTGACACCGAAGAGGGTCGTCGACTAACCGGTCCGACACAATCCTTGGCTTACATAGAGGACAATGGGACCATCGACTATCTTGTCAAGGGAGTTTCAGTTTTCAGGACACATCCGATCGAAAAATCTAAGCTTGTTTTTCAGATTGGATCTGCGAATGCAGATCTGGCGCTCGAGGCTGCCCTCACAGTGTATGTTCTTTATTTTGTCCGCATTGTATGTCCGAGACATGGCTGGTGGAGCACAGGAAAATGACCTACGAACAGGGGGACACGGCAACTGAATTTGGGTTCTTCGCTTCTTCTTTTTTTTTTTTTTTTTTTTTTTTTTAATCGTTAATATTGTTACAGGGCGCAGGATGTCTCGACGATTGATCTGAACTGCGGGTGTCCTAAACGGTTCTCGATCCATGGTGGAATGGGCGCAGCACTCATGGAGGAGCCCGAAAAGCTCTGTGGCGTAAGTCCTCTCCTTTCCTCTTTTACTGCAACAGGCGATATTTCATTATAACCAGTAAAAGAACAGCAGCACTTATAGTGTCAGCAAATCGATTTATCAACCATTCTCATACACCTTTATAGATCCTCCGCAAATTAGTCCAACATTCTGGCCTTCCAGTCACCTGCAAGATCCGTATCTTCCCCGACCGCGAAAAGACCCTGAAGCTCGTCAAAATGATCGAGGCCACAGGGATCAAGGCCCTGGCGGTCCACTGCCGGTACAGGGACGAACGGCCACGCGAGCCTGGCCATTGGGATCGGTTCCAGGAGATCGTTGAGGCGGTTTCAATCCCGGTGATTGCGAATGGGGATGTGGTTGAGTACAGTCAGCTGGGTAAGTTGCAGGAACTGGCGGGAGTGACTGCAGTGATGTATGCTAGGAAGGCGGAGGCGAATGTGTCGATCTTCCGGAAAGAGGGACCGTTGCCGTTGATGGATATTGTGCGACAGTATCTTCGCAAGGTGAGTAAAGCGCTTTTGCTGCAGATGCTGTTATTGCTTCTTTTTTTCTTTTTTCTTTTTGTGCGGATCAAACTTTCGGCGGTTGCAAAGACGGGCTACTAATGATGTTTTTCGTTATCTTTTTATGCCCGGTCATGGTTTGGTAGTGCATTACATTGCGCAATCACCATTCCAACACGAAATATGTGCTGATGCAGATGTTTGTTGAGGACACAAAGTCGCCTCATTACCGCCCACTTTGCGAGGCCAAGAGCTTCCGTGCGGTGGTCAAGGTCTTTGACATGGAAGCCGAGCTCGACGCATGGATCCAGTCACAGCAGGCTAAGGGCTATCCCACAGATCTGGACACCCCGCCCAGGAAAAGTGCAGATGAGAATAACAAACAGGCACAACAGCAGCAGTCTCGTGGGAAGCGGAAGTTGCAAGAATCACAGAATAACGGCACTGTTACGGAGGTGCAGAATGGTGAGCAGGAACCTGACCAGCCTGTGGGCAAAAAACATGCTGGAGATGGGTCTTCGTCTCAGCCCACACCCGCGGGCACGCCCCAGTCAGATGCCGATGTGGCAGAGACGACGGCGACGACGGAGAAGGTGAACAAGGATGAAGGGGAAAGTCTCTTACCGAGTGCAGACATAGAGCATGAGCAACCTACTGCCACGGCTCCTGTCTCCTCATCATAGCCTTTCCCATTTTTGTCGTTTTCCTATGCCCACCCATTAATATTAATTAAAAAAAAAAAAAAAAAAAAAAAAAATGCGCCCAGAGCTGAAGACTGACGTCTGTTTCATAATGAATGGTTCCATTCCTCATACGACAAGGAGGGGTCCGATCTCTGTATTCTGTGCTAGAATTGTACTTCGTGCGGTTCTACTATAAACGACTCTCCGTTCTCACGGACACTCTTCCGATCGACGTCTCTCTTCAGCGGTTTCCGCATATCTACCATACCACAAGCAAAAAATAAAATAAAATAAAATAAAGGGACAATTGGGTTAAAAACTTTTGCATCACAACCAACATCTTTTTTCTCCTCTCCCGTCTGTTATCTTCCTAACTCGCGAACACAACTTACCAAAGGCATCCTCGGTAGTCTCGCCATTATAATATCCCTTCACGGTCCGATAGATCGAATACCCCAATTGGGTATACATCTCAATCGCGACTTTATTCGACCGCCGCACAAAGAGATCAACGAAATAGCCATCATAAGGATATTCAGACACACGTTCCAGTAGTGCCATCATCCCCTGTGCGAGCCCCAGACGACGGTACTCGGGTGCTACTGTGATCGCAGTAACGTGTCCGTGCCAGTCTGTGCCGGTGCCTTCGGCCTTGCCCATCACGTAGGCCATCAGTGTGGAGGACGGGGTGCATTGGACCGAGAACAGGTCGGGCCAGCGCGCGAGATACGAGAGGTAGAAGGAGATGTTGTACTATGGCCAAAAATAAAAATAAAAATAAAAATAACAAAGCAGTTACAGAAGGAAGAGAAGGAGAGTGTTAGTCAGCACTGGATGTTGGACCTAAGCATATGCAGTGAGGTCGAGTAGCAATGAAGACAGCAAAAACGCGTACCGTCTCGGTCAACGAGTCCAGATTGCTGTTGTTGTTGTTGTTGTTGTTTATGAACAGGCGATATAGTATTGGTTTCCATGAAAAAAGGAGCTGTCAGTTTCCATGGTGGACTATTTCCCACACACACGCACGATCCAAGGAACGATTGAGACGAAGCGTCTTACATGGCGTTGAAGTTGAAGAGGTCCGTGGCCTTGAACTGTCGCAGGCTGCTCATCGTTGCTGGTTGGAAATATGAATGTGAACAAGAATGGGCATCACGCTTTGCCTCTGCGATGTGTCTGCTCTTCAAGTGCCATGAGAACCTAGTGTTCAACGGGTAAGCCACGATGCCCTCCTGCAAGGAACACCATATATTTCTGTGGACGTGCGCGCTCATGGCTTTACTAAAACTTTATTTCAGGCTTCACTTTAACCACAGCTCCTTCTCGCTTGATAGTCCATCTCGCTTGATGGTCCTCTCACTGCTTAGTCATACTTGGTAACATCATGCAGTCTCATAACCTCGTTCCAGTCCTTTCTTCTTCTCCTCTTGATCGAAAAGTAGCTGCCGGACAACTTGCCGAACCAACCACTGCTCGCCTTTCGTGTCCGGTTCTCGCGCACCAGATCCTCAGGATCCTCAGGCAGCTTCAGGTACTGCACCGCATAGTCGTGCACCCGCTCTGCCAACTCCTGTCGGCAGTCCCGCAGTGAGTAAATTGTGTCCTGCGTCAAAAACAGCAGGCGCAGCAGCGATAGCATCGATTTTGCATTGTGGATCAAGTCTTCGAGCCAGCGGATCGTACTACATGAAGACAGAATAGTAGGCGTTAGCACCACAGTTGACTAATAGATGGAGACATAAATATAATAATGTTGTCGATAAAATCCTTCGCTTACAGCCACATCAAGATGACAATGCCGGGGCCGCTGAACAGCGCAATCGGGAGGGTCACCAAGACCCAGAAGCCCCAGATCACTGGCAGGAAGAAGGACGCGATCATCAATTTGTACTGTGCAATCTCATCCAGGTTATCCTCCAGCGGCCCCTTTTTGCGAATCTTTCTCTCTTGGTACCTATGTTTCGATAATATCGAGCAATTGCACGGCAGTCAGGGCTTTGATAAAGACAGGATGATAAAATCATCATAAACGCAGTTGCATTCTAAAGAACATACTTGATTGCGATGAAGACGGGCGCCCAAAGGAAGAGTCCAGGGAGACAGATCGTGGACAATAGACAAGCCAGCAAGGATCGTTGAAACAGTTTTCCGAAAAGCACCCTCACTGAGGGTTTGCCCTGCTTGATGCGGTAGTCCTTGAGATGATAAAAGTCCAGTTGATCTTGGTATTCCTAAGTTGCACGAGAAGATTTAGGGAGTCAACACATTTGATCTTTAACATAACACGATATCGAATACCCAACACTCTATAAAAAATAAAAAAAGAATGCGCAGAAGCAAAACGTACTGCAAGATCCTTCGCCAGCTCATCAATCTTCTTGACAGTTTCCGCATCCATCTTGACCGGCTGCTTCATCTCTAATGAATCCCCGTTCTTATCCCCGATCGGTGATCCATCCTCCAGTTTTGCAGTTGCCGTCTCCTGCTTGTGCTGACTAAATGCCGAGACGAATTTCCTGGTCAGACGTACATACTGGCCCAGCGAGATCCTGGTTCCCAAATCACCTGCATACAGCTTCCGCGCCGTATGTCCAATTCGGACAGTCTCCCAGTCCTGAGCATCTAGCAAAGTCGATCTCACTGTGCTCTCCAATAGCTCAGTCAGTTTGCGGATCGCCTCTGTTTTCTCTTGCTTGTCCGCTGAGAAAAGTTTCGCGTCTTGCTGAGGTGTCAAGACAATCGGTGCATGGAACGTCACCACGACATCGGAACGGAACTTTTCACGGTGCAAGTAGTTGATCGACGTCGTCACCAACGTCAGAGAGAAGTCAGGCATGTCCTGGTACCTCGCAAGGGTCTATGAATGAAGGAGCACACGTAGGATACATAGAAAATGAGGGACGATTAAAAACTACTACGAATTCGGATGACAAATCATTTTGGTCGGATCATCAAACGACAAATGTCAACACAGCGTTCAACGTTCACGTACATCACTCGCGATCATGGCGACGCCGGCCTTGAAAGGCGCCAGCTGAGGATGGTACCGGGAAATGCCTTCGGGGAACATGCTATCCACGTCAACCACATCATAAACGTGTACATGTTAGATAAACAGCTCAATCGCAAGCCTAGCTTGAACCATCATGCGAAATCCCCCCACCATGTCTTTGTTTTGTCCAATAGTCGTGCACGACCCCCACATCTGCATAAACTTCTCACGTATTCTGTATGCACGTGCAAAAATAGCAATACACACGCGCCGATCGCTATGATTTCACAGCAGCAAAAGCACTGCGGAAACAATGAACTCTTCCCAAGAGCAACCCGTGTTGCTTCTGTCGCACTTACCATACACAGCTTCCAGTTCCCAGGCTATCGATCAAAGCGCCCATGGTTTCCGTGTTGTCAACTTTCTGGTTCTCATAGTCCTTTCGCCGCTTAATCGGAATCGTCCCAGCGCTCTTGATGACATAGCTACGAGGCGGACAATGAACCGGGCGAACAATGGAGCAAATGCAAAGAGACATGGCCGTTTAATTGTGATCCCTTTGTACTTTTCGCGCAAATCAACAGTCAGCCGTGAAGTCAAAATTAGCACATACTTGAAGACTCCAGGCTTGTGCCAGAAGGTGTCCTTGGCCGTCAAGCGGACCATACTCCGGATCTTGGGCGGGACTGTCGACAGAATTGCAATGGCATCCGTCAAACTGTTGCTATGATTCGCCACTAGCGTAAGAAGGGGAGGGGGGGAGAGGGGGGGAGGGGGAGAAGAGGAACATTTACACATGAAATCGTGTCAGTACTACATGGTCTTGCATTAACTTTGAATGACATAATGTAGAATCACCAACCATCCTGCACCTTGTTTCTCCGGACGTATCCGTTTCCACCACTACCACCGCCTCATACCCAAACAAGACAATAGATAGCTAGATAGCTTACCGAGGATAGCCGGGTAGTTATCCGGTGCAATATTCTCTGTCCCTTCAACTTCAACATTGCCATAGAACGAGTGGAGACAGATCTCGAAAAAGAATCGAATCGCCTTGTACATCGGCGGAGCCACATTCGACCCGGGACGATGCAGACCACCAGCAATGCTATCACTCGTACCCATGCTGACGGCTCCATTGGAAGTCTCATGGCCGCCATTGGTGTCGCCTTTGTGGTGGGGTGCATAGGCACCGCCTTTCGAAACCCTGATGCTGCTGCTGCTACGATGAGCCGTGACGTCTGCGTAGGTGCCGCTGACATGGTAAGGTGCATCGTCGCTGATACGATGGGCCGCAACGTCTGCGTGGGTGTTGCTGAAATGGTGAGACGGCTCACTGCTGGTACCATGGGCCGCGACATCTGCGTAGGTGCCACTGACATGGTGAGGCGGATCGCCGCTGGTGTGATGGGCCGCGACGTCTGCGTGGGTGCCGCTGAAATGGTGAGACGGCTCACTGCTGGTGCCATGGGCCGCAACATCTGCGTAGGTGCCACTGACATGGTGAGATGTATCGCTGCTGGTGCGATGGGCCACGACGCCTGCATAGGTATCGCTGTTGTGGTGAGACGAGTCGTTGCTGGTGCCATGGGCTGCGACGTTTGCATAAGTGCTAATGTGGGCAGCGTCCCCGAAATGGGGATTAGACCCGTCGGTACGTTCTGGAAGATCGACCATGAGGTACAGGGATATAGGTGGTAAGACGGTTGTAGAGAGAGAGAACAGAAAAGGTGAGGAGGACAGAAGGGAGCAGCGAATGGGTCTCAAGTTCTCAACTGAAAAAGGGCAAAGGACTGTTATGTCCAAATGCAGGACTTTTCTTCATGGATGTCAATACGCCATCACTCCATCACTCCATCTCTTTCTTCCCTCTCCCTCGCCCTTCTCTCGCAATCCCCACTCGAAGACTGACATCCTGACACTCTTCTGTCTCGCTGAGGGACAATCCATGTCAAGGGTCATCTCCTCAACGGACACAGTATACAGCCTCAAGAAGAGCATCAAGGCCAAGAAGGATGCCGGGTTCAGCAACGTGGATACGGCCGCGCTCACTATCTGGCTCGTTTCGATCCCTGTCCTCACTGCCGCCAAACACGATGTCACTCTACTTGACGCGCTGGATTCCGAGGCGTTCAGTGGTTGATTCGACCCCCGCGACGTATTGGCGCTGACTGCTCTTTTGCGGGCCTCCTCCAGATACAGTACGCTCCGCCCCTCCTCTCCCTCCCCCAGCGACTCAGATCAAACGTGTCCTAGGAAGGACTGAAGCACAAGCGTTGCCTGTTTTTGGTGTTTGAGAATGCGGGAAGGCTCGCTCCATGATTAAGGTGCTGTGTCCACAATGGGGATTCTACTTCAACGCGGCGGCGAATGGCCTTGGATCAGAAGACCTCTATCGCCTTGCCCAACTCAGCAATACGAAAACGTTGGAGGAACAAGGGCCACCGGCTAACAGTACTTTCGAAAGCACCATGGCCCTCTTACTCTTCCTTCCTCGGCTCTTGATCCTCCAGTTATTGTTTGTGGGCCTCTGACTGCTGACAGACGTTTTCAAGTGCAAGTTGGACCGTACTCTGGTCTGTCCACACAATGTTCAACAACTTCGCGCAAATCTTTCCGGAACACCATGTGGAGTCCCTCGGCAAGCTGGAAAGCGATAAACGAAGAGCAGAGGACCAGTAAGGTCGGGGTCTACTCAAGAGGGCGACATATTCTGCACATTGACCAAAATCTCGCATAGCTCCTAGCGGACCTAGCACAAAATAACTTCCATGAATCGATCCTTCATATCGAATTATTTTAAGGGTGACTGGCAAAGGAATACAGGGGGCCTTTGGAGAAATTCACGTTGTTAATTAACAACCCAGTTGTCTAGAATAAATGATTGCCTTCATTCTTGTTGCTATCCGCCTCTCCTGACACGAAATACATTATCTTGCAGCAACTGCAGTTTTTCGCTGCCCTAGTCTAGGTGGTTTATGAGAACAGTGATCAATCACTGTTAGATACGAATGAAATAATCGATGATCAGTGTGAACACTGCAATTTCCATAACATAGTGCATGAACATACAAACATTTTGGACGTAGATTTTGGAGTCTTAAAAGAAACATCATTCCTCATATCCTTGACCCCACTCCTTTCCTCATCCACTCCCTTATCAGCCCTCAAGCATTGTCGCATATTCTCAACGTGAGTCTTGAATGCTTCTGCGAATGGATACATGCACCAAACTTGGTCCTCATTAGCTGTCTACTTTGGCTTGGCCTTTATTGTACCAGATGGGAGTCACTGGGCTACCCAAAGCTATAAAAGACACCAAAGGAACGCTAGCTTATGATCTGCAGAACAAGAAAGTTCATGTCGATGTCTCAAGTCTGTACTTCGGATTCTTGCAAACAAGGACCTTCAAAGCGACGTTTAACAGAGTCGCCAAGGAAGCGAGAGCTGAGGCAAGGGCTACGACAACTACCAGCGCATCAGCGGCTTCTATCCTAACAGCAACGGCGACTTTTCTCGCAGTTCCCACAGCCCCCGCAGCCCCCGCAGCCCCCACAGCCCTCGCAGTCTCCACAGCCTCAGCAGCGCAAGGCGCGCTTTCTGCTGCAGACGCCAGCACTAGCAGGAGAAGCGGCATCAAGAAGCGCGCCCTGAGTTTCTCCGAGGCTCCATCCAAGCGAGGAAAGGCTTGCTCTAGCTATGCGAGCGAGGTACAGGCTGCCGGAGTGCAACATCCTGCACTGTTCATTGGCCCTAATGGACGATTGACACCAGACCGACCTGGAACAACAGAGCAGGTAATTAAATGTGCCAATGGTTTCGTATCAGCTTACGCAGCATAGCAACCAAGTGCTGACACATGTTCTGTTGCTTCGTCCCTCGCTCCCGCCTCATCTCTAGTCACAGAACTACGATTACATAGCGCATGATCTCAACAAAATCATGTCAAAGCACTTTAGCAAATCGACAACAGTTTTACACTTTGACGGAAAGGCCTCGATACAAAAGTCTCAAGAGCGACAAGATCGGGCCATATCCCTCAGCAACCGGATCAAGACTCTGGAGGTGCGAGTTGACAATGCCATAGGAGAAAACAGCGACTCTTTGGCCCCCCTGTATAAGCAATATCGAAACGCGTACAAGACATCCAAGGCAGCGCTGGCAGACATAAGAAATGGGCTGGAGATCTTGGAGTGGCACACCTGCGAATGTCCCTTCCAAGCAGACACGTATATTGCCGAGTTGTATCAAGCTGATAACAACAAAGACGACCTCGCAATCATTACCGCCGACAGTGATATGATGGTATATCAAGGTGTTAGAGAAATCACTGTACCCGTCGGAAAGTACCGAGAGCTTACCACGTACAAGAAGGCTGACCTGCTCGAGTCTCTGGACCTCGCCTGCGACCGTGAGCTGTTGCTGGCATCAATCGTTACTAAGGACGACTACTCCAAGGCACTCCCGTGGCACGGCTTCCAAAGAAACACCAAGATCATCCGAGAGACGAGGACCGAGACCGGAGCAGGCGATGAATCAACAATGGACGCGCCAGGATCCAAGACGACTGAAGCTGAGATTATCAAGGAGCTGATCCAAGAGTATTTGCAACGGGTGAGAGGAGGACAAAAAAAGGGTGTGGATGACTACACCCACGCCATTTCGGCTTTCGTTCAAGTGCGTGAGGACTACCTTGACTCCGCTACGCCATCGTGCACGACCCACGAGAGAATACCGGGCATACTCCAGAAGCTCGAGAAGTGCAAACTGCAAAGGAGAAATATGACTCGAGCCTTGCGGACAAATCCTCCAGCCGATACACTCACCAGCGACACTTCTGCAGGCTTGGCGTTTTCTTCCCTGTCCAGCACAGCCTGCAGACGCCTGGACAGCAGATGATTCTTCAGACCCGACGCCGTCGCCGCAGACACGAGAAAGGGAACGCCCAGCAACGGAGAAAGCGACGCCCCAAAGGCAAAACAAGACGTAAAAAAGCCCGGGAGGCAAAATGGAGACGAAGCAGGTATGATTGCCGTATGACTTTGTTGCGAGTTCAAATTCATTACGTCCTTTTACAGCTTTGTCGCTTTGATACAATCATATTATTGATTTTATTTTATTTTATTTTATTTTTGGGACTATCCCTTAGTACAAGAGCAGGAACGGCTCGTTATTCCCCTCGTGTTGTCGTGGACGTCAGCCAGTCATGCCCGGTTGACAAGGTCGCATTGAAAAAGATGTCCACCCCGAGGAACCGCGCCCGCGGAAGAAGAAGGGCGGAAGCATGGATGATAATCCTAAGGCCACGAGTGAAATCAAGACGAACCCCAAGAAGGACGAGGAAAATGATGAAAAGCGGAGAGGCGAGCCGGAGCTAACTTGACTAAGCACTTGTTCGGGGAGGCTTTCAAGACTACCACAATGACTGCAGGGTCGATCACAGGATGCCTGCACCGCGCCACGAAGCTGAGCGTAGCCCAGACCAAGATCGTCGCGGAACGCATCAATGAGGCGGTCCACATCATGAGCCAAACTCGTATTCTCGTGTTTAAAGCGCTTGAACTTTTTCTCTACAAGGAGGTCAGAGCCGCCACCATATCCAATTCAGATCAAGCGCGCTCAACACCAGACCAGAACTTGGGTATTGATGAAGCAAATGGATCAGGAATCCAGGAGGAAGTCCGCACTGCCACTGCATGCAACCCAGAACAAGCGCGCCCGGCACCAGAACATAATATGGACATTGATGTCAATCAAGCGAGTGTTCCGGAAGTCCAGCACAAGGAGGACAAGAATGCGGACCCACTTGATCTCATTCTGCACAAGGCATATGGAGAAACTATCACCAGAAATCTGATCTCTTTGATTCTGAATGGTCCAGTAGCGCCCCGCGGGAGACCACCTAAAGACTCAGTGGCAATTCAGGCGAAAACAATTGCGCGCTCGATTTATGACGATTTCCAGAGCGTTCTTTCATATTGCGCACTGACAAAGGACTGCCAAGATATACCCCTGAGTGTCATCCAGGCGGAACTGGCGGTGGAGGTCCGGACCGCGGTTCGGGAACATTTCCAGAGACTGCCCAAGTTCATCGTGGATAAGGTAACATTTCCACTGTCCGGAACAAGACATATCTCGCGTCGATTTGCTTTTCCACTGTGAACTTACGTTTATTTCTTGTTTCTATTAGCTGAAGCGTGCTCGTTTATTCACGGATGATATTCCTCCAGTTGAGGATGACGAGAGCTCCGACGGCGATAAACAGAAAGACGAGATGTCATTTAAGAAGGGGTACATCCAAACTTGGTGGAGGTACTTTCTCCGTATGCCGTCGGAGTTGCGTCCTATTTTCTGTTCAGTGTCGAAGTTGGGAGACTCTTTCATCTTGTGCTCTGAGGCTGCCATTCTTTCACTTCTTTGGGGCAATTCAAATTCAAAGACGCACCCTACGCGGCATATCATGGAATCTCAAGTCTGCTCTTCCGAGACGGCCCACGAACTTGCATCAGAGAAATATGGGGAGCTTTTCCGACTACTGTTTATCGGAGACAAGGTCGAGATCAAGGCGGATCCCCTCAAGAACCAGACTTCATATGGCAAGAAAACAACGACCATGAACCGATTGCTGAAGGACCATCCAAACACATACGGCCAAGCTGCACTCGATGGGTACATGAAGAGGGTCTTTGCAAATCACAAGGCTAGGAAGCAAGCAGCTGCCGAAGGCACGGAGTCCCCCGTGCCCCCCGACCTCCCAAGTAATGACAGCGTCAAGGAGCACTATGCCATCAGCAATATGATGAGAACAGACGGAGTTCAGCTCCACCTAATGGCATTTGACATACGACGACGTTGGCAGTCATCCAAATTAAGGCGCGGATCCCGGAGATTACATCGCGATTTCCTAACAAAGGATCTCTCGCAAAGGCTTTCGATCAAGGCCTCCAGAATGTTGTGGGGGTGAGGGTGGACCCCGGTGAAGTAATTTCAGCATCATTTTGTGCGCTGGACCCCCGAAAACCGAACCAAGTCACGAACCTGCCTATCAGACGCTCCGCTCTCTACAGTCCCAACTTGTCATTCAGAGCCGCGCTGGAGACCAAAAAACGCGAACGGGCCACTGTCACAATCAAAGACGATGCAGAATTGAGTGGGTACACATGCGGGACGCCTATCATATCGGAATTGGAAGCCTCGCTGCCGTCGTCGTCGTTCGTAAGCATGGAAGAACGCCGGCACGGCCTCCGACAGTTCAGCTATGTCCTACAACCATTTCGCGATTTTTACGGATCCCGTTCGATGAAAAAAAAGCTGTGGGAGCTCAAAAAGGCAAGCCGGGCAGAGAAGGATCATGCCGTGCATGGGACATTGCGAACTGTGGACCCACAAGGCGGGATGCATACTGGGCCAACGAGACCGGCGATGTTTGTATACGGGTCAGGAAACTTCAACACTCATACCAGGCTGGCATCGCTACACGAGAGTTTCAAGGGGTATGTTTTCCACAAGGTATTTTTTTGAAGATATTCGTTGCGATTTGCTTGTTTTCAGTCTAGTGTCGATACTGATGCCATGTTTCCGCATGCCATTGCACTACATAGGCAAACAGCCTCGGGTACACCGTCGTTTGTTCGGATGAGTATCTCACGTCATCGAAATGCCCAAGCTGTGTACGACAAATCAACGACCGAAGAATGGCAAAGCCAGCGAATCGGGCGTCCGTCTGTCTTGAGGATGGGTGCCAGAGATGGCTAGACAGGGACTGCGTGGGCGCTCAGAATTTGGCTAATATTGGCCTCGAATGGATCAGTAGCCTGTCTCGCCTAGAGCCCCTTCGCCGACCCAGCAAGAATAACTGTACTGGCCGTATCAGTTAAACTTTATCCTAGGTGGTTGTCTCTCTTTCCAGTTGAAACGGTCTAAGGGATAGTGTTTATTACGAGAGATGGTTCTTACCCGTGTGAATAGAACAGTAGTGTGGAGGATCAAAGGCGCGGCGTTGCGATAATAAAAAGTATAAAAATGTACAATGAAGATGTGTCGAATGTGGTAGCAGTACGGTGCTAGCTGGGCGATAAAGAGGGGTTTTGTTTGTTTGCTTGTTTGTTTTGCAAAAATGAATATATACAATGAATGAGGGATGATGGGAGACAGATGCGAGCTGGTTTTTTTTTTTTTTTTTTTTTTTTTTCAAAAAAAGTTGAATTTGCTGAGGCTACGAGAGTGGTGCAGCTTCCCAGGCTCGGTGCCGACGGATTTCGTGTACAGCTCCTCATCATCCAGAACATGTGTGTCTGTGATCACCCGGGAGATGAACGGGTCTGGCTGGATCCCATACGACTCCGTGTGGAAGTGCATCACGGTCGAAATGACCTCTGTGAGCAGACAAAACTTTTGCCAGTGAATGGTTCCGTCCTGGCGAAAGTCGCGGTTGCCCTCGCTGATCGACAGCAGATCGCCCAAATGAACGCCACTAATTTTAGAAAGAAAAAAAAAAGTTTAATGTTTGTTGCTTCGCCCAATACGAAAGATACATTTTGAACCTCTTTTCAGTCAAACTTACAGATATGGAATGCACGGCAACTTCTGTGCCTTGAGAGCCTGACGGTATTCATAAAAGCTGCGTTCAGAGCTCATAAGGTGCTCCAGTTCCTTGAACGTCGTCCAAACATCCTTTCCCTGCAACAATTCTCTGGTCTGAACCAGTCGATGGATCGAGGACGTATTCATCGCTCCGATGATCGCCATCGTTGTGTTGAAGTTGCCCATGCCGCGCAGGATCTAAGATGTATCAGACACAGCAGGGTTAATCTATTGATCTATCATGACCGACCGACCATCCCTTTCTTGGTCACATATTGATGTTATCCGAATGAGGCCGAGCCACTCACCCTGGCAATATTGATGAACTTCTCCATCATCTTGGCTCTGTTCTTGACTTTGGAGGGCGACAGGATCATAGTGCCGACCCACGATGAGATAAAGTTAAAATGAGCGATGCAAGCCTGGAACGAGGCCGATCCCTTGTTAGTCTTCCAAACTTGGCGCAGCATGTCTCTAGGCTAGAGGATTAAAAAAATAACAGAAAGCATCTCTTACACTTGTCAGTATACTTTCTGGCCATCTACGATCTCTGGTTCTCCCGCGCATGCATGCGAGCATTCATAGATATTCTCCCAACTCTTTTTTTTTTTTTTTTTTTTTTGGTTACCTTTAGCTTCCTAAACAGCCCAAACTCAACGCAAGTCAGCTGTGCAGCAATGGCCGCGTCCTTGATTTCAATAAACGGCGTGTTCATCGGCAAGTAATCGATTGGTGGAGGGACCGGACTTGACCTCCTCTGCAACGGATGCATAGAGACTTCCTCAGCATTGTCCCTGAAGACTAATGCTGTATTGGAACCGGTATTGGCATTTCCGTATGAAGTAACCTTCTGTCTGTATGCCTGGCTACTGATCCGCTTGTTGATGAACGGGATCGAACCCATCGGCTGGAGTTGTAGTGGTGTCATGTCACCCTCCGCAAAACTCGTCGGCGCATGCACACAAGCTGGCAGATTCAAAGTGCCGTTGTGACCTGGACCTGTGGGACCCAAGGGGCCCGAGGAAGCCGAGGAGGCTGATCCACGACGGCTGGCTACAAACGAGTCCATGTCGCAGGGTGATGAGTGAATAAGGGATCCAGTGCTTGAGCGTCGGTCGCGAGGTAGACTAGAGAACGAGAACCGAGACGGGGTACGGCTGTGACTGAATCCATGGGTTGGTGGCGGAAAGGGGGCAAAGGGGGCAATACTGTCCATACTCATCGACTTTTTCGTCTCGGGCAGGGCCTCGTCCTCGTCAAAAAGACCCCATTCACAATCTTCATCCATCTCATGCCCACAGAGTGCGCCGCCTCTGCTACCAGCAGCTGCCGCTGTGTCACAGAATCCCGAATCGGAATCATCATCCATAATGACCGAGCCAGAGCCAAAGCTCGACCCAGAGATGGATGAGCTTCTGGAATTGGGACTATTATTGCTGTAGGTCCAGCGCCAACTGTTGAAATAGTGAATTGAGGACAGTGGCAGGAGCTTCACATAGATCTCGTTCAGGCATGGGAACAAAGCAACGCGCTCTCGCAAGAACGACGCGACGCGCTGCCTTGTCTGTCGATGTATCAGGTCATTGGGATGGTGCTTCAGCCAATAATAAATGCACGCACAGACCCTAAAGATGCCGCGAGAGCAATTGCTACACGTTAGGAGGACGATGTCTGCTGCTCAGAGTGCTCATTATTAGACTATCCTTATGTACGCATCCCATCCATTTTATTCCTTACCTGAGTCTAGTGTTCCTGGCTTCTTCGTCGTCGTCATCAATAAACTCGCCCAGATCCTCGAACCGACTGATGAACATCTCCAAGAGTTCACGGGGTCGAAGGAACTTTCGATATATGAGTAGGAAGACCTTGGTCCTAGCGATTTGCTCTAAAAATTATATATTTGTGTTTGTGTTTATTGGAGGGAAACGAAGACAAGAAATGAAAAGGTAAGGGGTGGAAACCAGGAGGTAGGAGTGGTGAGCAAGGGGTTCGTCGTGCAGAAAATGAAAAGAAATGAAGACAGGCGAGGAAGGAGAGAGGGGGAGGAAGGGGAAGGGGTGGGGGTGATAGCACCGAGATCGGTACATGAAGAAGTCGATGTGGTTTTTCTTTTTTCCCTCCATCTTCTGGTACACTAACTGGTTGCACTGCAGTTGCAGCTGACCCCACCAGCAGCTGAACCGGACTGAAAGATGAAGAATGTTTCAAGGGCACACAGGAGGTTATCGTATCATACTGATGATGATGACCGGTGCAGACCGTGTGCGACCAAGGATAACCCCTCTCGATGATTGCGTCAGGGTCTGGACCAGGAGAATGTTGCAGGGCACTTACCAAGCGTGTTGACATAATCCGGAATGGTGAGTTGGTCCACCAGGTCATCCAATGTCACCCCTGGGACAGAATCACTACCATGAGCGGCATTATTCATTTTGGATGCATTAGAGGTGTGGTCGTACCAGATCAGACAGTAGAAAACAAAAATAACACTCGTTTAGGTAAACCCCATATGATCCGCCTTTTTCTTTTTCTTTTTTTGTTCGCTTTCTGCCTGTGCGCGCATGCAGAGACCACAGTTGTAATAAAGAGAACCACTTACAGAGAGTCTTTGGAGCTACGACGAGATCCGCTGGTGAACCCTGGTTCAGAGTTGCATGACGAGCTCTTGAAGGATGTTGGAGGGGCTAGCGATCTGGCGCCAACAACCGGCGCCGAGCTGTTCGATCGACTTGGCAGGCACATCTCCAACCGATTCGCTCCAGCCTCAAATGACTGGGCTCCATGATGGTCCTGAGGCGGGGTATGGACGGCGCAGGGGTGTTGCTGCGCGTATGTTTGAGGGTGTGCATTGCCAGACATTGCACGGGCCTCTGTTGCAGTTACCATGCCGCCCAGATCATTTGATTGAAATGCAATCGTCAGGGGTGCGCCCATGGTCACAATGGAGTGCGGGGTAGAAGGATGATCGTCGCCCTGTACTATCGATAGCAGGGAATTTGACGAATGCAATGCTGAACCCGTTGTAGGTGATAATGAGACAAAGAGGGGCAGGGGTGGGAGCGACATTGGTGAGAAGGCACAGGGCGGAGATGTTGAGGTTGAGGATGAGGAGCAAGGAGGGAACGTTCCAGTTGGGGATACAGGGTTTGAATATTGGGAAATCGAAGGCTGTGGGTTTGAACGTGTCTGGGTTCCTGCTGATGGTAGGGGATATGACTCTGGTGATCGACTGCCGATTGGCGACAGAGTGTCTGGGGTTGCAGCGCGGGTAGAGTTCTTTGGGATTGACAGGGACGAAAGTGAGAACGAAGACGTCCATGAACCTGATCGTATTTGTCTTGCTCCTCCCATCGTTGTAGGTTTAGTGGTGGTCGTTACAATAATTGGTGGGTTCAAAGTGGATAGAGATGATGATAGCGATGGTGAAGGTGCTGAGGATAAAGGATCAATGCTATGGTCGTAGTTGTGGTTGCTGCTGTTGCTGTTGCCAATGTCGCTGTTACCGTGGCTGTTGCCAAAGAGAGAGTTGTAAAATTCAGAGGGAGAGAAGAAAGGAGATGAGGAAGAAGAAGAGGACGTTGCTGAACAAGAAAGCGAAGAAGATGTGGACGACGTTAACGACGATGATGCTGACGATGCTGAACACGAGGAGGTGCATGAGGACCGGGATCCTTTGGAATCCTGAGAGGGAAGCCCCGAGACGCTGTGGTGCCGAATGTGGTCTCTAAAAGGGCCAGGCAACGGCTCTACTGCATCAACTGATTCAGATCCAAGTCTGGAGTCGGCGCTAAGGAGAGTAGCACCGTTAAAGCCAGGCTCTGCTGTCATTGCAGCTGCAAATGAAGTCAAGGTCGATGCCGCAGGAGTCGATAGAGATCGGGGCGGAAGAGATGGTGAGAACCGCTTTGACAGTGCCGCCAAGGGGCCGTTGCCCTTGGTCTTGCCGTTTTTGTTGCTCTTGCGGCCTGTACTGACTACTTTATCCTTGTCTTTGATGGGGTGATGCTCATATTTGGGCAAGTCCACTTTGTCGAGAGGGTGGACGGCGTAGTAGGGAGAATCATGGGGGCTATGAACGAATGTAAAGGGCTGCTGCTGGTCATGAATCTCCTGTGGATCATCATCTCCTAGACTGAGGCTGAGGAGCTGGTGTTCAAGTGACATGTCCCTGGTTATTTTTTCCTTACAAGCGTCCACGCCTTCGTGCTGATTTGCTTCGTACTGATTTGGGGTGGGATAGCAAGGCTGTGATGGCGATGGAGGATAAGAGATGGCTGTGAACATGGCTGCTGCGGTCGCTGCTGGCGACGATGGGATGCGGATGGTGATCGAGGATGATGCTAAGGAGGTTGCTGAGGATTGTGTTCGGGGTGTAAAGATCGGCGGTGGTTGGGGGCGGGCGCCGCAATGGGGAGCAGCCGATGGTTCGTGCGCGAGTCAATGGTATGGGCTATGTATGATTTGAGTGTGGGATAGGATGGTAGGAGCGAGTGAGAGAGAGAAAGATATTAGGAGAGCGAAGAAGGTGCCAAGAAGTTCGATCTGTGGAAGGAACTTTAAAAAAGACCACCGAATGGGAACACAAAACGAGGGAGAGAAGCACAGCGATGTGACAGTGGGAACACAGGATGTGTCGTTTCAAGTGCACAGGGCGGCATCGGTCCCCCAGCACGACCACGACTGGAGAGATTGTGGTTCAATGTGCTCTGGTACCCTCTCCGCAGTTGGCATAAACATTCTGGACCTTTTACTGCCGACAGACACCATCGGCGGAAAAGGAGGGCCAGGGCAGCCAGATATGCATCCGTACAGCGGGACGCGTCCCTTTGACCCTTCTGCGGATTTAAAAATAATCGAGTGGGGTGGTGGTGCTTGTCGGTGGTGACGGTCCTGGGGAGGGTTCGGACAGCCTCTGATCCCTTCTTTCTCTTCTCCCCCTCCCCCCTTTTTTTGTGATTCTGCGGATGTGTGAAATGTGTATGCAAACTGGTTGTTTGGAGAGACAGTAACCGAGACGATGGAGCAGCACAAAAGGAAGGGATGAGTGGAGTTGACTTGAATGAGGATTGATTGAATGAGAAGAAGGACCAATGGCATGAGAGGCGGCAGAGTGGGGAGAAGGAGCGCGTAGGAGTCGCGTCTGGAGGTGGTGCTCAGAACAGATTTCTTGACAGGACATTTGAAGCACACTCGCATTCACACCAATACATTACGTATATATACAACACGCGGAACAATATCTCAATAAAGGAATGAAACGAGAAGAGGGAAGAAACAAGAAGAAAAGGAAGGACCAAGGAGGAATTGCTTTGCGCGTTTAAGTGGGGAGGGGAAGGTTTTTTTTATTTAGTTTTATTTATTTGTTTTCTGCCTGTGCTTGCTACTTGACGCTAGGGCTGCAGTGAAGAAACAGAAAAAAGGGAACTCCAGAAGGAAGGGAGAGGGGGATGGAGAGGAGGATGGAGAGGAGGGGGAGGGGGAGGGAGAGGGAAAGGGAGAGGGAAAGCGAAAGGGAAAGGGAAAGCGAAAGGGAAAGCGAAAGGGAAAGGGAAAGGGAAAGGGAAAGGAGTGAGTGAGAGGAAGATGGAAGAGGGGGTTCTGTGATGTATCAAGGCGAAGCAGTAGATCTGTGGGCAGTCATACCGTGCTTCCCTCACAGGTGGGAGCGTGGAGTCCATACTATCTGGGCTACTAAGCCCTGGGTTGGATCTATAGCACCCCTACCGGTCGCATAATAAATAAACTAACCCATCCTTCTGTCTCCTTAACTCGCTTTCAGATCCCATAAAACATTGCAATACTAATGAGACGCGCTAGAACCCCTGGCGCCGTTGATTGGTCAGTTGAATTAAATTAGTCGACATCGCACAGTGCACCCTAGGTATGAACTCATGGATGCGTTGGATGGATGGGAACATGACGTCCTGATTGGAAGGAAGCTAAATCTGGCGCATGGGACACATTGAGGCACCGACATGGGAGGGGGAAACGACCGCACGGGTTAGAAGGCAAAGCAAGCGGCGCAGATGTGAAGGGGTGCGCGTCTCCTGCATCGGATATGGAGCCATGGGAGCAACGACCTGCCGTTGACCCAAGCAGTCGGTGAGAAGAAATATCATTATAATTTACAACGAAGAAGCCTTGCAGGTCGTCCTCCCCCTCTTTCTCCTGCCATTACCCGCTCTGTTTCCAACTTGCAACGGTCGAGGTTGACTGGCATCGCCTGTTGCTTTTTCCAACGGATGGTGATCGCGTTTTCATTTGGAATACTACGCAGCAATCAACGGTCGCAGAAGGACCAGTTGAGAGGATAAACGCCGCCGTCCGGCCCTTCCACTCGAGCCTGCTTCCGTTACCAAGAGGGTGATTCAAGGGATACGATACATGAAAATATACATAATGTATCTCAGTAGGACAGTAGGAAGCGTAAGCTTGAGAGAAGAAGGAGTTACAAAGGGACTCACCTTTTGTCGTTCTAAAGAAAGCACTGAAGTAGTACGATGGACTCATCGCATCGAGAGAGGAGAAAGAAGAATACGCCCAGCCGTCAAGGTGGATAGAACAGCATGCTTGTTACCATCATTCTTCGTCTCACAGAAGCCGAGAATCAGGTAAAAGTTGCCCTATAAAATAAAAAATAACGCGTGTTCGACATGCCTGATTGATCGTGGCGACATTACATTTCGGCTGTCGCGTCGTTTTCTCTCCCTATCCCAGTTTAAAGGCCCTCTTACTCAGTGCTCGTGCATCCGGAAGAGGTACCACGGAGTAGTAGTCTATTTTTTCTGGTTTCCCTGCACGAAGGGGACACGTCCTGAGCAGGCAGAGTAAATGCCAGATAAGACCGTTCTCAGTAGTGTTGTATGCATGTCCTTGAGGACCTCCTGTGCCCTTGATATCCGAGAGAATTCAAGGAGGTCAGGCCTAATCTGATAGTTCCAATATGTCCTTTGCCTTTGACCTTTTGCGTTGTCCTATATGGGGACACGCCAGAATTATCCTGCATTTACGGCTCAGGCATAGCACCTGAATAGCTAAGAATTGGTTCGCATGGGTCTTCAGTCGTTCCTCATAGTTGTTTTATGTGACGGGACACGTATTGCTTGCCGAATGCATTGCTGCATGGACCATCCAGTGCGACGTTGACTTGAATGCCTGGAGTATTGTTTCTGGTAAAGGGTATACAAAAAAAAATCGGCCGCAGGATCCGTCGGGTCCATTACCACGTTTATGCAAGGAGACCTCAGCAGGGATTGTACTTTCCATCGCTCCAGTAAGACCAATCCTAATGTTCTCAATCTTTTTCCCACTCCCAGATTTTTTATCATTATGCTTCGAGAGTAGAAAGGCTGAGCGAGGGAAATCGAGAGGGCCGAGAGAAGTATATCGTCTGCATTCGCGATGTACCTTGCGATGTACTAAAGTTAAAATGATTCGATTAGACGCATCCAGAGAATTAGTCGTGTAATATAATGATATTGTCTTCACATTATAGATCTGGGCCTTTCACAACGACCCACACCTTAGGATCGATGGTTATGTCAACGCTCTATTAAATATGAGATAAAATCCATCTATCGCCATCTGCATTTCATGCGTTCATTTATATTCAGCCATACGACCGAATCGACGGCGATAACAAAAGATCCTGCCAATTCAAACCTCTCTAGTTTTCATACCAATGAAGCAAAGCACCTCCATGCGTTTTTTAAGACTATGCAGTTTGTCGGGACATAGTTTGGAAGACCCTCTCCTGACTTGGTAGTGGGATTGCTACATCCCATTATGAATTTCGCACGCACGCCCCCGACGTGACGCCGAACGAAGATCCATTCCCCAAAAAACGAATTTGGACATCTTACCATGTCTTATGTTTGCGTAAAGAGGAAAGAGGGTTATTTGGACTTTCAAAACTTGTGAAGATACATGTAACGAAGCTGTATGGCTTTGAGGGTCATCGTACCAGCACTTTTATTACTTTCATTCGTATCATGTATCTTTGATTTTTCAAATTCTATATCTATGCGAGGACAGCACCAACAACAGCAGCAGCAGCAACCGTCAACAGACCAGCCGTCATGGTAGCAGCTCCGCTCGTCTTGCCAGCAACAGTGGGTCCAGAAGCGGGCGCGGTACCAGTGGCGTTGGCACTGGGGGTAGCACCAGCCGAGGGGGTCACACCGGAGACCGTGGGCATGGCGGCAGTACCGCCGAGCTGATAAGGCTGGGCGTCGTTCTCGCACTGAGCAACGGATGCAATGTTGATCTTACGGGCCTGACCCAGAGGAATCAACTGCTGCGCAACGCCGACGGTCAAACTGTTCAAGTCGTGCTCGAGGCAGTAGAAACCCTGGGTCTTGTTACCGGCAACATAGGCATCCAAGGACTTTCCAAAGTTGGCGGTGACCTGAGCAGCGGTGAGACTGGGCATCTTCCAGTCAGTGGTATCGAAAGCATCGCCAGTCCAGTCGACAGGGATGTAACCCATCTTCTTAAGGACATAACGGACACGGTTGTTGATATCACCGTATGGGGGACGCATGTACTTGAGCTTCAGGCCAGTGGCGGCCAAGACAGCCTTCTCGGTCCACTTCATCTCGGCAACGATCTGCTCGTTGGTCAGAGTAGTCAAGGCGTGGTGAGACCAGGTGTGAGAAGCCAAGTGGTGGCCCTCAGCAAGCTCGCGCTTGACAGTGGCGGGATACTGAATGACGTTCGAGCCGATCAAGAAGAAGGTAGCAGAGAGTTTGTCCTTCTTGAGGAAATCGAGAAGGGCGGGTGTGGCAGTCGAAGGACCATCATCGAAGGTCAAGCCCCAGGTGTTGGGGGCAGCGCAAGCGGTGATATCGTCAGACGAGCAGCCATCACAGGTCCAGTGGCACCTGGAAGAGAACGAATAATGAGATTGGGTTCAATTAATTATCGCTGCGTTTCAGGTACGGAGAGGATGGAGATGGCACACATCGCCGTGTGGTATTAAAAAAAAAAGAACACATCAATTGCTCAATTATAAAAACCCTTTTATATCACAGTGGTACTAGATGACTTACTCATTGGGGAGAGGTTTCTTGGCGCATGGTGGGGGCTGGGCAGTGGGGTTGGGAAGAGGGATGTTGGGTGCGCCAGAGAGGTCACCAATCTCCTTGAGCCATGCCTGGACCTCAGGGGAGTTAGTAGGAGGAATAGCGTTGATTGGAGGGTACTCCGAGATGACGATGGTACTCTGGGCCTTGACAGCAGTGAAGGTAAGGATCACCAAGGTGAAAGAGGCGGCAATGAACCTGACCATTTTGAGAAGATTATGAAGATGGCGTTTGTGAGAGAATCGGTAGGATGGTATAAGGGGGCGGTATTGTCGTTAACGAACGAGAAAAAAGAAAGAGTGGAAGGGCAACAAAGCTGGGCTTTGCTGTGGGCTGGGGTGAGGACTGGGTTGAAGGGAGGATTAAAGCGAGGAAGGGGTCGTAAAGAAGAAGAAAAAGAGGAAAAGCCAGGTGGACGATTATAAGCAATTGCGGATGTGAAAGTGTGCGGCTGGACAGAGGACTGTCACCAACGGCCATTGGAGTTTATTAATAGCGAAGGCAGGCAGAGTGATGAAGACCAGCAGTAGAGTCATGCCTGGGAACTAAGCATCGGCAGAGGGGACATACTCGGAGAAGGAAATTAATTCCTGCTGTATACTTGACCGAGATAACAAAAAAAAAAGCGGCGCAACGCCTCATCAATCGCCTCGTCTCAATTCAATTGTCATCGCCAGTATATTTTTATGTAGTCAATTTGCAGCTCACCGGCAGCGTTGGTTGTTGCTGTGCGTACTCCAGGTGCTGATGTCCGGCTTAACAGATGGCAGAGATTCTTCAGGGACAGCTTCATAATGAGACATCAAGGATACCAGGCGCTGTTAGCGTGCTTCACATTTCTCCATCGACAGCGGTGTCAGCACATCGAAGGCAGCCGTTTTCTATGGCGCAAATGAGGAGTGTGAGGTAATTGTAATCTAAACCCAATATTGTTACGTGAGCCCGGGTCTGCAGCACAAAAACAGATGTTATTCGTCCATCCTCCTAACATATTTCCTCTTTCTCTCTGTCCACGCCCACATCATTCGCTCAGCAATAAACAAATCCTCGTCCAGCTCTAAATTAGGCATCAGAATACCCAGATGGACAACTTTCTTGAGTGTGTTTGCGGTGCTCTGCGGCCACAACGGTGGGAGCAGCCATGCACATAGTCACAACATGATACGGACGATGGTGGTATCCATAGCAACGAGGGCAAGTAATAATAAAAAACGGCATGGTAAAGGTTGTAGTTTGCTCCGCCATGGTTTCTATACTCGTTTTCTCTACCTTACTTTAGTACTATGTCGCAGTTGGCTGTCGTGTTATTTTAACAACAAGAGAAAAGGCTGCGGTCATGAACCTCCTCCGCCCTTTGTCCAAAAATACAATTCTGGTCATCATTCCCAGACGATCATGTTTGTGGCGCGACAAAATTACATTTTATTCATATACTCCTTCAACGTATGCTATACGTAGACCTGGGGACCCATTGAACGGATGATTCCGCTCGATGCAAGCTGGCAAGATCCCAGCCAAGTATAGACAAAGTTATCCATTGGAAAACGGATTGCCGTACATTTGCTCCAAAGAAGTGCATCATCCAGCATCCAGTATAGACTATATTCATCAAGTTCTTCCATTCGGGCGCTTTTCTAGCGACTCCAGCCCTGTCTGTGCACCTCATTTTTTCTGCGTGCCTCTCACTGGTAAAACTTATACAGCCTGTATCGCAGGCAGCTGAGCATTGGGTGCGCCGTTCAATTGCTGCTTGGGAAGAGTGCTGGTGTGGATGGTTGGGCCGGATTTAGTTAGGCTACGCACGCTCTATTTCCATCTTTCAAAGGTTTACCCGTTATTTCGCTAGGCGCACCTCGGAATAACCCTTCACCTCGCCCCATTTTTCACGCTGACGCCGGGGTTTGGCGCGAACTAGGGATGGCGTTGAGCGAACGTCCGGGGAATCAAAGGTCGCTAATCCCGGGGGAGTAGAGGAACGTGTTGCATAGCATCTAGAAGGAATGCGATAGCCAGGCTCGAAAAAAAAAAATTGGACGAAGCGAGGCGCAGAGTTCTGTGTGTATGTGAGTATGAATGCAGTGGAAGAAACCCGCCATCTCCTTCGACATCACCATCACCTTTTTCATGCATCCGACGTCTGGACAGCAAATTGACCATGCATCTGTCATAAAACTACCAGGCATCATCCCTTGCCGTTATTGGATCATGCTGATGAGTGGCGTTGGGCTGATGATCTCTTATGCAGGTATGTCAAAGACAACTGCAGCCTAGTCATGGTCTGTACGCCAATTACCTGCTTTGACTGAACGACGGCAAATCCGCGCTGTTTGTATTGCATATTCATGTAGACCGGTCAAATGTTGCTGTGGGTATTGTGGCGATTGGGCGCGAATACGGGTATACGAAACCCCAGCAAGGACTTATCCTCGCCTCGTTCTTTTTCGGCTATATCCTGACGCCGATCATGGGCGGTGCCCTTGCGGACCGATATGGTGGCAAATCCGTCCTCGCGATAGGTAAGTTGGAGCCGGGAAACATAACTGGACGTTATGGATATAGACTGTTGAAACAGTATCCTAAAGGGTCTTTTACTCTTTATTGTATGGTCTGTAGGCGCATTGGCATGGTCAGTCTTCACGTTGCTGACGCCAGTAGCATCTGGATCCGGACTTTTTTGGATCGTTCTTGTCCGCATCGCGCTCGGACTTGGCGAAGGTCAGTATGAGAAAGCAAAAGCAGTTGGTTTATCGTTATTTGTTTCTTACGAGGCATTACCTAGCCTAATCGAGAAACTGTTTCTTTTGAAGGTGTCGCATACCCCTCTATCCACGCAATGATCGGAACTTGGATACCACCCAGCGAACGATCCAAAGCAGTGGCGACAGTAACAGCGTTTGCATATATGGGATCTGTGATTGCACTCCCGACCTCTTCAGCCTTAGTGGTGTCCTCTTGGGGATGGCGAAGCATTTTTTGGCTCTTTGGAACCCTTGGGCTCCTATGGAGCCTTATCTGGCAGGCACGTTAGATTGTGCACTGTCTCATGCTAGCATCTTTCAGCTCAAACCATAACATAAGTTGCTTGTACAATTGTTTTGTGGTCATGTTTAGATCTGGGGAGCAAGCGACCCTCTATCGTGCCGATGGATTACCGAGCATGAAAAATACTGGATTCTTGAGCAGCAGCAGCTGGACCAGACCGAGCAGGATGATGCATACCATCACCGACGCAGTGCAGAGGATCTGCGCGATACACGTGAACAAATTCGAACCGTTGACAATGGCGGTTCTCCAGTGACCTATCAGTCCTTGCCAGCCATCAATCACTCAGAGCATAATATTTCGTTGAGAGGCTCTGAAGACAGCCAGACTGCGCTCCAGGCGTCTACTTCGTCCATGCAGCCCAACTCGGATGAAAATGATTTAGTGTATAGGATGGATGGTGCGTCAGCACAGTCCTCGCGCTGGCAGGCATTTCGAGACCGGATTCGGTCAGGCGGTAGCGATGGCGGTTTACGGAGAGCACAAAAAAAGGAAGCGGTGCCGTGGAGAGCGCTGCTGGCACGAAGAGAGGTCTGGGCTATTATTCTTTCACAGGTATGTAACGCTGCGGAATTTGCGCGCATTGTCTGCAGAGCGATGAATAGCCATGAATTGACTCGAACGCTTTATACATTTCTCGTCAACAATGATCACCCTGACTAGCTGTTCAACTCTCTCGGGTATTTTGTGATGCAATCGTGGGTGCCGACGTTCTATCTGGATTTCTATGGTGTAGATGTCGGCAAGATCGGTTACTACGCAGGTAAGTTAAGAGACGAGGAAATAAATAAGGTAATAAGCCTTGCTGCTCACCTACTCACTTTTTGAATATCTCTCTATTGACTTTCTATTGTAGTTGTACCATCCGCTGTGCAAGGTATCATGGGATTGTTGGCAGGATACTTGGGCGACAAGGCCATTGAAGACTGGGGATGGGCAACATTAACGGTGCGGCGGGCCAGTCAAACAGTTGGAAGCATCGGCTTAGGTCTGTTCTTACTGCTAGCTGTCAATTTTGCGCATACGGCACCCTTGGCGATGATCCTGATCATGGTCGGCATGGCCTTGAATGGTTTCACGATGATCGGCGCGTCTGCGTACCAGGTATCATTTTCTTTTTTCCACAGGTTTTGTCTGCATATTGCCTTACCAGTCTATGCTCATCCCTGATTTTCTCGCAATTCTTCCTTATCCCGTTAGCACGATTTTTGTCCGCAACACGCGGGGTTCATCTTCTCGCTCGGCAACACCGCAGGGTCAATCCCTGCCCTCTTAGGTGTCTTTCTTGTTGGCGTGCTTCTTGACCGTCATGACGGTACAAATCCCTGGAGCATTATCTGGACGCTGGTCTGCATATTTTACGTTGTGGGGACTGCGGCATTCCTATTACTCTCAACGCACAAGAAATTTCTACAATAGAATACAGCGAATACAGTGAATAACGGCGCAGTTGACATTTCTGCATGGTATTCTGTTCATAAACATACTTTCGAAGTAAAAACAGACGCTCGTCTACTGTGGTCTGGTACAGTCACCTTCCGCTCGTCTTGAAAAAATATTGTCTAGCCTCCGCTCAAGTCCCATTGAGCCCCGATTGAGTAAACCCTTTTTGTGACTGGTCCAAATCCGTATAAAACTACGGCTCAACCGTGAAGTAATTTTTTCTTTATCGACTGTACTTACAGGATTTCTGTCTAGTACATCTCTAGTCTTCGTTTTCCAACTTAGACACACAGTTTACTCTCGACGATGAGTTGAAGTGCGCTGCCCGTAAAGGGAAGCGAAGCACGGGTCTGCCTCCTCTTGGGGGCGTTCCTGTTTGCTTATTGATGATCTTGTCTGGCTCTTTTTTTAAGGGCTATGATGAGGGCGGTCGCACATTCTGAGAGTTTCACTGCCTCCTCTTCTTTCAACCAAAAAAAAAAAAGAAAAAAAAAATGAATCTCAGAATATCAGAATATCAGAATATCAGAACATCAAAACAATAAATGGAATATCTAAATATCAGAACATTAGAATATCAGGATATCAAATGGCAGGAATGCCGAGGCTCCCTGCCTGAGCAAAGTATGATCCATCCTAGCTGGCTTTTCCTTGTCTATCTCGCAAAGAGTGCAATTAACCGTCTGAAGTACAGTCTGCTGTAGCAACAAAATGAAGCAGGCGCATCAGATAATTGTTCCCGTTGCTTACTATATTGCACCCATTTCATGTTGATCTGGTGCTCTAGATGTGAAACTAAATAGGAAGTAACCCTCCTGCCATACTGGATCCGAGTCCAATGGATCTTCCTGTGAATGGTGAGTACGACCTAAAGTACCAGGCTAATGCTTGAATCTCAATTATCGTTCCAATGGCCGTCAAGAAGAAGCTCTTTGCCTAGATATCATTTTCATATAATGGAGCTACTGTCAGTCTCATAGTGTTGCATACGACCATTTGGTTGAATACGGCGAATTCTGATCTTACTATCAGGCTGGCGTAGAGAGTAAAGACCATAGATCCAACATATGCGCCTGTGAATGGTAGTCGCTCTCTTGATGTAAGCGCCTTGAGATGTGCCATAGGTCCTTTCAAAAGGGCGAAACTACATTGTAAAAAAAGTGGAGCCAAGTTAGGACTTGGTTACGAAATATCCCTGTCTAGTGCAATCCTGCATCTCTCACCTTGTCATCAAGAGGATGCTACCCAGCGTAAAGCTCGTTGCAAACTTGCTTGGGCTGAGCACAAGCATGGGCAAGCCAACAAAGAACGCAATCATGAAGCACGCTACACCGCCTGCCACACATAGCGCGAATCCAGCCATGCGCTACACATAGACAAATGTAAAGAGTTAATATAAAAAACAAAGGTCGGCAGTAGAGCGATCCATTTTGTCAACGCACAAGCAAGGAGTTCGTAAGAAATTGTAATTGCCGTATCTTTCAACACTTGGAAGTGCTCATACCTGAAACCACGTCAATCCCAGCCAGTCCTCCTCTTGGGGCTGCCCACCGCTGCCTCCTAGAGAGGCGGGCACATATCCAGCGACCTGACTTCTGACGCCACCGAACCAATCCGAAGCATGGCCAAACGCTCCTCCTGTGGATCCAGACCCTGTAGTGCTGTCCGTGGCGGCAAACCCTCCCTGAGCGCCAAACGAACTGAACGCATTCCTGAAATTGTTTTCTGTTGCGATGGACATTACGAAATGTCGATGATGGCAGTGAGTGACCAGTGCCTTGGTATTCTTGCAGCCTTGTGGTGAGAGAGAAGTGTGGCGCCGGAGGAGAGTGTTATCACGTGTAGGATCAGCGCCTAGGATACGGGAATTCGCATTGAGCAGTAGGGTAGGGAGGGGGGAAGATTTCTAGTGATTAGTTATTTGCAACACCCTTTTGTTAGTGTTTCCGATAATATGGGAACAGCACCTTACGATGGAACTATTCCCTTGGTAGAGCAACTAAATGTACTCTTTATTAGTTTGTTCAGTCAGAGACGCATAACACCTCCTTAGATTCAGTCATAGATGATTACATGTCCTTTGTTGCTGTAGTAGTAGTAAGTACCGTGTACCTGTTGGTGATCAATGAGGCTGTGCTTGCCAGGCGTCGCACCAATCAATAGATACGCGTGTGTCTGTCGACACGTTGGCTACACGTTGTTTACCTGCCACCGTTACCTGCTTTATCCCGCTTCATTTGTTTACATAGATCCGTGAGGACCATGTCCATTCTGTAATTTCTACGCTATGAATACGGCGCCTCCAAAATCCATGGTGACCATCTGGTGTTAGCCTTGTAGTGTTTTGGTCGTTTATTGGCTTCAGAAATGGAGCGTATGGAATTACGTACCCTTGGTCTGGCTGTTACTCATGCGATGTCTAAAAGGCGGACGAGAGAGGAGCGCGGTAAGGAGAGGTGTATGAGAGGGCACGAGACGACCGTATCCTGTTCAGTGTATATCCGGGCTCGGGCGATAGGCGGCTGAGCGTCAAATAGCATATGGAACAAAGCCCTCTCTGGAGTGCTGTTACTCCCCTCGGTAGAGGCCCTTGAGTTTGTTTCAACGATCATGATTGGTCGACCGGGGCAAGGGTCAGGATTAGGGGACATTTTGGGATGGGGTAACCCGGTTATGTAGCCTAGATGGTGTGGTCGAGGGTTAATACCTGCTTTATCTGCCTTGTAAGCATCACAAAGGCAGAATGCATTTCGACGAGAGCTCGCGCCTGAGCATGGGGCATAGACTTAATTGCTTTTTCGCTCCTAATCACAGATGCGCTACGACCAAATGAATACAGGCAGAATAGGGCAGTATAGGACGCTTGCGATATGCAAGTGAAATGAAGCTGTGGTACATGCAGCCATACAAACAAACATTCGTACATTTGTAACGTCGACATGTCTAAGAGCACGTCCCTAGCTCACCTTTGGTCCTATATCCTTTTTCCTCTTCCATCATCTCACGATCTTGACCATTGTCTAGACCCTCCACCTTCTTTGTACAAATACCCTCGGTCCCCCACAATATCCATCTGTTTCATCCTTCTTAAGGCTCCACATACCCTCAACCCCTCTCGCACAAACCAACCATTTGAAACCGCTTTTCCATCATGATATACGACCATCCCAGCGCCTATATTTATGTGAGCCCTCGTCCATCATTCTCTTCGTCATCGACACTACAAGCAAGTCTAAGACGAGAAACACACATCCAATGGACACCAATACCACATGTGGGTGCATCTGAAGGTTCCACCTGGTCACCCTATTTCAAGTCTCCATTGCCAACCACCTCACGGTCGAGCCTTAGTGTGCCTGGAAGGGTCCCTATCTCAAGTCAGTCTATATTTGCTAAATACGTCCGCTGCCCGCCATTGATACATATTGAGGGCCCAAAGCAAGAACGGTCATCTTCGCCATCTTCATCGCCATCCTCGTCCGTCTGCTTCTCTATGGACGAGGATGATGATCGGGCTATGTTGGGTAATTGCGAAAACAGGGCCATCGGTCTTGGAGCCATGGTACAAGAGCCGGCCAGTCCATTACCGTCTTATGCAAGCATCCTCGTTGCAGGTGGAATGGAAGTCTAGACAAACAAGGATGGTGCAAGCATGTTGGTGGTTTTGGCTGCGCCATCGCCTCTGATTCTCATTTATCAGTCATTCTGCACAGCTACTACATGTGCATTTCCACAGCAAAAACAAAAAATAAAAGTGAAAGAACTTGGCGTGGATATGGCGAGGATGCTAACTTTCCCCGATCGACATCGCCCAGCAGATCACATTGTAGTCTCCCAGCCAAAGAGATAGATCCAAAATGTTTTCGTTCCTGAGCCTCTCCTCCTATGCTTCGCCAGTGGCGAATTATATTCGATCGTCTATTTAAGCAGGGTGGTCTCCCCTGTACCGTAGCCTCAAACACCTCTCTCCAGCTTTTATTCTACTGACTTATATCCTTTTAAGACTCAGCAGCATCTCACACCAGCAATACACAAGACACTCCCAAAGCGTTCATTTGAATCCCAAGCTCATGAGAAACCCATTCGTCGGACCAGCAATGTTGGGGATCAGGAACCAGCTCTACTTTGGAACACGCTCGACCATCCTTCGCGTCGTATCTTCTTCCTCGCGACCAACTGTACCCCTTTGTGTGAACCACAACGGCCTCCTTCCGGGATATCTCCCATCAAACACAAGATACTACGCCCAAATGGCGACCAAGAATGTCGTGACCAAAGCAATTCCAGCTACAGCCGCTTCCACCGCAAGGACCTCACTCTCGAATCGATCCCATACATCGCAGCAGGCTATGCCTATTCGGCAAGTCGGAACCCTATCTCTGTCTACTGTTGCAGCAGAGTCCCCTTCCTCTGCCGCACCTGGGACGATAACACCCCTACTGAATGCTAGTTCAACCAGTTTTAAATCAAAGGTCTCAAGGGCAGCACTTGAAACTAGCAGCCGCCCGAAAGGATCCAAATCCGCCTATGTTCTGGTCTCGGCTGGGCTTTCATCCAACATGCGTGCGCCACCGTCACCACCGCATCCAGAATCGTTATTTAATTCTGTTTCTTTTCCTCGGATCTCTCCGCAAGCTTGCGGAGGATCAGAGTCCCTCCCGTTCCTTGACTTTCGGACCAACGGCTCGAGAGAAGTGTTCTATACAAAAAGCGACGAAGAGGCCGATCTCTGGCTAAAATCCAGCAAGTGAGTACTTTAAATGGCGCGCCGTGCGCAGCTGTACCACCTCCTGTGGCCCAGTTTCTAACGATGCACCTTTCTTTGTGTTATGAATGAAAATTATTAAATGGAATAGGACAAAAATGTGGGCACTGGACGCAGAATGGAAACCATTTGCGGGCTACAAGAAGCAGGGTCGGATTTCTCTAATCCAGCTCGGGGACAACAAGCACGTCTACTTATTTCATGTGATCCACATGAAGAAGTTCCCGCAGGAGCTTGCTCGCATTCTAGGCGACGAAAGGGTTCTGAAAGTCGGGATCAATGTCGGGTAAGGCTTATTGTCTACTCACCTAGACCACAATCCAATTCTTTATCCTTTCGCAGTGGACTGATTAAGGATGTATATCATCTGATCACGATAGAAACGACGGAAATAAGATCATGAAGGATTGGGACGTCGGCTGCACAAGCCTAGTAGAGCTGGGGGCACTTTATGTCCAGACCATGGAGGATCTTCCAAATCAGCGAAAGATTCGCAGCATGGACAGCCTTGCAAGAGAACTGGTAAAGTCAACACATCATCCTCACTGACATGCAGCGGAGAAAATACAATGCTGCATCTTCTCAAACCATATTTCTTTCTTTGCTTCTCATAGCTTGGTCATTCGGTGGAAAAGGTTGCACTGACCAGGATGGGAAATTGGGAGAGTAAGAATTTGTCCTCTAGTCAAATGGCCTACGCTGCCAACGACGCTTTTGTCACCTACGAGATTGCGGACAAAATTAAACAGTTGCAGACTAGCCGACCTCAGGCTTATGTAGTGCCTCTCATGACCATCGGTGCGGCGGGCAAGATGGTTGTCACAGTCCGCGGGACGTTACAGGAACGAGAAAATAGCCCCGCCTCACCTATGGATATTGTAGAGACACAGTTACGCTCGACGACGGAAAAGAAGGACAGCGCACCAACCACATATCGGTCCGCAACACCCGATAGTATTCAAAAGACCTCGCAGACGTCCCCTGCAAAACTCGCCAAAGTGGCGCCGGCATCGAAGTGGCGCAGGAAAACTCCAGTGCGGGCAGCGTATCAAGCTGGCGGAGAATCGGCAGTGTCACTTTGGTCATCATCGCCAACTCTAGAAAAAGCGGAGGTGTCCAGCAGCATATCCAGTCCCTCCCCAAAAGCACCCGCTTCCAAAACAATAGACACAAAGAGGGATACTCGGACCAGCACAAGGCTCTCGTCCTTGAACGAAGATACCAACTTTTTCTACCGAAGTAACGTCAAAACAAAACAGGCGATTCACTACGGAAGCAGAAGTGTCGTGACGATTATACCCGCGAAGAAGCTGCAGAAACGATCGTTTTCACATTCCTATTGCATATCCCAGAGCGCTCCTATGGATCGCAACGAAATCCAGGACACGATAGCGGACAGGCAGAGTAGCAGGAAGGCAGGCGATGTTTTCATATCAACCCGGCTTTTACCAGAGTCGCTAGAGGGGAAGGACATTCTCGAGCTGGTCTCTTTTAAGGGGCACTAAGTGTTCGAGGAAGCGGGCCCGTGGATCGATGATGCGTAAATGTATTTTAGGAGACTAGAGAGATACCCTTGGCAACGCCCTGGGTGTTTGTGTCACAGTTGGAGACCAATGCATAAACTTTTTTATTTAGTGTACAGCGGTATCCTTCTGTCTATGTCTCCACAATATGGATTTGTAGACGATATTGCGGGTGTATTTGCCTTCCCGGTTTGGAAGAGTGCCTTGAGATTGATCGGGTTTGTGCACCGGGAAAGCGCGACATAGAGTTGACCATGACCGAACACGGGCTCTGGGAGATAGATGCCGACAGAGTTGAGTGTCTGACCTTGAGTTTTATTGATGGTCATGACGAAAGCAGGCTTAATTGGGAATTGTCGTCTGGTGAACTGGACTGGGCATGAGCCGTCCTCAACAGTGGTTAAGGGGATGCGAGGGAGAAAGACACACTTACCTTTATGTGCGCCAAAGAGGATATCCGTGTGTATGACCTTTCTCCCAAGATGTCTAACAATGAGCCACGTACCATTGCAGAGACCTTGCTTCGCATTCAGGTTACGTATGAGGACGGCAGGCTGTCCTACTTTCAAGCGCAATTTATAGGGTGCTACTCCAGATGGATTAAGTGAGTTCAAGTATTCCACGGCATACCGACCTGAAGTCTCAGCGTCCGTAAGCGAGTCCTGGCCCTTGTATCTCCTGTCCTCTCCATGATGCAGCATGTCCGTATGTTGTTCATCCTCGCAACGTTCCTGTTGCAGGGCGTCAGGATGACGCTGTTCATGAGGAAGTCGGGGTTAAGTGGAGCCGTGTCGATTGTGGGGTAGATCACCTTGATGAGTTGCTTCTCTGGTGAAGCGCGGACAGCCAGGTGGAGAGGGATGAAGATAATTTGAGGAGGTATGTGAATGTAATCGCGCTGGCCTCCAAATGCGACAGCCGGCTCGGTGCCCTCTCCGATCCGAAGTAGGAGGTCGACGGACCACATGTTCTCGAGATTGGCGGCGACGCGCATGTTGGTAGTTAGACGGAGAGTCCCCACATGAGGCTAGATGTCGACGGCGCGCTTAAGGTAGGCTTGCTCGATCTGAGAACGGGATCCTTGAGATCCATATGTGCGCATTGCAGTGGCGGCATGACACCATTGGCCCGGCGTAGTGTCGACCGTTCCTGGTGTGCCTGCTCTTAATCATGTCCTCGGTGAATGGTCTCCAAGCGAGAGACACGATATACGGAGGGGCAAGATCGTCAGCAGGACCGTCAGCAGGATCGTCAGCAGGACCGTCAGCAGGATCGTCAGCAGGACCGTCAGCAGGATCGTCAGCAGAATCGTCAGCAGGACCGTCAGCAGGATCGTCAGCAGAATCGTCAGCAGGACCGTCAGCAGGATTGCCAACAGGAGCATCGGCAGGAGCATCGACGGACGGCACAGCAGGATGGTGGTGGCGAAGGTGGTCGTTATGTGATCGCAAGTGGTTTGTTCCCTTTGCCGCAATCTGAGATAAGAGAGTGGAGGGCGGCGGTTAGAGTCCGGGGTGGGACGAATGTGCGAAGTGTTTGTTCCATTGGGCAGACGGTCATACCTTTCTCGATTGAAACTGCAATCACGGTGCTTGCGGTTTGAATGGCCTCTTTCGCGGCAAGATCCACATCGGCTTTCCTTCTCCGGTGTGATATGGCTATGAGGCAGGAAGGATGAATTTTTTTTTTTTTTTTTTTATTGACGCCAGATCCCCCAGGCGTGCAGGCGTGCCACAGGCTGCATTGTCCAAGCCTCGGCTTGGACTGTCAGCCGGCCGATAGTTACCTAAAGGTATGAGGCAGGAAGGATGAAGCAGATTGCATTTGGGATAGGAGAACACTCACGTGCAGTTGCGTTCGGTGTGTTTGTCTGAACAGCAGATGGAGCAAGTCGTCGTACGCCGAGACCGAGAGGGACCGGGGTCCCCGGGCTCGTAGTGTTGGATCTGACCAAAAGGAACGAAGTCGACGTCGTCGTCAACTTGATCATCCTGAACCGCCCGTCCCTCCTGATTTTCATAGCGGTTGTCGTCCACGTCGTCTTGGTCAAGCCTATGGGAAGAAGCACATTCGCCGTGGTGGAGTGTTTATGATCAGAGATGGGTTGGTGAGTGCATGCGGCGCATTGATTGGAATGCGGGACCTGATGAGTGACACTCACTGGCATATTCGAGAGTTATGGCCTGCACGGCCGCAATGGTTGCCAGGCTGTGTGTTGCGAACGCGAAGGCGCAGGGATGAGAATTTCCTTTTTTTTTTATTGGATTGGTTTCGAATCACATCCCCTTTTTACCCCTAGCCTCTTTCGACCATGGCCACGCCAACTCAGTCAACGTCGATCAACTCGACACCAGCATCATCATCACCAAGAGGCCACGGAGTACGCGACAGGATATTCGCCATCCCCGAACTAGTAGAGCGCGTCGCGCATTTCCTCGACTCTAGGACAATCGTCGCATGCGCTCGTGTCAGCAAGACATGGTATTCCATCTGGTTGCCCATCCTCTGGCATACCATCGACGCAGGTCGGCAGTGGCACGACCCCGCCTTCCTCAACGCCCTCAACCGACACGCCGACCTCATTCGCATCCTTGAATGTTCCCGCTACGACGATATCAGTCTCCTGTTCGCTTCCTCTGCAGCAACGACCACCTCAGGCATTGAGAATACACCAACTTGTCCTAAGAATCTCATTACTCTGGTGCTCCCCAAGACCACACTCGCCAACCAAGCGGACCATGTGCGTCTACTTCGACTCAACCCACAACTACGTGACCTGTCCCTTGCACTTCATGATGACCCGCCATCTCACTATCCAGAATTGATCGAGGCGGTCTGCGATTTACAATTCCTCCGCCGACTCGCCCTCGATGAGATCAAGTCACAAACACTAGAGACCATACTCGGCCGACGGAATCGATCTCTTCAGGAATTGTCTTTCAAGGGCACTCAATTTTTGAGGCACCCCTTTGGGTCAGGAGAAGACTTTGCAGCACCAGCAATTGATCAAGGCGGGGCCAAGGTGAAGGAACCAAAGGAATCGTTCGGTATCCAGTCCCTCCACCTGCATGGTGTCGCCTGTCAACAAGAACTACTCCTCAATCTCGGCAGCCGATTCCCCTTGCTCAGTCGCCTCTCCCTTCGAGGGGCGGCAGAACTGTACTTTGACGATGACTTTGCCGAAAAATTCGCGCGACTGTGTCCACAGATCAGGAGCATCGATATGTCCTTGATCGAGGACACGGACGATGAGTCCATCGCACGATTGATCCGAGCGTTCCCAGGACTGCGTACCTTCCGCGCAGCAGAGACACGGTTCGGAAACATGAGTCTGTGTGCAATGGTCGAGGGATGTCGCGATCTGACGGTCTTGGACATCAGTTCAACATACGGTGCGCAGAGCAGCGGTATTCAAAAACTGCTTGAACGATCCCGGGGGTTGACACAGCTGGATGCATGGAAACTTTCGCTCAATGTCCCTGAGATGATGTCTGAGGCTTATGGAACGAGAGTCTCGGATACAGAAACAGGAGTTGATACAACATATGAGGTGTCTTTTCAACATGCAGGAACGGGATCTGTCTCTGGAACCAAAACACAATCAACGACTCATACAGCATCTGCGGGACGATTGTTAGGCGAGAAGTATAAGGGGGTATGGGCCTGCCGAGGACTAGAGTCATTGGTAGTCGGCATCGACTATTCCGCAGATGAATTGACAGAGCAAGAACGCCTGCTCTACCCACCATCCAAGGCTCGTCAATTTATTTACGATCAAATCTCCCAGTTGGCCAACCTCCGCTACTTGGCTATCGGCGGCGGAATTTTAGGAATCGACGATGACGGAAGCGATGAAGAGGATGAAGGCGATGAAGAAGATGAAATCACAGGAAATGGACAAGGCAGCGGGGGAAATATTGAAACTGACAGCGACGGCTCTAACAGCGACTCTGATGCGGCCGAACCATTCGAGGACGATCACGACGACGAGGACTGGGCCCCATCTTCTAAGGCATCCGTGAAGAAGTTACAGACTATCATGGCTAATCTGGAGGTGAATGATCAAGATAACAATAAGATCTGGATCGATTTCTCGTTACGATCGGGATTGGCGACACTGGCACCACTCAAGGAACTTCGAGTCCTTTCGGTCAGTCAAGGTGTCCATGCCATCGGCGTTCGTGAGATTGAGTGGATGTGCAAGAACTGGCCCAATCTGAAGTCAATTGAGGGGTTGTATGAGAATGAGGCCGAGGAGGCTGTTGCTTGGTTGAAGAAGCATCGACCTGACATTGAACTGGAGAACGATGACTAGCGGCAATGCGGGATAATAAACAAGCAGGACCAAACGTACTTTAATGTTAAAAAAGTGTGGATGGTTTGCGCCATCAATGACCGACCCATTGTGTGACTTGTCGCTTTCAAGCAATTGTAATAAAACTGACTTCTGATGGACATGCCAGGAGAGAGAGGAATTAAAAGAAGTTTTGACTGTTGAGCTCGCAAGCAAGGTTTCAGCTTTATGTACGATTCAGGAACACAGCTTTTTTTTTCTTTTTTTTCTTTGCATCGTTCTCCCGGTTGCACCGCCCATTCAGTAGCCTGATCCAGTCGTCCGGCAACGTAGCTGCCATATTTTTCATTCACGAATCTCATCTAGGCTCCGTTAGAGGGTATTTGCATCGCATGGAGAGATAAATAAAGAATAACCACCTTTAGTTTTCACTTTTTAATATGCTCTATCTACACATGCTACCGAACAGGAGACAGCGGAGGTCATAACCGAATGCAGTATTCCAAGCATTGCTTCGACGTAGGAATCACGGCGATACTCTTCTTAGCGAAGGATTGCATTGCATGCATGAATGTAGGCAATGGTGCAGCAACCGAGGCCTTCTGTATATATATTACATTCCACCATCTTTGTTTTTTCACTATCAACCCTCTTCTACTTTCCGTCATTTTTTCCACAGTATGAACAACGGTGTCACCAGAAATCCCTATGCCAATCCAAAGACAGGAGTTCACGTGCCTTTCAACGTCAACCTAGAGTTGGTCTTTCACCACAGAAACGACGTCAGAGTTCAGCTTGACCGCATGCTCTAGGGCCATAGACCATGGGGCGACAGCAATGAACCCACAACAAAGTTCCACGCACCTCAAAACCAGACTCGCACGCGGTTCAATCCTTGGCGTGGAGACGTTTTGAACGACTTTTTCGTCTATCTCATTGAAGATTAAATACTGCATTCGAAGATCGCTGACGCTCTCCATAACAAAAAACTTCACGATTCCAGATCTGGTCCTGATCACATATCCATCTCGTTCTCATTGCCGGAACAAAATAACACGGTTGAATGTATTTAACTGATTAAGATACAGTTTCATTTTTCTGTTCTCTCTCACCTCGCCTCTCCATTATCATCAGATACCATGTATGGCGACACGAGAAACAAGAGTAAAATCAGGGCTCTAGCGGGGCTACCAAACTTGTCTATATCGAGCCGAGCCTAGACTAGGCATCAACACGGCACTTTATACCCACCTCACCCTAGTTTTCCATGAGAAAGCCAACATCAAGGCCCAACTCGATCTACTGCTCAGCCTTTGCAGGCCATGGGACGGTAATAAAAAGCTCATGCAAGACCAACGCCTCCATTACAGCGACCACACCAAGGGCGGTTCCGTCTCGCTCGTCAGAAAACCTATCCCTCACATTCTCCATCAGAACAAGAACAGGTTTCGAGCGGCTCCCATAATGCACCCAATTTTAAAAAGAGGCGGATTCGTTTTACCAGGAATCAATCGCCAACGTTCTAATTGTTGGATTGGACCGGCGTGAAATCTCTCGCTGTTGACCTTATTCAAGGCAAAATACCATGGCCAAAGATCGCGGACGACTACGTTAACAATTCCAATTCACATTAATTTCGCGTCGCAGGGTGTGTACCGACCTTGCCTCCCTCGTCTACGCGACGGAGTAGTCGTGGGTCAAAGAAATCAGAAACGTGTGGAGAAAAAACCATGGGTGCTGTGCGGTTTCAAACTGTTTGCGCGCCCAAAAAGAATGCAGCATGACAGTGGATAGCAAAACATAAAATAAAAAAATAAAATAAAATACTCCACCCAGCCAGTCAGTGATCTTTTTCTTTGTTGTTTGCATTCTCATCAACTGCAGACCCGCTCTTTTTTTTTTTTGTAACCGTCGCCGAGGGCTATGCTTCGACTGCCTGGACTACAGCAGAGCAAGCACCTGCTCCCTTACTGGTCCGCATCTCTTGTCCGAATGATGAGCTCTACAATTGGTCAGTCTCTGCGCCCTGCCGACATCGTGGCACACCCGCCGCAGCAGGAACAAACAGTCAGCACTTCGCCTCCAACCGCCCATGCAGCACTAACACATGAGATACTATGTGCAGGGGGGCTCTCGACAGCTTCAGGTCGACCTGTCGTACCCAGAAGGATCAAAATGCCCATCGCTGTCGCACCCATGGTTGATGTGACAACATCAGTACGTTCCTACCCCTGGACAATTCTTTAGTTCCATCGCCTTGATGAGCATGAATTGATTCAACTGGATAAAGCTATGCTGACCGTGCAATCCGAATTCCTTATCATGATAGCACTTTCTTCAACTGTGCAGGATTATATCCCCCAACTTCACACTCTACACAGAAATGATCCACTGCAATGCTCTCATTTACAATCCCAAAGACCTATACAACTTTTTCGGCGAACCATGGGAAGGCAAGGTCGTTCAACTGGGAGGTGCGGATCCGGAAGCGATGGCCAAGGCTGCAAAGTTGGTTCAGGATAACGGATACAAGGAACTTAACTTAAACGGTATGTGAGGACAGAACAGCATAAAAGCTCGAGCTCGATCCGATAACTAACAAGTTTTTATTCCGGACTTGTTCCATAATAGTGGGATGCCCAAGTCCTAGAGTGCAGAAGGGGGCCTTTGGCGCTGTGCTCATGAAGACGCCTTCGGTTGTGGTGGATATCATTCAGGAGATGCGCAAGGTTGGAGTAACGATTCCCATCACAGTCAAGTGCAGGATCGGCGTCGACAACCTTGACTCGTATGAATATCTTTATGATTTCGTAAGTCTTACTGCGTACATTGTGCATTGGGTCAACAACTGTGTTTGATTACGTTGCTAAAACAATTATTTGCATGTCTTTGTAGATCAAGTTGGTTTCAACAACTACGCAAGTGAACCACTTTATTGTCCACGCACGAAAATGTTGGCTCAAGGGATTATCACCAAAACAAAATCGAACCGTGCCACCATTAAAATATGAGGTCGTCTATCAGGTACTTCGCCCATTACCATCAATCCAACAGCGACTGCAGGGTTCACTCGCCGTTATTCGACGAATTTATGCTTATCGTACATTTTCTATATTTTGCTCCGCATGGCATCCCATAGCTTGCAAAGGATTTCCCGCATTTAACAATCACCATCAACGGTGGCTTCAACACAACTCAGCATATCAAGGAGCAGTTGGACTTGGTTGACGGAGTTATGATCGGACGTGAATGTAAGTTACTCCATGCGAGCCAGCTATTAATGGACACAAGCATCAGAGGCAGATTATGGGAGCTGATCATTAGAAATCGCTTTTTATTTCTTTCTATGGTTTAGTCATGGACAGGCCAATGTTCTTGGCGAAGGTCGATGCTGGTGAGTGATCCACAAAAATGCCTATGTAGTCCTTCGTGATCAGTCGTCACCCTGACTAATCATTAACCCCCCCCCCTCCCCCTTACCCATTTTTCGTTGCTGTTGTTATCAGCGTATCACAACGTCCCTCCTAAACATATCAAGACGACAGAGGAGATTGTTGATGAGTTCCTGGAATACGTACTGACAGAACATGAGCGCGGAACCCCGCATTCTAACTCGGTCGTCATGGCGCCCTTGAAAATGCTCTACGGCGGTCGACGCGGAAAGGAATATAGGAGACGACTGGCGGCGCTCATCTTACCACGTACGAAGCCCTTGCCGGACATCGTTCGAGATATGAGGCAGATGCTGCAAGAGATGAATTTCGGTAGCGAATTGGGCTCAGAGCCTGAGGTTGAGTCGGACGACGAAGCCGAGGCACAACAATCAGGCTGTGCCTAAATCTCATTTATGACACAACAAATAGACTGTATGTTTACAACATGTAAAGTTGTTATCATGCAAAAACTCATATCAGGAAAAATATAAAATATGCTGGGGGCAACTCCTGCGAGCTGCTTTGCCCGTTTAATAATGATCATTATTTGACAACTCGTCGATTGCAGCCCAAAAACACAGGCAACAGAAATAAAGATGGCATCATAAGCAATCTCTTTGTCACTATCTGACATTCAAACATCCACTCTCCCCGCTGTCCATTACCGAACAAGACCGATCTTCATCACAAAACTCTTCAAAATACATCGCTCTTGGTCTGTACCTACTGCCTCGCCTTCTCACTTTCCAAGCGCTGGTAGAGCATGTAGATCGCCATCTGGTTCGACTCCGGTGTTCCTGTGATAGTGACCAAGCGCTCGTTGTTTCCATTGTTCTGAGGCTCTGCAATCTTGATGTGCGATCCTGACATTTGACGGATCTCATTAATCTTAGAACCGCCTTTGCCGATGACACTGCCGACCATATCATTAGGGATGAAGATCTGCTGAGCAACCGAGCCAGGTCCACCGACACTACTAGCAGAACCGCTTCCTCCATGACCACCATAGCTGCCATGACCGCCACTGCCTCGCGAGGGGGGCATATAGTCCTGTCCGTAACCCATACCGCCATGGGAGGGGTATCCTCCATAGTAAGGTTGCTGGTGATGATGGTGCGAAGACGAGCCGTGGTGTGGAGGGTATCCACCCATGCCTCCTGCGGGTGGACCAGGGTATGCGCCGCGACCCATGGGTCTGTAAGGAATGACATTCACTGTGCGATCACGCTCGCTATGCTCCTGGAGAACAACACCAACATGGTAGACCGCAATATGGATCGCATCGGGAACTCCAGTAATCGTGATCGTGCGCTCCGTCGATGCTGGCAAAATTTCCTCCGAAGCGACCAAACGGGCCCCCGAGGCGTCCTGGATTTCCTTGATCTTGGCGCCACCCTTTCCAATGACAGAACCCATGCGGTGATGGGCGACCAAGAGACGGATTGCGGTCGACTCAGTCTCAGGTGCGGCATCGGGCTCAATGTGCTCCGCAATTATCTTTTGCGCCACCAGTGAATAGGCCTATATGCCCACAATAAAAGCAAGAACATATATTGAAATGAGTATTTTTTTAAATGCAAATAGGTTGAGCATAGCCAAAGAATTTCTTTGTCAAAGCAAAATGTACATGCCTTGGCGACAGTATCCAATGGACCCGAGACAGTCAGGATACGCTCATAGGCGCCAGGGACCATCTCTGAGATGGTAACCTTAGCTCCAGACTGCTCGCGAATCTCGCTCACGTTCTTGCCGGACTTGCCAATGATTACACCTGCATCCTTGGTCGACACAATGGACCTCAAGGCGGTGGTAGGAGGGATGTCACCCTCTGCACCATCCTTCCTGGCTTTGATATTAAAAGAGAAATTGCAATAATGAGCCAGCAGCGAAAAATCACCGGCGAAATATTAACAAACAGTCAAAAATGCTCAGAATCAGCGTTGTGCAACGTGCGTGTGGAACATACAAGCATCATCAGAGTTGCGGCGACGGTGCTGGGGACGCTGAGGAGAAGAAGAGTTGGAGTCGTTCACGGCGGCGCGCTTGTGGCGACGATCCTCCGAGTCGGAGTCGTGATCATCTGAATCATCCGTCGGCAGAGATCTCTTCTTGTCGCGATCCTCCACAGTGTTTTTTTCAGTATCAGACATGATTATTTGTGAAACGTTTTCGTTTTGGGAAGTGAGGTTAGAACGGTTGACAGGCGAGAGGGAGGACGCGCGGATAGGATGGTGGGGCGAGGACTCTGGATGGTAGGTAGATGGAAGATGTGTGCTTGAGGAAGCGGATTTGGAGTGCTAGAATCGGTTTTGTTGAGCCAATGCGGCCAAAGAGAGAAGGGGAAGGGGGAAGCAAGGGTTTGGGCGTAAGCAGTGGGGTCAGCAAGTCAGTGTCAATTGAGCGGCGATGGATAGATAGTTTGATAGATAGATCGGCCGGCCGGTCGGTCCGCCTTGACAGACCAAGCGACCAAGAGTGATGAAAAGTGAGCGTAGAGAAGAAAAGAAAAGAAAAATATGGCAAGGGCCGAGCATGTAGGAGGTGGAGGAGAATGTCCTGGTAACTGCTTCCTGGTTGTCTCGAGCCCTCGTGCCAATGGGAGACCAGATCAGCTGCCCGCAGAACTAATTGCCACTCTAGCCACTCTAGCCACAGGAATATTCCTTTGTTGCAAAGCAATACGGCCGTTTTCATGGAAAGCCATGGGACGAAGGCTGTGGGGCCGGTTCCTGGGAGTTGCCGCTTTTACGCGTGCAACATAGGCCGCCACTAAGCAACTAAACTCTCCAGGGCATAGGCGGTTGGGACAGCAAAATCTTGTAGTGCTTCGACTGCTCAGTCCAATACAGCCTGCCAAGGCGATGATAGATAGCTCTAGGACTCCAAGCGGGTCTTCATGGCTTTCGTACGGTCTGTCGCAGGAGGCAGCCTTGTCGCGTCGACGCTAGATCCTTTCAGGGCAAGCCCGGATCAGGTCCCGTCTCAAATAAAAGGACCAATAGTTGCTGCGGTACAGGTGCGCGATGGAAGGAATCAAAGGAAGAGAAGATCGACGAGTAAAGGAGCATGATTATTACCGATTACTTGTCCAAGAGGGATGGAGTGCGTAGAGTAGAGATGAGGATGATTGCGATGATGTGGTTGTTTGGTTGTTAAAGACTGTCATACACCAGGGGGGAATACAGCTCGTCATCAACCCCTCTCTGCCCCTTAAGCTTTAATCGAGCTGTCAATTATGAGTTCTCCTTTTGATGAGAACAGCATTGTCGCGTACCAAAAAATGGACATTATGTTTCGGGCAGTTCCTTGGGATGGTCTAATGCATATTAAAACTACATCCGCAATAGGCACAATCGCTGGCGGAGGTATTTGTTTGCTAAATGACATTCTGAGAATATTCTTCTTCGCAGCTACATGATCTATGGATACTTCTTTTTGCTCAAGATATAGGATAAGAGGCATTGTTGGCGAGACCAGAAGAAAGAGAAAGAGCGAAGAAGAGAAGAAAGAGGGAAACTAGGGCAATGACAGGGGACAAGGGGACAGGGGCGTTCAATTGTCCATAATGAGACAACGAGCATTGCTTCTCTATTCTAAGAGGCTGAGTAACTTGGTCAGTCGAACTACATCATTTAAGAATAGGCATTGAATATGCCTTTGCCCCCCCCCCAAAAAAAAGGCCTTGGTCAACAGCAGCGTGACAAGCACAATAAAATCACAATCCAGACAATGGGAAGGAGGATAGAGGAAAACATTGCAGCTGTCACCACTGACTAGTGAGGGAGATTAAGGCAGAAAGATGAAAGACGTGTTGCCAGGTATAGAATGATGAGAGAGTGATTGGAGCGTTTCTTCAAATGACCTTACCGAATTACCGGAACCACATACTAGCCGCGCAGCTTTAAATGGCGGATAATTCATTACTCATAAAATTGAACGGTATTGGAGAGGGCGTTGTCCTTCCTTGCTCTTGTGATCTTCGCAGTACGATGCACAATGCCCACTGCACATCGTACGTGCCGAGCGGATATGAATTGATAGCATAGACTAAAAATGCAGACTGCAAACTCTACAGCCAGCCCTTTGTTTGCTCAATATCCTGCTGCGGCCTCCTATCTCGTTAGTTTAGGCATTGTGCTCCCATGACCAGGCTCGTGGTTTAGGATTTTAACGAAGTTGTTTGTGTTGTGTATGAGGATCTCGCAAATCTTGCTCAAACACGGCACACCATATAAAATGCCAGTGTAGTATGGGTAATAGAGGGTACCTGCATGGCGGTCAAAATTACTGCTGTGTTTCTTCTATGGTAGTGTTGCACCTGCATAGAATACGTATGCGTAGGTCGAAATGAAAGGCGAGGCAATATTTTCATCCTCTTTGTTTTATATTGGCCACTGGTTGCAAATACAGCGACCATGATTATACTCCTTACGTTATAGTTTCAAACGCTATTTTTAAACCCATTTGTTAGGTTTCCGATGGTTGTTCTCCAACAGCAGCAGGTGGGACCTTTCAAACAAAGTGCTAATGATTATCGTCTGCTTTCGGACAGTCCTCTCAGAAGGCGTTTCATTGACAACAGCGACCTGCTTTTTTAGGATAGAGACCAGGGTTTACGTCTCATTTTGGACGCGTCCACGAGAGCGATGTGGGCTCGTTATACTAACGCATCCACAGCCCAATTGGTCCCAAATGCCGAAATGCCATAAACGCCTACCGCAGCCTTTGTATCAAATTGACCTCATCTGGCCACCGCCCCACCATGCTTGCAACGCTGGCGAACTTTTTCCGATAGTCCAAAGTTCGACAATTGCAATCAAAGCGGTGCTCACCGGCGTTCATTGTCTACATTTAATTTTGGATCATCCCGTTTCTAAACTACCACAAGGAAGACAGAATGGTGCTGTATTTTGTTATCATCATATCTAAAAATATCTGTGCATCGTACTCTATCCAGTGATTCTGAGTAGAATGAACACGAGCCATTGCTAAAGCACTATGAACCTGTCAATCGTTGCATCCCTGGAATAGGGCCTCAGGCCGTATCTATAAGCATAGTGCGAGAGAGCATTCAGATAATGACTAGAGCGAGTATGATCCAGACCCTAAAAGAACCCGTCGCTCTTTTCACTTGTATAACGACAGGTATCAGACCGCTCTAAAATGCTAGTTAATAGCGAAGCTGGTGAGAACGAGAGAACACGCCTATGAGCCCAATGTGGCGTTGAAGTAGATCCATTTGTTCCCTTGATATTTACCGTTCCCAAATGAGTATATCATCACTAGAGTTTGCGCCTTGAATGATTGACAGGCAAACGACGTCGAGGGAATGAGAAGTGATTGGCATGACCCTAATTTAGCACTTCGCGAAGTAAGTACCCCTACAGCCCGACCTTAAATGACAAGACCCTCGCCCGATGTCGACAAATTTATCTTATTCTCCACGCTCTCAAAAGGTTATTCTCAGATATAATCACCGTTTCTCCTTGTGCAATCTAATGCCACACGAAATACCAACATGACAGTGGGGCTGTAGCGATTGTAAATGAGGCCTATTCGTCCATGATGTCCGCGCTTTAATGTTCGCATCAGATCAACAAAGTTGACATGCACGCATGCCGCTCTCGTGGTCATGGCCAGAAACAGAAACCAGTATATAGGACTTTTACAAACGTAATGAGCTAACAAGACAGTTGCAAACACCATTCTTATCCCATGCCCCTGTCACTTCTCCGTTTCCTTCCATTTGTATCCATCTGGACCAAAAGAGGACGGTATGAGACAAGAGTTGATCGCGTCAAGGATGGAAAAATTGTGCAGCTGGATTTGGATCATCTATGACGCCCATATGGTGTGAGCGAGCGATTGAGAGCAAAATAAACAATTTCAAGGGGGCATTCGCGTGTGTTTGTGTGCCGTGCCCGTATTTTGTGGCGTTCAGGTAAACCCACGTTGATACATCCTGTATTATCTAATTGCGGCTTCAACTATTTTAATAGGAGTCGATCCTTATTGCAATTTATACTTGTGTTCATTTCATTAAGTTTCCTCCTTGACCACAGCAGGATCATCTCCCTGATTGCTAGCGCCAAGCGCGAATCCACGAGCGCGTTGTACTTATCTATGTAACAATTAGCAGCATTCCTCTTTCGTATTTCAGGGAAGTAGATTGTTGTTCGGGCCGATCGAGCGAATGGCATTTCTTGATTTATTCTTGGGTTCATAAAAATAACTGACGAAGGAAATGTCGTGTGGAGCAGATTGACATTCTACGCTTACTCAATTTATCACATCAACGCCAAGAGTGTCTCATTTTCACATTAGACATTCCAACGATACCTACGAATATAATCTCTCTCTTCGATACATAGCAAGCAAAGATTAATGAAAAGCCCTTTTTTCAACTGGCATTCAGTTGATACAATTTCGTACTACATCCATGTAAATCGGGCCATCGACTGAGGAATTAAGTCAGTAGTAAAATTAAACAGCCCTCAGCTCTGACGCACCGAGCCCCATAGAGTTCCGAGGCTGTATCTCGTCCTTCGTCATCTTGCGAAGAACGAGTCTTGCTCTCCCTTTTTGGTCTTTTTCCCCAGACCCGACTTTGTCTAAGGTTCGAGACATTTTTGCTTTTTGCTGGCCATCATTCGCCATACTGTGGTCAACAAAATGGTTCCGGCTTCTCTGTATAGAGTTCAAGACATGGGCACATTAAAAAAAGAATACCAACGCTATGTGAACTATGACCGGGTATAAAGACAGACTTGCGCTAGGAATAAGGGACGCGTTACCACTCAATACCGCGCCGCTTGGAGAGCAGTATGTATGTATTCGAATCTCAACAGGCCGGAAACGGATGCATGATCATTTGTCATCCTTCTCTTTCTTCTCTCCGCCTTACTCTTCTACCGTGGAGGAAACAAGCTGAATCGTAAATAATCAAACAAACAAACCACATGTAGCATTTAAATAAACAAAGTGAGCAGATCCTCAGAGAACCCAACGTGGACAAAGAGCTCACAAAAATTGGGATTCAAATGAAATCATAATAACTATAGACAATGTATTACTGTATCCAAATTTGATCATTGCCATTCAATGATTCTGCGCTGCATCCTATACTAAAGCGCAGAAAGGGCTGAGAGTCTCCAAAGTGGACCAAAATACACCTGAAGAGGGAGCAACCTGCTTTACAAAAGGACAGCGCGTCATCTGTTAAGGCTGTTAGACCTGCATGGAGGCTCATTCCGTTTACGGCCAACCAGTGACCTGTACTCTCACAGTTACATTAGTTGAACCGGGACAGTATCCGATCACAGCTTAAGCGCTAGTGTGCCAATTTCTTGCTGGTAAAAATAAAAATGTCTCCATCGGAAAGAATGAATCATAGATGCTTGATAGCCGCAAGTTGACGATCAAGCTAACGTTAAACGAGGATCGGAAAATTCTGAGCGATTGCTTGACAGCATGCAGAATACCGCGCGGGTCAGGTTCGAATATGTTCAGAACCATAGTAGAGTTTTCCGTCCCTTAGGCCACCTGCCTCACCTCGTGGCTGTAGTGAAACTGGCCATCAGCCATGTTCATAAGATAGAAAGTCTAGCCGCGTGAACAAACGTTGTGTTTGTAATCACCAGGTCGGCAATTAGATCATACCATATAAATTGTGAGAGATGGGTCTGCATTGCATTTGAGGCAAGCCTATACGCAGCTCAATTGTAACGTCTTACATTGCTCGATAGATTTGATATTGATCGCGCTTAGAAGACATGCGAGTTATCTTGGTCAAAGTGCACTACAGTCTATGTTATGGTTAATGCTGTTGTTTGTTGTTGTTTGTCGTAGCTTTCGGTTCTCTTTCGTTTTCTTTTATATATATATTTCTTTTGAAGCTGCATGTTTGGAGAGGAAGAGAGCCGTGCATGTTGTTCATTCCCGTAATACGCATCACACATGAAGGGCACCATACTTCGTTGCACTAATTCAGCTATCAGCTATGCACAGTAGCCTGCAAACCCAATCTTCTCTCGTGTAATGCCTTTGATGCATGCGTTTGTTTACAATATGAACGGGTTCCTTGGCGCCATGTTCGAACCCTCGCGTTTGCTGTATATACGCGTTGTATAAATACTTTTCGATATGCTGCACCCTCGGGGGATTCTCTCTCCTTACTTTAGATAGACATCCATCGTTTGTTCGATGCCGGGCACTTATGCTCGCTGTCCTTCCTCCATTTGTGAGGATTGCGATATAGAAGGCTACACACGCATCAAATCCGTGGTTGTACAAGAAAAGTCGACAAAAATAACACGAGAAAGAGAAGTCAGGAGAGACAGCCGACAGACTTGAGAGCACCTATACGTCCCATGGTGGCACCAGCACAACTCGGTTATTTATATCTCGGCTATTAGCATGATACATCCGAGAATAAAAAAAAAGAAAAGCGATCGTTCCTCGTCTCCCACTCTTTCTCGATGCTTGGACGCCTTGGCCATCAATCATTCATGAATAATGACCCTTGAAGCGCTCTAGTTCAAATAGAAATGAGTGCCGTAGGGTTGTAGAAGAACATATACGAAAGAGTTATGGTCATCGAGTGGAAAAAAAATTAGTCAGGCGCCGGAAAGAAAATGTGTAAAGAAAAATGTACTTGTTGCGAGAACATTGCTTCCCGAAAATGTAATGCTTGCTTGTCCGGCCATAACTCATATCAAAACAAGAGCAGCAGTGAGGAGAAACGTAGTGGAAATGGCACATGTTTTTCTCTTTTGCCCAGCACACATGGCTTGCTATTGCTCCATCTGGTTCACATCAACGCCTATGAATAGGATCAAGGAGAATCCAGTGTCGTATGACCATGACAGGGACTGAGTGGCATTTGCAAAGTTGCTATCTGTGGATATAAGTGACAGCTAGTGCATAGGCGAGGTTTGTGCAAGCGTTTACAAGTACGCAAACTAAGGAAAAAAAAAAAAAAAAAAAAAAAAGCGCAGCACCTTGTGGGATACCAATTGGGGGTCGAAGATCGCCTTGATTACCTTATTCTCTTGACGAACGCTGTGTATGAGACTACTCAGTAAAAGATATGGCCTACCTCATCGCGATCCAAAGGCCATCAAGCCCTTTTATTCCAGCCTTCCAAGTTTTGTCCGCTGGAGTGCATCTTGTCAAGCATGGCATATTACGAGTTTGTTGATGAAATATATGATCGGATGAGTAACTGAAGGCTGTCGGTATGATATGTACATCTGGCAAGGTGCTGAGTAAAATTAAAGGCATGGGAAACGATGACGGTGATGATGAAAATGAGTTTAGAACCAAGCTCCTTTCTCATAGGTCAGTACGACCTACACAGTGCCAGTCAGAAATGACAAAGGAAGGAACTGGTGGTACCGGTGGCACCGATGGTGGGATCTAGCGGGTGCCCGGAAGATATTCAAATGAGTAATGCAATCCTCTCTTTCCTCATCCTCCCTCCTTCCGAAGGAACTATGAATAACATATTTAGAAAAAGAAATTGCCCGGTGCTGTAGTAGTGTCCTTCCTCCCTCTGTTTTTGATGTTCGAACGGCTGCCTGTGTGGTCAGGACGGCAGCGTTCCGGCACCTGGCGTAATAGAGGAGGACGTCGGTTGCTTTTTAGGAACTATACCATGATGGTTCCCTTGGGTGTCATCCCATCCACATGTTCGACCTCGCTCATTCTTTTCCCTCGTTCCTGTCTGCTCATTGTAGGCCGCAGCATGGAATAGATCAACCCTAAAAAAATGAAAACTATTGATCTTTGGCATGTAGCCTACTTTCAGCTCAATTCGCTCTTTCTTCTCCTTCTCTTTCTCGCTTCCCAGGCGGCCTGTGACTCCTCTTGTTTTCTTTTTTGCGTGGTTTTATTTGACTACAGTACTCCATCTGAGTCCTATTCCATTCAGTTAACTCAGTCCTGAGAAAAGCATACAAAGTTCATGTATGTACTGACGAGCTGAGTGAGCAGCCAGCTGCAGTGTTTGCAAACCAAATGGAGCAAGAGGAAGGGGTGGAACTCAATTGATCGCGGGGTATTCATTCATTATTTAATTGAACAACTGCTCGGATTGATATTCATTCATTTCATTCATTCACTAGTCACTCACTCGCTCATAACTGTGACCTAAATGAATACAACCCAGGAGACTCGAGAATACTGAACAATTATATAAACGAGTGCTGGGTCTTTCCCATTTTTTTTAGGTCTTTTTGCCACCTTCGCCTTTCTTTTCTTTTGTTCTTGTAATTGACTGTTTGGCATCCCCACACCCATATCTCGCACCTTACATCTACAGTCGACAGTTTGCCTCGTCCATCCTCCTCATTCCTTCTCTTCCTTCCCTGCTCTGACCTGCACGACTTCCTCAAACACTCGTATTACTACCACCAGACATCCTCTCTTCCCTGGTCCAGAATTTTTCTCTTCGCTTTTTCAATCCTTATTCTGTACCTTATCCTCATCTACCACACCACCTTGCTCTCTCGCCAACTCCTATTCTACAGTTTCCCTCTACGTGCTTCTTGTCGATCTTGTCGTTGACTGCATCGTATCACATCGCACCGGACCTGGACACGGCAACACAAAAAAAGAAAAAAGAAAAGAAAGGCAGACCATTCCATCCAAGCTTCGACTCTTGTAGTTTTCCACACAGGCATAAACGACAGGTGCCCTTCTATTCTCTCTCCAGTGCCTTCGTTCAAGTAAGTACCAATAGGACAAACGAGCAGCATACTACGCTGCGAGCAAACTCAGTATAACAATAGGCGAGAACACGACCTGGATCGGCACGACGCCAACTACTACTCGTCCTGTCACATATACCCCTGAATGATCCATTGATTTGCAATCATTGATCGTGAATTGGATGCATATCCATGCCTATGTTCTTTGGTACATGCGGGATCTCGCTCCGAGATGATCTACAGCAAGCACTTATGAATGGCGCTAGAACCATCTTAGAACGCTGAGCCTACAGGATCCAAAACAGGACACACACCTTCGTAGCTCTCTGGAAGCATCGCACAAAGTTGTTCCTGGAATCAGTAGACCACACAACTGCCTCTCTCCACACACACCCCTCTTGCTCTTCACTCTCTCCTTTTTTGTTCCAGCTGCATCTGTGCTCACGCCTTTCCTCCTTCTCTTGGTCTCGCCTTAGTGATTGGGCGTTGTAAGGATCATCTGTTTTAACAACTGGTGCCTTTTTCTTGTGTTGTGCCTCAAGTCAACCTAAGCTATCTTGTTTTCGGAAGCAACAAACAAAAGGTAAAGTCAGGTTTCGATCCACATACAATTCTGGATAATCAAGTCCACTTTCTCCATACATCCTTTTTCCATGTTACAAAATGGAAGCAGTTCTCAGATTATGGTTCCGGCTATTTCGCAGCCTAGCCCTGAACTGTGTATACATGCATACACATTAACACATACATTATGCAGATGCACAGAGGGGAGACGCGTAAGGTAGCGGTTAGTCTACCATCGCAGCGTTGGACGGTGGGGCAAAGGGGTGTAATGGATAAGGTGCGGCTGGAAAGATGATTGTTTTACCGCCATGTGCGCCGTGCATTTTTTTTTTTTTTTTTTTGCCGCCAACTTACACACCTTTGGGTTGCGGTTTGTGCTTTCTCTATTTGTTGTTATTCGCACGCACCAAAACTAGGGAATTAATGCCACGAGGGTGCACATTTCTCCCATCTTCATTTTCCTTTGCGGCGCCCGTGTTTGTGACAAAGTTGTGGGCAGGAGTGCGTAGGACATGTCTATTTCAGTTCCCCCGATTCGTTTCATACGAAATAGCGCATTCACGTTGAATTTCTCCTCTCCTCTTGTTTATTGAATTATTGCTTTCAGCGGTGCAGCTGCCCAGTCCAATGGCTTCATGTCTGTATGTATACTTGAATGTGTAAAAATGGAGTTAAAAAAAAGTGGGAGAGTTTCATTTGGACATGCCATTTATTGATACCCAGAATCTGGGATACAGTGATCACAAACAGGTGTGCATTTGGTATGGAGTGTTTGCTCGTACAGCCCATAAATGACAGGGGTTGACTTTGCAGACAGAAATAGTGATCGCCATAATTTGGTAAGGGCGGGAAACTGAAGTATTTGTTAAGAAGACTTGCGGTCTTAAAAAGAGAGTTGATTGACCCCACCGATGCGGTGCCTGTGCGTTTTGTTTTCCTTTGGTTGCTTCCTCTATTGAGCAATCGGCGTCAATTGAGAGTGACGGCGCGAATGAGCGATCCAGGCAGGGGCAATGGGCGGGATTATGGCATACGCATGGCATTTCAGTTTTAATACCTTTCGACCAGGTGGGGGTGGCTAGTTTCATCAACCTGGAATGTTCTGCATGTCCCACCCACTCTGTGGTAGAAGCACTGCACAAAGCTTGATTGGGGAAATGGCTAGGATTCTCGTCCCCGTGGATTTATCGACAGGGTGTATGTATCGTTACTCTGTTAGGAAACGATTTCTGCAGTTCTCTTTTTTTTTTTTTTACAATTGTGCGGGCCATGTGCGAGTTTTGTGCGTCTGTCAAAGGTCTATTCTTATCACTTTTGTTCGCTACTTTATAATTCCGTTCAGTCGTACCAGTTCCCTAGGGAACCACATGCATGCACGATATTTTTTAGCTGGTCGGATCGCTTCCACTGTGCATATATCGTATGCATGTTATGCTCTGTTTGCCTTGGGATGTTCTTCTCCTCCGCTTGTCCTTGTTTATTTCTTGTTTTTTATTATTTTGCAGCGGTGCTGCATGACGCGATCGATGGAAGGGAGGATAATTATTTGTTTTGTGGAAGTTACTTGCAAACGAGCAAGCATTGATGCTGGCTTGTTGCCTTCATGGCATGCTTGGATTGGCCGTGTGAGATGGGGGGGCATACACCGGTCAGTCTATACTCTATCTCATTTTGAACTGCCGCTTTGTTTATCAGATGTGTGCTTTCGAAACGTGCGCGCCTTTGTTTGTCATTTTTCCATTTGCCCAAGGGATGAGGATCCCTTGATCGCTCAGTCCTTTTTTCTTGACATCCCACTCCCCCTCCCCCTGCTCTCCCGATCAAGAGCCATCCGATTGCTCTTATTTTCTGGGGTGGTGTTATTGCAGCTTGAAACTAATTAAAATATTCCCTTTTTTCCTTTTCCTACCGCCCTCTTTATTTCTTTTTTCCTTTCCCCGTTCCTTGCATTAACAAATACACCCGTCCCGCTCGCTAACCGTAATGCATTGAAATTTCCCGCATCCAAAAAGTCATAGTATCAAGCCCTGCGGAGGAAGCTATCACGCTCGCCACGAGACCGATATCCTGCTGTACAGCTTACACATCGGCCGCGGTCCACTTCGTTCGAATATACTCTCTTTGGAACTTTGACAGTATTTGCGTCAAGGAACTAACGTGTCTGTCAAAAGGCGGCCATCCTCTCCGGACCATTGCACTCCACTGATATCAAGTACTTGCAAGAGGATTGGGGAACTATGCAGTCATCTTCGGCCGCGCCTTCGCACCAGCAACAGCAAAACCAACATCAGCAGCAACATCCACAGTCATTGTATACTAACCAGCAAGCACCACAACAGGCCAACGTCCACTCGCATATATCATCGCCAATGGGACAGCAACAGAATCTAGCACAGATCCGGGAGGAAACCGCGATGGAGAGCATCATGGCCGGGATGGAATCTGGGGAATACTTTTCACAATTGCAGCTGCAGTCGCCACAGCTTCCGCAGGCGTCCTTCGCGGTGTCGCCATCGCAGCAGCAACATTCTGGACAGTTGACGCCAATGATGACGCCCTCCACAATGGGTTCCCAATATGACTACTCATCGGCCTCATCGTTGACCCTTTCCACTCCGCTTCTGGCTTCTCAATCTCAGAACGTGTATGACATGTCCGGTGCAGGGGCATCGACCATGTCAGCCACGTCTTCCATGGATGGATCGTCGACTTATGCTTATCCATCATTTGCATCCTCTGCCAACCCCCTCTTCTCATCACCGCCTGCGATCTCATCCTCCGGCGCTTTCTCGCCAACCATGTCGAACGTGCCGAACTATTTCACGCATCAACAGCACCCACAATCCAGCCATAACAATCATTATTTCTCGAATAACATCACCATTCCGCCTGGAGGCAGTCTGCAGTCACCATCTCATGCTGGAGACGATGCACAGATGGCGCAGGATGGTGTTAGCATGTTTATGGCGGGCTCAGGAATGGGCGGCTGGGGTTCGTACTCTTTGACCAACCCTACGCCCTCGGTCGACGCGCTGATGCAACAGCAACAGCAGGAACAGCTTCAGATGAACGATCTTTCCGATCAAGCACGGCAGATTTACCAACAACAAGATCAGCTCCACTCTCCTCCACTGAACGCTGTCGGAGGTATCAATGGCGTTCAGTCCCCATATACGGCCACTACGCCACCCATGACCCCGCATCGGCATCATAGACTATTTCACTCGCAGTCGCAACCAGGACTCAGGAACTTGCAGCAGGAGCAACAAAAGCAGCAGCTCCTTCAACAGCAGCACCAGCAGCACCAGCAGCACCAGCAACAGCAAACCCTCCGCCGTCGCCAGCATTCTGTTCACTTCCCAAGCGAGTTTTTATCGGGCGACCTTGGTAGCATGAGGACCGCGCGTCACGTCAGCCTGCCCAGCGGATCCTACAGTGCACCCATCCCGTCGTTGGCCAGTCTTTCAGAAATGATGCAGGAGTCGCCATCAGGAGGAGGTCTAGGGGCAGGAGCGGATATGGCGACGACACTGGCCGAGACTGCAACTCTGTTGTCAATGTCCCTCCCAGCATCGACTCACGGATTCTCATTTTTGGATAATCCTCCTCCACCAATGCATCACCATCACTATATGCCCACAAGCCCTCCCTTGACTTCAACAGAACCCTCAGTCGGGTCGACGCCAACGACGCCAAAGTCACGGTCACGCGCTGGATCAAAATCGCGCTCAAGACCGGCATCTGCAGGATCGATTGTCTCTGTTAGGAACGCAGGTGCGCCTTACTCGCCTGCGATATCAAATACTGGATCGACACCCTCTGGAGTTGCCAATTCTAGATCTCCATCATTGGTTCCTCTGTCGCCAATCCCGTCTTTCAAACATGGTGGTGCGTCCGCAGATTCAGAGCAGGGGCCTCCGCCAACGCCCACCTACGAAACTGGACTTATTGTAGTGCCAGGAACTCCAAGCACCGCCGGAGCCACCAGTACTGCAGGAGCTACAGCACCGCCGAGCAGCGGCGGCAAGGCGAAGCGCATTTCAAGAACCAAGGTCCCAGGAACAAAATCGCGTTCACGATCCAGCACGCTAACATCACCATCGTCCGCGCTCGGCACTCCTTCCGAGGCGACTGCAGGACTGATGAATTCTCCCTTTTCGCTGGTGTTGTCTGAGCAGGACGAGAAGACACTTCAGGGACTCGCGGAACAGGCGGCAGCGGATGGCCGAGGAATTATCACTTCAGGAGAAGATATTGACTCGTTCCAGCTTGATGCTGCAGCTCACCTTCAACAGCATCAACAACACCAGCAATACCAGCAATTGGATCCTAATATCTTTGAGCTGTCTCTGATCGCTGACTTGGAGAACGAGGATGACGCCGAGGGCATTGATGCTGAAAGTGCGGAACTAGGCGAAGAATCCTCAGCAGCAGGGGTCGGAGCGTCCTCAGCGCCATCATCTTCCAGTTCCTCGTCTTCCGTGCCTGGAAAGCCGATTCCATGCCCGATTCCATCTTGCACCAAATCTTTCACCCGTCCCTTCAACCTGAACGCGCACGTCAAGTCCCATGATACGCTCAAGCCGTATGGTTGCCATCTCTGCCCGCGTGTCTTCTCGCGCAAACATGATCTGCAGCGCCATATCCGCGTCCACACGGGATCGAAACCGTACGTGTGTGTGAACTGTCAAAAGGCCTTTGCGAGGACCGATGCCCTGTGTCGCCATTATAAGGTTGAAGAGCCCTGTCGGCTGTTCATGCAGCAGGACGAGGTTCGAAAGCAGGCTCAGCAACAGGTTCAGCAACAGTTGCATCAGGAGCAGATCGAGCTCCAGCAAGCTCAGGAGGCACATGCACAGGCGAAGGCACAGGCGGAAGCACAGGCGCGCGCGCAGTTGATGGTACAGTCTGGGGATATGACGGACGACGGCAGTGGGCTTGTAGATCCGGAAGAGGATATACAGAAGCTGACAGCTATGTCTATGGCAGTGACAATGGAACAGGTACAGCAGCATCAGCAGCAGTTGCAGCAACAGCAACAGCAGCATCAGCTGAGTCCTTCGGCGGTGGCACCTTCTGTGGCAGCCAACGATCAAGAGCAGGACCCAGCCCAGGCATGATGGTGTCGATAGTGGATGTTCAACGCGCACTTTATGACCATTTAATGATTATTCACAGCCTACAAGAAAGGGTCCGTTATATATATTACTGTATGTACAAAACAACATTCACTCATCTCACCCACCATCTACACAAACACACGCACTTCACTCTGTTCACTATTCAAAAAGTTTATATACATAGTCATTTTAACTGTATCATTACATTCCTTGCTTTTGAATAAAACATGCAAAGATCTATACCTAAAGCTGAAGGTATAGATAGGTATATAGCATAGAGAATGTACTAAATGCATGGTTTTTTGAGCAGGAGAAAATTTCGCACGCATGTTGGTACAGTACTACAGACTACATGTTTACATGTTGCTCGTCCCGCACCCGGACTGAGTCGCCGATTCAAACAGTAGATCTTCTCGTGGCCGTTTTTCCTAGCCCTACTTTTGAAGAATCGGTTCTGGCAAACACGAGGCGCATGAAATGGAGCAAGGGGCAGTGGGGAAAGTAAACAAAATGCAGCATAGGTTAATGTGTCCGTTTTTTTTTTTCGTCCGCTTGGCTGGATGTATTCCATTCTACAGAGTACCCTTTGTTTTCTCTCGTCATGGAAGTTTGGGACATGCAAAGCTGTATGAAGCCGGGACTTTCCATCACAAATGATACTCCATGAGCAAATGTCCATGCAGATCCGTTTTCGTATACGCCTTTGGCTTCCCAGCCCGCAGGTGAAACCATGAAAATTCGGAAATCCGCTTTTATTTATTGCTCTCGTCCGAAACTCTCCTCTCCCCCTCGCATGCTCCATGTCCGCATTGTCGGGATGGGTGCTCCCAAGTAGATCTTTTCCCTAAATGCTTCCATGTGAGATGAAGATTTCTTACGGGGTTATTTTAGCTGTAAAAACAAAATCACCGCTCCTCTCTCTCCTCTCAAGCAGCACAGCATGCGTGTTTGCGACACGTTGGGATATCGACTCTTCGAACTTGAGCAAAGGTTCATCGCAATGGTTCCTCTTCATCTTATTATTATTCTTTCAACATTTTCAAGAACAATTCTACTCCTTTCTTCAGCCTTTCAAGAAACAACCGTCATTTCCAATATTACTATTATTGCTTTTCTTTCATACAAAGAAAAGTGTGGAGAGTATAACCGCTCCAACTTTTTCTTTTTTTAATATATTTAAAAAGCGCAGCCTTCTAACTTCATAGTCATGGTCTGGGGGGAGGTTTGTGAGGGGAGTTGTTACTGCAATTCATGTATTGCCTCTTCGTGACAAATTCTTTTCTTTTAGAAAAAAAAAACTGGTATTTTAAATACGGCCAGCCTTGTAGTGCTGCCAGTATGCGGCAACGAAGGGGAGCGCGAAACCAGTGCCGAGGTATCCAGCGACCTTGAAGGCAAGGGCAGGCTTGTTCTTGGTCGAGAAGGGGATGTTCTGTCATATATATCCGCGTATAGTTATGGGGTCATTAGACAGATAGACAGGCAGGCAGGCAGGCAAATTGAACCATAATTGTGGAGCAGAATCGTCCACACGCAGACCAGTATACAAAGAGGATAGAGCGAAAAAGAAGGAACAAAAAAGATCAGTTTACTTGCACTGCAGCTCTTTCGTCCCAGAGATGGTGCTACCAATGTCTCAAGTTCGACTGCAGGGTTTTGGTCTCAAAAGAGTCCACATATTTCCACTTCCGGGCAATTGGAGGGACCATAGGATTTTTGATTGCCATTTCTCAATTGGTTTGGGATGGGAAGGGCGAGGCGCTGAAGTTGATATCCATATCCGGACTCGATGCAGGGTATGTTTCTCCTGCACGCTGTGTACTGTGCAATGTGCTCAATGGACGTCGTGTTTGCAACAATGTTGTGGAGGACGTTCAGCGGTCAATCCGTCGATCACTGCGTAGTATAGATACGCGTTCGGTCTACTGCTGCTTTGACTGGCATCTCGGTCGCGCCACTGCTGATATCTCACGGCATATGTAGGTCATCTCAGTATTGTCTTTGCTTCCTTCTTTGTATCGTCTCTCTTGCTCCCGCCTGTTCGTACTTGTCGACTTTGTCGGAAACAAGAATCCTGAATGTCCTGTTTGTTTACGCAGACAGAACCCTGCGGAGCTCCCCCCCCCCCCCATGATCCCCAGATGTGTGTATTTTGGTTGTTTTTGTTTCGATCAGTACCTTGCCGTTGTCGTTGGTCCAGTGGTAGGCACCGCTGCGAAGAGGGGTCGCACCAACGGTGGCACGGGCACGGATTCCAGTACGAGCAAAGACGGCAGCGTTCATGGTTGTTACTTGTTGAGTTGATGTGAATGGGAAAGTGAGGGTGAGATCTGATGCGAATCTTTACGGAGCAACAAAAATAGTTCGCTTAAAGCTTAAATACGTCACAGAACGCATCCTTGCAAGAAAGTACTGCACAGAACTTTAGAGTGTGCTTGCTGACACACATTTATCGACATAGTCTATAGTTGCTTGGCGCCAGGGGTTTCCATCCCTTCCAAGGATGAGGCTGCTCGCTTGCGTCCTCCAACTCGTCTTTGCCCTTGCCCGACTGCGCTACTGCTACTGCTGCTACTGCCCCCGGCTTCTGTGTGCGGTCTTGCATCTTGCATCTAAGGGTAGTGCCCATCCTTACCTACTGGCTGAAGATAGAGCGGTCGCTGTTGGTGGAGTAAATGGCTGCGAACGACGTTCCAAACGTTGTGCTATGCCATAATAACGCGGTACATGAAAGTGCCACGGTTTGAGCAGTATAGCCTGCTGAACAAAGTACGATTGAATGGACTCGTGCAAAGAGGAAAGTCTCGTCTTGATCGAAAACTTGCCCAGACCAACCCCAATCACAAACCTAGTTGGTTTCCTCTCTCTTTCTACCGATCGATCTTCCGACCAACTTGAGTAGGCGATTCGTTATAAGTCTGTACTCCGCATCCCTAGCCCTTCTTCATCCCACTTATGCTCCTTAAACCGGTTGTTGCCGTTGTAAAACTCATTCTACTATCTCCAGTTCCGTAACATAGCTCGCAAAGCTGATTCCTTTACAACGCAGTGGTAGCAGCTTAGTCTCAATGTCGCTGACGGATTCTATTCCGTCGCCTGGTACAATGTTTTTTTTGCTCTTCCATCCATCTTTTGTGCTTGAACGTGGGCTGGTACACAGCCTTCTACTTCACTGCGAGATTGTAATAGGTGGAAGGAACGGGAGTAGGGGTTGTATCCTCATAAGAGCTGCTCATGTCGACATCATTATCCATTCTTCCAGGCGCCGTTGTCGTACTGCCGGAATCATCACTCTTTGGTAGCAACGCTCCGGTTCCGACTACACAGGATTGGCCGAGATCGAGACCCAGAATCTTGATTTGATCTGGCGCACATCCCCAAAGATCGGTGACATCCCACTGGGTTTTCACAATGTTTCGGACCTCGGTCAAGTAATAATCCACTCCCCGGACTGCGGATGTGATTCAAAGGGGCAAGACATTCTGCGGGAATCGTCTGTATCTGACTGACTGCAGTTCTTTTAGTTTGAAAGCCGACAGATGAAGGCGGAAACCGTCTGTCGGAATGGAACCTCGGTGAACATAGCCGCGTCCCCCTTCGTAAGTCATAGGATCGAAGTTGGCCTGCCGAATGGACTGAACGTATTCTCATATCATGCTCAGGTCCATCACGGACGCCCTTTGCGTGGCTTACGCCTGACGACGTTCGAAAGATATGTAACCCAGGAACTTTCTGCCCAAGTCAATCGACTAGGTCCTGCAGAGAAGGAATGGTGTCTTTGTTATTAGTGCTAGCTCCTGGAGTTTTTTCTTCAGCGCAGCATTTTGCCAAAACAAGATACCGAGCTCACGCTCAGAGAACGACATGAAAGGTAGCTCCGTGCCCGTTAGTGGAACCGTCTGGCGACAACTCTTGCTGGGCTGGTTCAAAGGCACGAAATTCTCTATCGCTGGGATGCCTTGGTTAATCTCTATACGTGATCCATCTGATATAAGATCGTAATGATGGGGTCGCCTGTGTAGAGATGCTGGAGCAGCACAATATAGAAGCGTAGGTGGTTTGAGTCCTTGCGCCCCGGGTTATCATCCTTATCTTCCTCCTCTTGCTCTTCCTCCTCCTGCTCTTCCCCCTCCTGCTCTTCCTCTTCCTCTCCCTCCTCCTCCTGTTCACCATGATCATTCACATTGACTTCTCTCTCGACTTCGACTTTGGACGAGACACATGGACAAATGTTGCGCAATATATCCCTGTCTGTTGCATCAGGCTCGCGTGAAGCAAAGAGACTCTCAATGAACCACTCGATGAGTCGCTGCCTCTGTCGCTTGGTGTCAGATGCAACCCGAACAACATCCTGGAGACACCTCTTGATTTCGGGTACCAATTCCGACTCTCCCAAAGCTCATTTCAGATTAGCAGAAACGGTTCCAACATCAAGGGTCACTGTAGGATGTTCCTAATTCATAGCTCGAACCAAGGCAGCCTTTTCTGTCGAGGTGCTTACTGGCTTTGGCGTGAGTTTTTTCTTCTTCTTCTTCTTCTTCTTCTTCTTGAAAGAGCCAATGTCAGGATCCAAGGGATTCTCGGGTGCTTTCTTCCATGCCTTCCATGTGTACCGCTCCATTGCTCCAGGTGGTTCATGCTCCTTGAGCCGAGGGCGCTGTTTGACAGAATATCGCGGTCGGTGTTGGGGGGGGAGGGTTTGGTATGAGGCAGGGCAGGGTTCACCCCGCTTGCAGCCTTTGCCTAGTGTGGAGCAGGGTGATCGATCGTGCGATACCTGTTGAAGGTCTCAGAAGACTTGTGCCGCCGCGTCTTAGCACCAATTGACTCGTTGTCAAATTTATTAAAGTTGATAGTGATCACAATAAGTTAGAGTTAATTTTATGCATGCTTTCATACAAGTGGGAATTCTTACAAAGTAAGGAAGTGTTTGGCGTTCGCATCTCCTGCGTTTGGAAGCACCGCTGAGAAAGACAATCGAACTGCTTCCGAAGACTGTCATAGATCATGGTAGCCTGAGCTGAGGACTAAGGAGATGGGCCAATCTGCACAGGGATCTGTAAAAGACCCACGAAAACCTTCTGCGGGGTGACAAACGTCCTCTGGGTAGTATTCTTGCGCATGAATTGATTGTGTGAAAATGCTAAGACGTTAAAATTGATATTATGTTTTCTGTATTAGTGATGTACACGATGATCTGATTGACCTATTTACCTTCTCCATCCAGATCGTTGATGATTTTGTAGTTGGTTGCACTCCGAGAGAAGGGATATTGCGGTTGTAATCGTTTTTTTTGATACGATACCAAGCACTGGACCCGGCTGAGACCTAAAGTCGCATAGACGCTTGGAACGTCGAACACAAGGAGTTTTCCTTTTGGGGAGGGTTACCAAATGGTCTTGACGTCCTTGTACATGAGCATGTCGCTGTCTCTTGATACAGCGATGTCGCCAGGCTTACATTCAAGGTCTATCGTGAGATCTGTCTCGGCCGAGCACTCGACGACCGTCCATTGTTTCTTGCGCATGTATATGGCAAAGGCGTGTTGAGCGCCTAGGGACCAATAGAAGGCCGAGTTCAAGTGTTTTCTGATATCAATGAAGTGGTGTTTCCGCACGCGAAGCTTTTTATCCACGCGAACTTCGAGCTCACGCAGATGTTTGTCGGCGCGCTCAACAGCTTTTTTGAAGGTTCTCTAGGTGCACTCGGGTGAGTTCTTTTTCTTTCGAAAGAAGGTCGTCCAGGTAAAGAACCAAATTCGTCTGGGTCCCAAGCTTCATTATCTCTCGCTCAACAATGCGGTGAGCATCGTCCACAGGGTACGAGGAATAAGCGTAGCGAACGGTGACATAAAAAGAGTAAGGATATCGACTTGAATAGCTGAGCTGTGATCAATGGAACTGGGAGGTTAGATAAGTGGGAGGATTGATAGCGAAGAACGGGTTCATATCCTTTCTTTCTAAGAAAGGGCCACAGGCCCTTAATGCCCATGGTAGTCTACACGATGAGGAATATGGTACTTTATTTCAAGGAATGACAATGAGGAAAGGATGAGAATATGAAAGGGGATTGGTCATGGAGAATATGAGATAAAAAAACTATCTATGAAGAGTTGCGTTTGAAGGAAGAAAAAGCGAGGGATGTGATGGACGTGAATGGACTTGTACTTGGATACGCTTCGCTATTTCCAAACAAAAATTTCCGACTGGCGCTCGGCACACAAACATCAAGAAATTGAGTCGAGTATTGATACAAATGTATATTTAATAATAGCAAAACTGGTTGCAGTATAGAGGAAATACTCTTTTTTGGAGGCATGGACAATCGAGTGGGAAGGAGGTCTTTAAAGATTATTCTTGACCAAATCCAACTGTTTCTTCAACGGCCAATGTCAATTTGTTGACTAGTACATCATAAGATTTGTACGGAGGCAGATCGATACGGTTGAAACTACGGAGGAACAGGTTGAAAAACAAGAAGGGTGGTTAGTGTAAGTACACAATCCCCCTGACTCGCAGAGAGCCATGGCGCGAAAACATACCATGTATGCGACTTTGGCAGCTGCCCAATCTCCCCAGATTTCTCGATAGTGAAGCGCCTTGGTCCATCTGATCCTTGCAGGTCCTTGAATCCGTTGACAGGAATACGCGAGGTGCCTGTCGTGAACTGCAATAGACGCGCTTTCTTCTCAGAGTCCCAAGACCGGATGCACTTCCAGAACCACTGCACGACTTCATCCTGTTCTGTGTATCCACGATAATCCGTGTGCTTCTTCCAGTCATCACAGTCAATCTCAGAGATGCCACCCATCAACAGCTCCAGTTCGCGCTCGTCAAATACCGTGACTAGTTCCTGAGGGATGAGTTGATGGAACCCCTCCGCAAAGGCCTTGAACTGCTCCTCGACACGACGAGTGATCCTCCACTCTGTCATCAGGTCAACGTACTCTCTCTTGTTCTCTTCCGTTACTGGAATATTGCTACCATTCTCCTTCAGATCTATCGTCACGATCTCTCCGAAGCGCTCATCGTTGGTCGAGAAGGTCGTGTCCAGCGTCTCTGCAGCCGTGTCATCATCCAGCAGCCAGTTCATGTTACGGTAAACATCTGCGTCCACTGATTCGAGATCCGCAAGGGTAACCTTCTTCTTGAGAATCATCTTATAGAACGAGACGATAAAGAAGGCATCTAAAAGACGACGATGGAAAATCGCAAGGCCGACAACGCGACCAATAAACTTGAAGTAGTTCAGGTGCTCTGAGTTAATGCTTGAATGCGGGTTGATCTGAAGGGTATAGTTGTCGTGGGCAGAGTACTCAAACAGGCAATAGAACGGGTTGAACATCTCATGCGAGAGCAGGAAGAAGAATTCTCTGTGAGAAAAACAACATCAGAAGAAATACAGTCAGTAAAATTCCTGCCTTCTCTGAACTGCAAGTTTGAAAAAGACAGTTGGCGAAGGCAGTACCTTGAAAGACCGCCATAATCGAGACCATCTTCTCCTTCGAACTTGATCATCAGCCTCTTTTTAAGGTCTGTCGGCGAGTGACGCATGATCTCATGGTAAGAGTCCTCAAAGATATGGGAGCGGCGGACCTTCATATGGCACTGGCCAGGGACAGGACGAAGTGCTGGCTGAGATCTGAAGTAAATTAACTTTCTGCGGAAGTCTCGCTTATACTGAGGCACGCTCTGGTCCAAACTACTTGGTAGGCGAGGATCTATGCCATGGAACAGACGCCATTGATCAACATCTCCTGTATCTCCAGCGCTTCATTATATAGGACAAAATTTGCATATGACACTGGGGCCTTACCATCCCAAGTCGTAGTCTTCGTATTATGGTCAACAAAGTACACGCGCGCCGTATTTGTGAGGCGCATCTCCCATCCTGATGGCAGGGGACCCAATTGAGACACGGGCTGCTGGTGCACCGCCACTTGGTTAGTCGAGCTGCGGGGGTCGGCCATGCGAACATACTGCTGGCGTCGAGGGTCGACCCACGTTGTTGATCGAGTGTTATGATCCACATAATACGGTCGGCCCTCGGGCGTTAATCGCTGTTCCCATCCTGCAGGTAAAGGCCCTGAGCCAGCGGTAGTCGAATTTAAGTTGATAGGCGCATGTCCTGTACCATTCGTAGCTACTGGAACTGTAGTAGTGGTGGCAGCTGGCGATGTGTTCGAGCTGTTCTCAGCCAGCGACGTGGTCGAAGTCCCTGCACCCGGCAACGGCGAACTGCCTCCGGATCGTTCATCAGGAAGCGCACGATTGTTATGCCGCTGTCTCTCCAATTCTGTCTGATTTGTAGCTTCCTGGTTGCGTTCGGGAGTTGAGTCTGTCAGACTAAGGGGAAAAAAAGTGGTTATGGGTTTCATGTCAGCACAAATGCATTGAGATATACGCAGTCGGTCTCCTGCAGCGACCCATTGTATATTCTTACGTTGGTCGAGTCCATGTTGTTTGACGGTTGTTGTGGTTAACATAGTATGTGCGACCCAGTTGATCCACGCGACGCTCCCAGCTAAATAGCGAGCAAACAGTTTTACAAATCAGCGCACGTTTAGACATATCCATAAAGCACCATGCAAGGTTGATCGTAGACTCGAGTCTTACCTTGGTGGAAGAGGTCCATGCTGGTCTTCATATGGAGACAGCTGGCGACCTCCGTTCGCAGCCACAGCAGGGGCTACAGGGGCACTAGAGATTGGAGTCCCATTGGTAGATGTGGCTGGCAAAGTACTGTTACGATTTGCTGATGTGGATGCACCATTGGATGGCACTGCTGAGACGGAGGAGGGCGTCCTTTGATGGGAGGCTGCTGGCGCCTGGAGAGAGCGTTCGTTAGTGGCCTGGCTGCCAATGTTCGACGAGATGTTGATGATGAGCTTTCCTTGGACGACTACATCATTTGACCCCGACTTTTTCAGTTCCGTTGTCAGCATTTCTAGATCAAAGCAAGATAAACACGCAGTTAACAATGAGGACACAGAACGCAGAGTCAATGGGCCGATCCTGACCATGTAGTCATACCATCACCGCCTATGTTCACATCGAAAACATCGCCCATTTGAATGTTGATCGTTCCCAAGAAGCCCTGATCCTTTCTCTTGAACTTCTTCTGATCAAAAATTTGGACCGCAAGTACACTCTTATTCATAACATTGCTGCAATGGAAAAGGCAAATCCGGGAATGGTCAGTATCATTTGCTTTTCTAGATGACGTGAACAGCGATAGAGATCAAGAGAGGTTTGGTCCACATACACTTCAAAGCTTTCATTCCAGTAAGGGTTTAGCGTTTTTTTCATGACTGTCGTCGTGTGGGTTTGATCTCCATCCACAGTAACAACAGCAAAAGGATCCGGAAGGCCTACATGTAGCAAAAAAGATCCAGCATCCAGCAATGTGAGATTCGGTTCATACGAGTCCGGTGGTAGCACTGTTGATCAGTAGATATTGGCCACCGAAGAGCAGACGGCACTTACGGAAAACATCTCGCTTGAATAGACCATCGGCTGCGATAACTGTTCAATGGGACAACAAAAAGTGGAAAGAGAAGGCGCTTTTAGATCACGGTAAAACAAAATTGCCCTCGTCGATTGTTAACTGGAAGCTGGAGCAATTTATCACGCAGATATTGCAAACAAAGCTAAAGCGAAAGCCAAAGTCAGGATGAGAAATAAGTCATTGTCGTCGCCGCTGTCCCGCGGGGTGAGTCGCAGGTAGTCACGGTGTATGAAATGGCAATTCCACCAGAGCGGGCAGTGAAATCGAAACTGAACAGACGAACTCCTGCTGCCGCTACGCCGGAAGGTATCGTTCTGCTCTCACTGTTTCATTGTCCTTGAAAGGAAGGGAAAAAGAAAAAAGTCGAGTCGAAAGCCGCTTTGCCAAACAGAGATTGCCTTACCTGTGAGACGTATCGTCCTCCTGCGTGGTGTGAAACAGGTACAGAAGAAGCATATTAACACCAGGTACAAAGCATTTGTGATACAATATTCGCTTGGTGTGCCATTGGGCTTACTGTGTCAGGTTGTTAGATGCCATGTTAATATAGCTTTGGACTGTCGTTCTTGTTTAGGAGGGAAGATAAAGGTTGGAAGGATAGTGGGCTGTGAGAGAGATATGCCCGATCGCGAAAGTCGAAAGAAACAACAAAGTTTCTCGAATAAGAGAGAGACAGTTAGAAAACGCTGATCATACAACGAATGTATTATAAGCGCAGCATTATTATTGTAGCAATGGGCCCTATCTACATTGAGAAGATACATGTATGATACTTCTAGGGTCTATTTAAATGTGGATGCCGATAAAATGAGAGAAGGAGGAGAAAGGAGGGGAGGCGACAGTTGAGAAGAAAGGGCGAGTCGTGAAATTAAAAAAAAAAGAGTCGAAAAGGGTGAACCTAAGCCGAGTTTATGCGCCATGAGGAGCAAATATATAGCTCAACACAAAGCACAGCCGTTCATCAGAGTCGATGCAAACGGTGACATGTATATTAGCCTGCGAAGGAGAGGATATGAAAGCTGTGCTTCATGGTGGAAGTCAGCCCATAGGAAGAAGGGGCTAAGGTGTGAATCAGGGGTTTTAGGTGAAGGCGTTCAAGGAGCATCTTACATGAAGCTGCGTAGTATAGAGCGATATTAGGAGCAGAAGTGTGGAGAGCGGAGTGAGAGAGAAAAGGGGGAGAATGGGTCTTCTTCTAGTCTAGGTGGTATGTAGCTCACTCGGTGAGGAGATGGAGAAGAGAAAGGAGTAACGATGAGAAGCGGTGAAAGATGAGAAGCGATGAGAAGAGATGAGAAGCGAAAAAAAAGAGATGAAACGACAAGAGAAAGTATGAAGTAGAGGGGATGAGGAGCATGCTGCTCCCGTCGCCCCTTTGTGCCCTGCAGCAGCCGTTCCTGCTCTTCCATGAAGTCGTACCCTTGCGCCCAATCAGCCTACTTCCTTCGTCTGCGCGTCTTGTACCTTTTGCTACTACAAATAAATCGATGTCGACTTTGAGTTACTCGCGCACAACTATGGCGATGACAAATCCTTGCTATACTATTCATATTTATACCTCTCATACTATTCACAACGCTGTATCGCGACCCCTTTAGTCATAGCATGACACTCGCTGCGAGCGCTATTTGTTGTTTATTCCTTCATGATTACTATGCCATATCTACCAATACTACAACTGTGTGTCCATTGATCCATCCACCTGTGTGCTGTGTGTTCACCTCCTCCGGCCTTTCTTGACCACGGTCTCAAACCCATCCTCATCAATAATCGGCTCGGGTTTCTCTCTCCCCTGCGGTGTCGCACTCGACGTCGAGGACTCACCCATCTCCACATCCATACTATTCTGTTCTCCATTCTCATCCGCATCCTCATCCTCATCATCGCTGCTATCATCATCATCCTCGCCCTCCTTCTGGCTCTTGCTCGCCTTCAACGATCCGCTGATCTTTTGCGAATCTTGCTTCAACGTCTGGACCAGATCATACTTTCCATGTGTGCACTCCAGAAACAGCTGTTCCAGAACCTTAGCGATATGTTGCTCAGACTTGTCTTCGAGTAAAATTGAGAATTCGTCGTTCATGATTTGAATCAAAATGTCCTCCAGATCGAACGTGTCCACATTCTTGCCATCTAGTTAAATAATGTCATAATTCATAGTGAGCAATAGCAGTGTCAGTCAACTGAGCTAGTTGAATCAAATAGAGCGATTAGAAGAAGGAGAGCCATTCAATGGTCCTTTTTTTCCAGGCAGTCGGTGACAAATGCTGGATAAAAAAAGTGATATAACGAACAATAAAAACGCCAGGCAATTCAATTAGATAGAGTGATCGTCCATTCATTCCTGAAGGTCCAAAAGAAGAAGGAGCAAGTTTCCATGGGTCGCTCTTTTCTGATGTCGGACGCAAAATGTGGATCGAATAACGACATGAAACCAGGGTGCTGTTTCCTTACGTTGGCTGAAATAGTCTACGATGGTATCAACAAACCAGTCTCTCTTCTCCATAGAGTCCGTTCCGCCCCACTCGCCGTCGACAGCTAGCTTGAGTGCAGTCCACGAGTGGAACAAGTATTGAACGCCTTCTTTGAAAGCAACCTGATTCGGATGTAGTGCTGCCATGGCTGGTGCTGCTGTGATGTGTCCTGATGCTTATTGAAAAGGTGATTCGACCGTTGCCCAGTAAACACACACCAAAAGAAAAAAAAAGACCAACAAAGTGGACTGTTGTTTCTCCCGCGATAACCAAGAAACAAGGTTTGGAGTTTCTGTTTCCATCCATTCTTCAACTCTTCTTCGACTTCATCACATCCTCCGACAATGGTCAACAAGGCTCCTAAACCAGCAAAAGCGCCCAAAGTCAACAAGCGCGCCGGCAGGGGTGCGCAAGCCAATGACCCGTTTATGGCCAACTTTCCAGAGGGCTCGCTCTTCGCACGCTCACAACAGTTTGTCAAAGAGAACGACGCTAAACCTTTCCGCGACTTTGCATACATGGTCTTCGTCATCCTCGCCTTTTTTATCTGGAGGCTTTATGTCGCTGTCCAGAGTCAAGTCAGTGGTATGGAACAGCATCCTGTTACTTTTTGCTTGGACGGCGTGGCTGGCAATTAAATCGTGCCGTCAACAATCGATTTTATCATATGAACCCGCCAGTCCTTGGACACTGACAGAGCTTCAATTATCTTCCATTATTGCTAGCCGCTATCGGGATCTGGAGCTTCTTTGTATTTGGAACAGTCGTCGTGCTCAACATCTGGACATACTTCTTAGTCTTGATCTGCGCCAAACGTGGAGGCGACATTGGTATTGTCAAGATCACGGACGAAGATATTCATCGTTTTATGTACATCTCAGGACTCTTTGGCGCATGGGCTGCCATCATCTGTAAGTCTCAGGAATACAGTATCTATGTAAAGCGCGCGGACCAAATCACTCAGTTACTTAAAGAGTCGGCAGGGGAGTATGCCACCCATTAATCGATCCCATATTTTGTTCAATCGCAGATTTTGGATATAGATCGACCGATCCAAAGTTCTTCTCCAAGGCCGTAACAGCTTCAGTTCTCAACACCTTCTGGGTTGCCATTTTGGTCAAGTACTATATGTAAAAACAAGTACTGTTTAAACATATATAAAATAAAACCATTTTGTTTTCTTTCTTCTTCGGTCCATTGAAGCGAAGGCTGAACAAAGTGATGTCAAAGATCAATTGAATGGCATACCTGAAGAGGATCGCCCAGCAAAAACATAGTAGCAAAAAACAATACAAATGTGATATTTATTCCAATGAGACAGTGGCACCCAGATCTTCAAGAGTCTTCTTCAGCTTCTCGGCATCAGCCTTGTTCAAGTTCTCCTTGACGACCTTTGGTGCTCCCTCAACGAACTTCTTGGCCTATAAATGTTGAAGAAACGTAGCATAGAATTCACGTTAGTAAAAAAGAAACATACATCATACCCACGGAGAAATGCGATTACTTGAACTGTCCAGTCCCGTTCTTTTCGTTCACATACCTCAACCAAGTTAATTCCGGGAATAATGTTCTTGATCTCACGGATCAACTTTGCCTTGGCAGCAGCGTCAAACTTTTCCAGCTTGACGCTGAATTCGGTCTTCTCAACAACCTTTTCCTCCTATGATACCAAAAAAAAGTGTGCAGATTGGAATTCCGTTAGTCATTCCTCTCTTTGGTTCCTAAAGAAGTGACAAGGCACCATGTTTGTTTCATTCCATTAGCAGAAAGCAATGTCCTGCAAATGATCCATCCTACCTCAACAGGGGCTGCAGCGGCAGCTTGACCAGCAGAAGCAGCATAGCCTCCAGAAGGCATAGCGATTTCCTGAATGTTGAGACGGGTCTATAAAGAATCATGGATCAATGACCCGTCATGTTAGCAATACGATCGATGTTGTAAGGTATAGTTTCGTCACGAGAAAGTAAAAAGCGATGTTACCTTCAACAAAGACACTAAGTCGGCCGTCTGGAGAAGGGTCAATCCAGAAATCTGGTCTACAATAGAAACGATCTTGGGGTCGACAGCCTGGCTTGACCCAGGGGCATCCAACTTATCAGCAGCAGTCGAGTAACTGGCAACCCTGCTAGCAACTACACGGGGCGCAACCCTATCGGACAGAAGCCAATTAAACGAAAACGGCCGTTAGGATTCCTGAGCACTCTCTTGTAGTTCAACCCAGTAAATAGAGTACAGCTCAATGAGTGATTTTGTACCTGGAGATGGCGCGAGGAGCAAGACGGACAGAGACTGTGCGCAACTACAGCGTGGTAAAGGTGTTGAAAGGAACGAGTGAGCCATCAAGTCCTGTTGAAGGAGAGGTACTGGAATGTGTTGCTGGTAAGCATAGGCCGATCGGGATGGGAATAGCCAGGTCCATCGTGCTGAATTCTTGTTGACTCCCATTGCTCAAGTCCGAGAGTGCTGATCGACAACAGGTGTCCATGTACAAAGTTATCCTGATCAGTAGCGCTGGTTCTGAAAACTGATTCGCAGTAGAGAAAAAGGACAAGGCGCCTCAGGCTTGCGGTCGAATTTTATTTACCATGGTGAAGTATGAAGGTCTAGAGGAGCAGTGAAGGAGCAAAGGGCGTCGAAGGAGGTCGAGGAGAGGAATGTCGAGACCGAACTCTGGTCGTCTGCCTTTGCCTTTGCTCCGGGCAGGAAGTGTAAACAATAATCAACCGCCAGCCACCTTTACTATCCTTTGCCAAAAATGGGACGTGCGGCGAAACAAGCTCTTTTTTTTTATACGACTTGGCCCTCTCCTTCCTCGACACATATCATGCCTCTTTTCATTTCTTGATGATATTGTCAAAATCTTTTTTCTTTTCACATATATCATATGCGCCTTTAACTGGACGATTATAGGCACTGCCGCTTTCCCCATCCCTTCAATCCAGAAGTGCGACAGCATCAATTTCAGTTTCAAAAGTCCTTCTCGCGCCCATCTTGAGGCCTTCGACTAGTGTATGAAAATAAAAGATGAGAAATTACCCCACGTAAGCAGGAGTTGGTCATGACCGATTGATTAATCGGGAGCATAGTGGCCACCACGATCGCGACCATCAATTGAATGAAATACAAAAAGAGACGAGAATGAAAAAAGAGATATCGTGTCACAATAAAAGTAGCTAGAAATAGTAGGGATGCTTTGGATGCTTTATCCTCTGCCACGGTATCCTCCATACATTGGAGAATGGCCATACATGGGAGATAGAGGCCCATAGGGACGGTGGTTATAGCCGTTACGGCCAAAGCCGCCACGAGATGCGCCCCTGTCTCGTCCACGGCCACGAGCCGCCATTCCTGGAATGTTAGTACGTTTAGGAATCACCTACTGTTAGATTTTAGAATCACCTCAAGAAAAAGCAAGTGAGCACGAAAAAAGGTTGATTAAGCGGGCACGGAAAAGGGATTCGTTCATGACCATGGCATTAGCGACCGAGGGTGCATCCGCAAATTCGACGTATGCGTAGCCCTTGGGCTGACCCGTCCATTTATCGCACAAGATCGTGGTGCGATTGATCGTTCCGCATGACTGAAAGTGTGCCTGAAGCTCTTCCGGAGTCGAACCCCAATCCACATTGCCAGCGTAGATCGATCTAGCGTCCACGGCCTCCTTGTCTAACACAAAAATCAAATTCAGTAGACGTTCATCGTGTTTGAGTTGCATTGATCTACCTTCTTCGATCATGTTCATCTCCTTCTCTGCCTGAGCTTGCATCTCACGCAGCTTAGCTGCCTCTACCTCCATCTCCTTGACACACTGCTTCATAGCTTTGATTTCCTACATGTTGATGCGGTACAAACGGCAGTCCATGGAATTTTACAATCAACGCTCGAGTCTAATGCCCTGTTTTATTTGTTCGCGTTCTCAATGGCACTGTGGATATCCTAATTATATTCTGCCGACATGCTATTGCGCAAAAAAAAAGAAAAAGTGTCATTGGCAGAACAAGATTGTTCAAAAAGAGGTATGTGTAGAGCTGCGACGAGGCGCGCAAGATAAAGGACATAGTAGATGGGCTCACAACATAGGAAGGACACACGCCCCGATTGACAACTGGCTCGCTTATATGCTCCCCCTCTTTCGCGTACTGAGCACAACCATTTGTTCAAGGACGTGCATGGGCGGAGCACGAGCTGATAAAAATTACTCATTCTTAATGGCACAGCAACGTCGATGGCGAGGAGAGGGAATTGATTCTACTCTCGCTGACATGAGAATCGATCAAAGAAGGATGGAAATAGTAAATTGAAGAGTCTAAGGATGGAATGTGGGCTTACATTGTCTTGTGTGGAAGTATGGGAGTGAACTGCCAGGCTCCAGCGTAAACGAACCATTTTTACGCCACACAGACATCCATTTGCCCTGAAAAAGATTCACTACATCGCCTCTGCACCCCTCCACCCCTCACTCACAATCAAGTAAATCATGGACAAAGTCAAGGATCTAATCTACAACGAGCCCACACCAGCGCCAAAGCGAACCGTCGAGTCCGTCCAACCCCACCGTTGCGCCAAGCATGTTGAGGATCTCATGGTTGCGATCATGAACTTTGAGGTCCAAGATCAGTTCAGCCTTGTCTGGCAGTGTATGAGGAGCGAGAAAGGGCAAGTTTCAACATATGCATCCGCCTCTGCTCGCTTTTGTCTGTGGACAATTGACTATCATTTACATCTCAATTGCGATATCTACACCATCTTGATGCATAACGCTTATTAACCGGACCATTTCTCGTGTCCACTTTCTCTGGTTTAATAGACAAGAGCCAGCCAGACACTCTCCTCCTGCTGTGGAACCCGATCATAACGTTTAGACATACCGTAACAGCCATATCGACTCATTGCACTATTCAAAAGTATGATTTGAACTTTTTGTTATCATCAGTCCTGAAAGATCTCAGTTCCCGGTCGATTTTGAGGGCATGTCAGATTGGCATCCTGGACATGTCAGGCTGGAGCCGTTCGGAGCCAGCACCGTCACACCAAAGGTGGCTCGCCGTTGTGGGGGAAGCGGGACGCACAGGAAATTTTCACAGATAATGGGAACGTTTTCGTGTCTCCATAGAGTGTTCTCATGGATGTAGAAATAAAACAGATGGGGGTGACGACTTCTCAGCTAAATCAACAAAAAACTACAGTTCTTTATGTGAGTACCTGTTTCATTTCTGCTGAAGTTCCCTTGCAGGGGCATGGGTCTCCGTGGTCTTCGAAACAATCAACCCTAGTGCAAGCGTTGGGTCCGCAAGCCGTAGCTTGTAGAAAACAGCTGTGTGGTAAAATGTTAGGGGAGAAGAATGCTTCTCTTCTAGAACAGAAATAATCTCCAAAAAACCTGCAGATGATTGCACGCCAAATTCACAATGCAGAAAGCCTTGCTTCTATTGATTTCGAAATGCAACAGTTGTCAAGTAGACACTATAAAGACGGAAAAGATACCATTAAAAAAGATGAACATGGGTTAATGTGAGTTCAGGAGTTCCATGCCAAATGTGCAAAAGAGATGGTATGTATCCAAAGCCCTAATTTTACTCGGCCGTTGGAGCGTTTGTTCTGCTGTAGTCAGAGGTTTATCATGGACTAGCTACGATCTTGGTGTAACGTCGGCCGAGTGTGAACAGCTTCGGTGTGTGTGCGTGCGCCCTCTCCTCTCTCCCCCTTCTTTCCCTCTCTTTTTACTTTTCTGCCACCATCACTCCTCATTCATTCCGTTTCCTCATTCATACACGCGACATCGACCGCCACTGTAAGCATCGAGCTGCAAAACTCTAGGACCTTGCGCCTTTCAGGTCCAGTAGGATACAATTGATTGAAAAAGCAATTGGGGCAATATAAATTCGTACTGTACCACCAACAACCAATTGGACTTCCGTTGACGGTCAACTAAGGACAAGGACAGGAACCCAAACACCTACCTCAACGTATGCAATTGACCACGACAGCGAGGGAGCAGAGGCAGCGAAGGTGGGGTGCAGCCTCCGATAAACCATTGACAGCCTTCTCAAGAGCCATATCCGTCCTTGAGATCCTGGAGCGCATCCTCTCCTTCCTACCTCAACAGTGCATCCGTCAAGTCGCCTCTCTCGTCTGCAAGGACTGGTATGCTCTCTGCCGACCCTTGCTTGTCCACCAGTTCACATGGACAGACGCTCCGGCCGTCGCGGTCGTCACTCTTCCTGCACCCCCTGAGTCACTCACAGACCAAAACCATAATCCGTCTCGGGCACGAAGATGGTACAGACGCAGACGTTTATCTTCTTCCACTGTCGAGAGAATCGTAAGCATCACTCCAGACCCTGCCTGGCTGACGAATCGACTCGAGAACTTGACGACGTTGAGATGCCGTCTCTCATATCGGTCCTTTGTTCTTACGGCGTCAATGCCTCCAGAGGAAACAACTGCTACAGTCACACAGGTCACGACCACGACCATGGAGGCATTGCAACGCACGGCCCGCTCAGATCTTCTTGACGCTGTTCAGCGACTTACCACAGCTAGGAAACTGTCCTTGTTAGAGCTAGAGATAGAGACCTTGGACGATTTTGAGTGCTTCCTACAACCGATGCTGCAACACACAAGTATGCTGACCCGACTATGGCTAAAGAATCTCCGAATCCAGTGGTTACCGATTGGATTGGTACTGGGGCAATGCCCACGACTTGAGGAGTTACATGTCGGGTGTGAGGCCCATTCCATGGGGTCGAGACTGGTCATGACACTCTTTGCAGAGACTTATGTCGATAGTTCGCAAGGAGGTACAGGAGCGCATACAGATGGCGACTTGGACTCGGGAACAGCGCTATCATCGAATAAAGGTCTGGAAACGCTTAAGCTGAAGCGTTTGCGCCTCAAGGACGTGCTGTTCAAGGAGTCGGATCTGCGGACGATCCTGGATGCAGCGCCTGATCTATATGAACTTATGATACAGACAATGCCACCGCCATCCACGCCAACTATACCCATCCATATGGCCATTACAGACCAAGCACCACTTCCTGCTGACGTCCACACACCTGTCAGTACTGAAACGCGAGCGATGGGTGACTGGATATCGTGCGACAGGATGGATTTCATTCAGGATATCGGCCTGCAGTATCCCCAGTTGACATCGCTCCACTTCACGAGGGCCTACCACCGCTACACCGATTCTCAGATCCGAACGATACTGAGCTCCTTTCCGAGAGCGTCACGATGGTGCGTCGTCTGGCGGGATCTTCCAGATGGAATCCTGCGCGACTTGAACAATTGTGTCCAGAGTGCGTCTCGAAGGGCGCCGCGCGACATTTACTTGGACAGCGGCACTCCGCACATCTACACAAACCACCTGACATCGCTCGAAATCACGCCCTCTTCGGACTGGACACCTCGATGGGGGAATGCGCTGCACGAATTCTTGTGCGATTCGCCCTCATTGGAGCACCTGAGGGCTGGATCTATCGCGTACTATATCGAAAATTTGGATCTTAACGGGGTCTTGCCGGATCAGGAGGAATACCATCAGTTACTGCAGGATGATAGCGACGGAGTTGACGATAGCAACCCTTCATCGAGCACCAAGCCCTCTCCACAGATACCATCATCGCGAAGAGTGTGGGCCTGCCAGAATCTCAAGACCCTGCATCTGGAGTTCACACGACGGAGACATCTTCAGCACAATAACGCTTTTCGATCATCTTATGCAGATCCCTCGGCCAGTGCGTCGTCGTCGTCGACTCATTCGTCTACATCAGGCAATTTATCCTCCATTACGGTGCTGGAGAACTCCCCAAAGCTGTCCCGAATTGTGTTTGGGTACATCTCTCGATTCTGTCCTCGATTACAGGATCTGTTGATTCGAGGATATCGGCTGAACATGACTCTACAGGGCGGATTTTGTCTGTTGACAAGGTTACGCGAGTTAAAGAAGGTCGCGATCTCGCAATACGACTGCCAGTTTAGGATGAGGGATATTCTTCCGTGGGTGACGAAGCGCCGCTCGAGTGTTACGAGGTCGCAGAGGTTGCGGTGGAGGGCCATGTTTGCAGGATGGTGGCCTTTGATACACCGGAAAGAACTCAAGTGTAATGTTCCTTCGAGCGTTGATACAGGAGCAGAGCAAGGGGTTGAAGATGGCGCATGGATAGGTTTGGGCGTTGAGAGACTAGGACAGTTGTCAGATGTGGTGGACGTGCTTAGGAACTTGACCACGATATCTCCATCGTTATCCTCATCGTCGCCCCAATCACGATCTTCCGGCCAACAGGATCTGTGGACTGACCAGTCTGATTATGTGTGGCCGAGTCTGGAGTGTGTGAGGATCGTGTATGGGAACAGAATATCGTTGGAGAGGAGGGGCGACTTCATCAGGGATCTGTTAAAGACTCATCGCCCTGAGGTAGAGTTCCAATGGGTGTCGTGGCTCCACCAGTACTGCTAGATCAGCAGTCGCCTACTAGGAATAAATGGCTAATTGATTAACAGACCAGTTACGAAGCAGTAGCTATCCATTCATTGGTGTCGATGCCCCTGGATCGCTGTTTCGACTCGAGGGTTCATAACGAGATACTGCCAGTTTCAGGGTCGAAAGGCAAGGTGATTCCATCGGCTGAGTGTTAGATTCACTGATGTCATGTATCATGAACATAGATTGCAGGGCCAAGCATGGATGTACCCAGGTTGGCAGCACGCCCAGGTTCTTTTTCATTCTTCATGGGAACTGCCAACCCAGTTTACTGAATTGACTAGCGTAGTTTCTTTAAAAAAGGATAAGCGCTTGACCGGAGATTATGTGATAGGAGGAGCCCTTCAAATGCATTCCACTTGAGAGCGCCCGATTTTGGCACACAGTGTATTTCGAGTGGTGTTTCAGAACTTATTTCAGCCTGGGACATCCTACCCCTGAGTCGGTTGCTTAACTTTTTTTTGTCTTGTGCCATGTCCTGCACGCGTACCGTCTTCCTTGTCCTACGGGAGCCATATCTGTGTATAGACTATATTACTAGGCATGCATGCAGCTTACATCCTCTTGGACGGGACAATGCTAGACCAAAAGGAGGCAAGAGAAAGAAATGACTAAGGGCTTACCACAGCACCATCGAGCAAGCAGCACTCAGCACCCAGCACCCAGCACCCATCACCAGCCGTAGCGCCCGAAGCACCCGTTGGTCTCGATCCATTCATTTTTGACCCTTAGACTCTCCTTCGCTTTCCTTTAGACTCCCTCGACAGCCTGTTTCCTTCTTTTCCTTCCTCCCTTCCTTCTACTATTCCCTTTTTGTCATCCCCATTGGTCTGCTTCTAGCACTCCACCACGCTCCCAAGCGAGTTGCACTCCCTCGCACGATGCCACTCCGGGAGACAGAGTCCGGGGCTCGCCACCTCAAGAATATCTTCGCACTTCGCACCACCCGGCTCCTCGTCCTCCTCCTCACCCTCGCCTCTCTCCCCATCCTCTTCGTCTACCATGATCAGCTCAGTAAGAGCTACAATAGCAACACCAATGCCGTCGCCAATTCGGTTGCCACTCCTGTCACCTCAAACTCCTCTTCAATATCACCGCCTCCGTCATCATCACCCTCCAATACAACAACCCTCTGGTCGTCAATGCAAACCATTGACTACATCTATATGGTCCTTACCCTCCTCATCTTCATCCTTCATGTCCACCCTGCCAAACCCTTCTTCCGCACCATCCAGACCCTCAACCTCTGTATCCTTGTGCTCCTGTCCTTCATCTGGATTTCACTTAGTATCCTCTGGTTTACAGACCTGCTCTGGATGAACTACGATCCACTTCTCGGACCCTCCGCTGCATCCTTACCTTCATATGGCCCCACTACTTCCTTACTATCATCAATATCCATCGCCACTGTCACCCCTACTGCGACTGTCGGTCCACCAGGGATCCCAGCCGCGATTGTGGGTTATACGCTCTTCCCATCTGGGGAACCCACTGCCATAACCTCAATCGCCTTCACAACCTTAACAACAACAGCAACCTCCCAACCAACCGCCACGCCTACTAGCATCGCGCCTCCTAGTCCTGTTACACAACAAGAGTCCCTATCGGACGTACAATGGGCCGCACAATGCCATACCGCTGAAGGACTCGGCACAGGACCATGTGAACTCATGATGGTCTACCACTTTCTCGGATGTTTTATCGCCTTGGGATTGTTGATCGAGGGGTCCCTGTCGTGGTTGGTCAATATGCAAGAGGAACCCGTCGAGGCCAAACTCAAGCGGTTACAGGCGATTGATGAGAGGAAGACGGCGAAGAGGACAAAGAGGATACAGAAGGAATTCCAAGCCCAGGCGCGGATCCCGGTCATTCAGGGGCCCATGATTGGGTAGAGGATGAATTGCACGAGCTACTTCTGCCATACACATGAACTGTAACATTAGAATTTGTATTAAATTTGCAAGAATGAAACGACAACACGGAAAAGATTCAGAGAGAACTGTGCGCTACACCGAATGGTTGGATGAATGAAAGAATGCCTTTATTACTCCTTTGAAATGCTTTATAAGTTGGCGAGCAGAGTGCTGCTGCTGCTTTTTTTTTTTTTTTTTTTTTTTTTTACTTTGACGAGACAGAAACGTTGGGTCCCGAGATCATGTTACCGCCCTGCATGCCATCTTCTGAAAAGTGCTGCACCAGCGCAACCTCGTGCTGATAATGCTTGCCCTTGACATAACAGTTGTCCTTACACGAATACACAAGCACAGTGCCGAAATCTAATGCGTCCGAAGAAGAGTGATCAATCGCGAGATGGTTCAATAGCTGAGGCAAGATCTATGAGGTAATAAAAAAAAAAAAATCGTAGGCGCGTAAAATTGTCAGTTACAGTCGCAAAGGATTGACATAAAGAGGAGTAGCAATATTGATTCGTACCTGGAACTCAAATGTCCGCTCCTGACCGCAGTCCGGGCATGGGGGAATGTCTTCAGGCTTGGGAACGCCACTATTGCTGACGTACAGGGGCTCCGGGTTCGTGGTCTCATACTCAATGCGCGCATATCTATCATAAAGCCTTTCGCGTTAGGTCACTGCCAAAAAAAAAAAAAAAAAAAAAAAAAAAACGGCAACCTTGAGCCATCATCATAACAGCGGCATTCTCCAATTTACCTCAGAACCTGATCTGGATACAGAGCAGTCCTCTTCTGAAAAGTCAAGAAAGCCGCATCAATATCCGTCCTTGTGTTCTCATATACCTCATCTCCCACAGGAACCAAGGCATTCATCGAAGTCTCTGCAGTCGCCAGCGAATTGCTCACATTGCCACCTCCGTTCTTCTTGGCGAGTGCCGCGGCCTTCTTCTCCCTCTTGGCCTTCAACGCCGCAGCCTTCTCCTCCCATCCTTCCTCGGCCTCCTGTTCATCCCCCGAACTCTCGTTCACCAGACCTTCCTCGATCGCTTCCTGATCAAACACCTCAGCCTCGCTGATGATCTCCAGCTCCGGAAACCGGTTCATCCGCTCGACTAACCTGTAATCGATATCCAGCTTGTTGGCATACTCCTGTTGCTCCTTTGTCAACGTCTGGGTTAGACTCTTACTCTTTATCTTCTTTTCAGTTGTGTTCTTATCATCGCTATAGTCGCCCTGATCCTCCTCGATTTTTTCCTGCTGTGCTGATGTAGTTTTGCTGGATATTGAGAGCTCAGCTAGATCAGAGTCGAGCGCCGGCGAGGGCGAAGCAGGGGGATTGGTGCCACAGAGCTGTTTGTGAAGTCCCTTAGTCCAATGGATCGCCTGATGTTCGGGACCGCAGTAAGATACTTTATGGCACTTGGAACAGATCTTTGGTCCGTACATTCCGCATACGAAGCAAGTCTTGGCTACGTTTGAGAACGGAGTCGATAAATCAAAGTGGAGGTTGATATGACTGAGTTATTGAGATCCAGAACCGTGATCAAGCAACCTCGAATTGACCCCGTTCCTAATATCTGAAGCCCAGTCAGCATACCATGTCTGCTGCTTGGGAATGGTTCCCATCCAGCGTTCTCCTCGGCGGCATTTTCGTCGTCATGGGCCACTGGTGTATAGTATGGGTTATACTGCCCGAGCTGACTCCTGACAACCTTAAAGCTACGAAGTATGAGGCCATAACGAGGGAAATGTTAAACGGATTGACAGAGTAGGGCAATTGATTGTTTTCTTGGCAACAAAAAAAAAGTGCTTGGCTTACCATCCCCTGGGCAATTTCTTGTGACACGCTCCATCCTTGCAGCAGAACACATAGATCACACGATGAAACGCTTCCGCAGGATGATCTTCTGGCGAATACAGCTACCATGGCCGTTAGTAAACCGTCAAATGGAGGTTCGTATTCTTTTCTTCTTTAGAATTGGGTCTTGACAACAGCTGACGGGCCGAAAAACAAAAATTCGAATCTCACTCACCTGCAGCAAAAATGTCATAGGTTTTTGACATTGTTCACACAATATCTCCTTAGTATCCAGGGCGTGTTCAGGGTTCAGCCAAAGCTATTTCCATGAAGATAAATAGTAGACAGCATAAGTTAATGGTTAGATGTCCTATTCGGACTTCGAGTGCCCAAAGAGTGGTTTGCCACCAAAATTAAAAGGAGAAAAAGTCCTTGAACCTACTGGGAAACCACCAATCTTTGAACAAAAGTTCTCGGCGAGCAATGGTCCATGCTCATCGAGATCCACTGGCTCCGCGAATCCAAGCATGACCTGAGCTTCTTCCTCCATTGGGTCCGTGTTGTGGTTGTCTCCCGCGTCCGACATGTTGCTGCAATGAATCCTGAAAGTAAGGAAAGAACCCAAAGCTTTTTTTTTTTTTTGTGATAGCAAACATTACAGGTAATATCACGTGCATACTAGAAAGTATCCGCCCAGGCAAGGAAGCCAGGCATCACTTTCAAAGCATTCAACCCAACCGTCATCACCGCTGCATATATACTAACCGACTCAACCTACAGCGAAAGAAAGGGCACTCAACATCAGGACGCATCAACCAAGGACTCAAGTACACAAGCATTAGAACAACAGTGCCCATTCAACACATAATCAGCCATGGAGGACCCATTCATTCTTATCAAAAAGTAACCTCTCGTTTGGGCATAGAAAGAGCCATGTCATATCCAATCAACTTGGACCCTAACCGTTCTCTTTTTATCCATATCACTACATTTCTGCCTTTACCTATTATTTTTAGCGAAGTACTGTCATCTCTCAGCAATGCATCACAGCTCTTCGAAAGTTGGCGCCGTATCCTCCAAACCGTCACCTCCGCCGAAAACGAAGAGCTCGTGAAGACCAAGGAAGAGCTGCTCGGGATCCTTGGCAATATCGAACAAGATCTCGAAGACCTGGATGATGCCGTCAAGGCGGTCACGGAGAACCCGCAGCGATTCAATCTGACTACGAGAGAGACCACGGCCAGGAAACAGTTTGTGGATCAGACAAGGCGAAAAGTCCAGGATATGAAGACCACTCTGGAGAAACCCGTTAAGATAGGAAGCGATCAGCTGGATCGGTTGGCGTTATTGGAAGGGGCAGGAACTTCGAGTCCGCGAGGATACCAGAAACCGACGAGGAGGGAAAATATGATGTACAGCAACACCAAATTCATAGAACAGGAGGCATTACAGCAACAGGTAAGCCGAGCTTCATCAAACGGTACTAGTCTCTCACAGCTCATTATCCTCTATACAATTGTACTGAAGGAAATGCCATAAATATATTGTGATCGATAGATGCTGATGCAGGAGCAGGACCAGCAACTGGACGGCGTTATGCATACGGTCTTGAATATGAGGGAGATCGCAACGACGATGAACGGTGAACTGCAGGATCAATCCATGCTACTTGATGATCTGGACGAGCATGTCGATCGGACCTCTGGCAGCTTGCAAAAGGCCATGAAGCGTATGAACCATTTCATCAAACAGAACGAAGGTATGGCGCTTATTCTCAACTTGAATTTGCTTATATGCAGTTTAAAGACGACCTTCACTGATGCTCTTTCTTTGCACTGCCATTTCTAGAATCCAAGTCGTCGTGCTGCATTGGCATCCTGATAATGGTCCTCATCATCCTGCTGATTATGATCATCGCATTATAGAAACAATATAATACCCTATTTTTCTCGGCAAAATAATACATATATATTTTTTTCTGATCCATCCTTATTGTCTATCATACCGAAGACTGATCCGGTGCCTTCTCTATGCGACCTCCTCAACGAGTGTGCCGGATGGCTCCTGCTTTTCAAAAAAGTTGCTTTCCACAATGTAGCGCATGGCTTCCAGCAGCCTGTTCTTTTCCTCTTTGATTTCTCCCGACAAAAGCTGTGAAGAAATAGATGTATGAAGGTTAGAGATGCGATTCTTGGTCGAGTTGGAGCAAGATATCGACAGCTTGAAAAAATGAAGATAAGAGCAGTACCATTTGAAGTAATGATGGTCGGGTTCTAAAGACTCTTTTCATGTTCGAGACAGGGTTGGGCTTCTTGATCTTGTTCTAGATAATAAAGATGTGACAGAAAAGCTATGTTAGGAAAACTAGCTTAGCAATCGTAGAAATAACATTCGTCCATACGACTCTCAGTAGCGTACCGTCAGTGATGGATCGTGCGAGAAGGTGCACTTGTCGCCACGAGTACAATTGCCCCGCAAAAAGTATTTGCATGGTGTCTTTGGCCTAGTAGATTTATCTCGTGGCAGGAGGACCTTGCCAATAACGCTGGGATCCTTGGACGTGACAGCATCCTTTATCGGGTCCATAATATCGTTAACATCTTCGTCCTCTTCACTGTGTTCATTCGATGATGCATATGCGACCATTCCGTCGCCCGCAGCGCCCTCCGTCTTTGGTTTTTTTGTGGGAACACCATAGGCTTCCTGAATAGCCGCTGGCCGTTGATCCCGTTTGTTATTGTGGTTGTTGTTATTATTGTTCCTGCCTCGTTTATCTCGGTTATTAAATCCTTTTGTGGAGTGCTCATCCACGATCTGACCCTTCGCAATCATCTCTTGCCTCTCCTGCTCCTAATGCAAATAACAAATAAAATATACTGATAAGTGTTGGGCGCGTAAACTGTTAGAGGCGCGTGCAGATATGAGACAAAGGCTGTCAACGTACTCTTTTCTGAATATTAGCTTCTGTGGGCCATGCTTTCCGCCGCTGAGCAATCCAGGCGGCAATATCTTCTGGAGTATTCAAAACCGGAGTAAGGGGATGCAGCATTCCTGGGTCGACCTGTGCAGCTGGCCTTTTGTTCCTGATTACATTGTGGTTTGATTGCAACGCAGGCTTTGTCGTTGGTGCAGATGTAGCTGACGCCGTGGGCGGCGATGTTGAAGCCGAAGCTGATGCTGATGTGGATGCAGGTGTAGATGACCCGCCCGCTTCGTCAGACTTCGGAGAATGGACAAGTTTCCGATGCTCACTCACGAGACTAGGCGAAGCCGTATACTGGCAATCCGGACACGACCTGTGTGCTGCAACATGGATCTTCATCTTTGCCTCCTCGTGAAATGTCACACCACAAGCATCGCAGTGGAATCCTGAGGCGTCTCTGTCCTCAACACCCTCGATTGCCGCATTCTGTTCCTTGGCTTGATCTGGTTTCGGTCGATGCTGCTGTTTGCCTCGCTGATTACTATTATTGTTCCTTCCCTGTCTTTGCTGTTGATTCTGTCGTGGATGTTGACCGTTGAAAATGTTTCGACGTCCATTCTGGTTCCCAAAGGATGCGCGCTCGTGTGGAGAGGCGTTCATAGCCATTGTCACGGCCATCCTTTGTTGAACTGTGGGTGTTTGGTAATTCGAATACCATTCGTCCGGGTTGGAGGAATCACCTACAACATTCGCCAATGTGCCAGAAGTAGTCATTGCCGCTGAGCCCGAACTTGCTACAATATTAGAACCTGAGTATCCAAACTGAAGCAAAGCAACTGCAGCTGCAGATGCGGCCGCAGCGCCAAGCTGTGTCGAAGACTGATACTGGGCCTGGTACTGTGAGAGCTGGTTGCTGGTATTTTGCGGTCGCCGGTTGTTGCTGCTCTGCCTCAGCTTTGAGGGCGGCAACGGGGTACTGTATGATGGAGGAAGAACTGTAGCCGAGGCGGTCAGTGCTGAGCTTGCTGAAGACGTATATTGCTGCTGCTGCTGTTGTTGTTGTTGATATTGGTAATACTGATAGTATTGATGTTGATATGCCATATGATCTACTGAATATCCTGAATACTCTTGCTGCTGCTGCTGCTGCCCTGCTCCTTGCCCTGCTGCTTGTCCTGCTGCTTGCCCCGCTCCTTGCATGTGCTGTTGGTTGTAGTATGCGTCCATGGTAAAGCGATTGCTCCTTTGAGTGGCGGCGGTTGGAATGAGAAGTGTGTGTGAAAAAGATGTCTGGACTGAGCGAGAGGCAAAAAAAAAAAAAAAAAAAAAAATCCGCAACAACAAATAAGACTGTTTTTTTTAAGTTTCGTCGTGGGCACAGCACATTTTTCCTTCCACGACGCACGACGCGTCTTGGGCTGCGCTCGAGAAGGGATAATAAGAAGACAAACGAAGCTGAAGCCCTACCATGTACGGAATATTTCGAAACAGCTCCCCCATGCAGCGATCGCAGGCTTCGGAGTCTGCAGCTGCCTGTTACAAGCCCATAAGTAGTCTATGCACCATACAACGCTTGGATCGAGTCCACAGCCAAAACGCGTTTGTAAATGCAGAGAATTGTCCGCACCACATGAGATGGAGGGTGACCGTAATTGAAACCTCGATCCTCAGTTTCTGTTCTTTCCTTCCTCCGTCTTCCTTACCCTTCTCGCTTCCTCTCTCTTCTCTTCCCCTCCTCTTCCATTAAATGAGCATCCATTGCATCCACAAATCATATCGTTCCAAGTTGAGAGACCCCACAACCCATCTCCCATTCTTGAGTCTCTCCTTCCCCCACCATCGCGTCAGAAACGCATGAAAAAACTCATGGCCTTTGCTTAGGGAAACCGTACAAAGCTGGGACAGGATACTTTGCCCAGCCCACAGAGTCAACCGACCCAGAAGAACCAGACCGTCAATGACGAGCAAGCTCAGCAAGCCAGTCAAGCGAGCCCAGAAAATAAATCCATGTCTGAAAGTGCGGCCTCGGGCCAGATAACTCGCATCGTGTCGTTTTTTTTTGGCGATAATAATGAACAAGTAAATAATTTCTTCGTCGAGCATGACCATGACAACCCTTGCCTGAACAGTTGGTGGCGTTGTTGAAGATCGTTCCTCAAACTAAAGTGCATAGTTGCTATGAGTAGGAACAGTCGGGAGGGCGCCAGGAGGCCAACGAGACCGGAAGTTTCGATTTCAATTTCGACTCCAGCTCCGACAGCTCCGGTGACGGGACTGACTCAGGCGATGGCGCGCACCGCGGAAACAAGCGTCGAAAGTATGATGCCAAGATTCATATCCCCAAGGGGAGATGCATGGGTGTTACTGTCATGGTCAAGTTTGGGGTTGAATAGCTGTGAACCGAGGCCATCGTCCGAGCAAGAGCTGTGTGTTTCGATCTAGCTGAATAACATACTGAGATAGTTAGTGATCTCAAAGAAGTCGTGGAAGCGTCTTTAGTGAAAGCACCGTGACAGGGGTAAGTACATTCATTTAAACATTTGCAACAACACACCAATATATCAAAAGCGAAGGTTCTTTTCTTGTATGTGTAATCTGCTTCGAGAGGCCGACTTTATAGGGCATCACAGTGCCATTCTTCACGTTCATTTTGCGCGACATTTCTTGTGTACCAAACACCGACCTTAATATTTATGTCTCTATCCATCTGTATCCTTCACTCTTCTATCGCTTGATAAAAACACCCCATGCTCTGTACCATCCTTCAAGACCGAGTGAAAGCTTCCTCCATTCATCTTATGCGAATAAGGTTTCTCCAAAATCCTAAAAGAGACACAGCTTGGTTGAACAGACGATCTTGTACAAGCAACTGCTGCACAGCATTCGAGCTGCATAGACATTGACCCCTAATCAACAATGCCATGCGACGGACTCATAAGGAGGGATCGATGATTTTCAGAACCTTTTCTTCATAATATTTAATGCAACCTTGTGTGGTAATCATGAGTATTGCATGCCACTTGACGATAATGAAAGAGACTGTTGTCCAGGTAAATCCCTAGCCAGCATGTCGAGACAAATGAAGCACCCATAGAATGGATTGCATGCGCGCGAAGGAGGAGCCCACAATGCAGCAGTATGCAACGAATTCATGCGCCAATTAGGCGCTCTCTTCTTAGATGGCCATAACGACAGAAGTCTCTCTTATCTTCGCTTCACAGCTGTTAGTGTCCTCTCCTTGGGCCTCTCAAGAGTCGTATTACAGATCGCGCTTTGAATTGACTGTTCTGTATCGTTCTATATCGATATAAGCGAGCGCTATTGCTTCGTTAAACATTGGACACAAGGATCTCAGCATCCATATTGCCTTTTTTAATTCCTCGGGATCACTGCGATGCCGATCTATACAGTGCCCAATGTTATTCGGATGCTCTCTCGGACACTTCCTTGCGTGTGCATCAAGCCCGGTATTGGTTCATATCTTATGTACGCCATTCCATTGCCATTGCAGCTGCCACTTTTCGTCTTGGCTATCAATTTCAATGACAGCGATATCTTGATGCCGCGCTGGCTTGACCTTACAGGCGTAAACTGGTGTGTCAGTAGCCGAGGCATCAGTTCTTGCTGATATTGTTAACGACGTCGCGGTTGGTGACTGGAGCGCTGGTCTAGGAGCAACGGCTTCGAAGAGCATGTCCTCATGCGGCGACAAGCCTTGACTCTACCATGGCATCGGGTGCAGGGCTTCCTAGCGTTCAAGTGTTCACAACAACAAAAAGACATTAGCAAAGAAAGAAACTCGCAATGCCATAGAACTATATAGGAGGAATGACGCTTACCACGATGGCAGTTCAAGCTCGAGCTGAACCTTGCATGGCCCACTACTAGCTCTCCCGCGCTCCTCTTGTACCCCCTCTTGAGTCCATCCACTGGTCATCACCTGCACTCTTCTGCTGCCCCGCTCATCATTCTTCCACATCCTCTATGACATAACCTCATTTGCTCTCTCCCCTTTGTGCCCCGTGCACATTGGCCATCCCCGCAAATGAGCCGAGCCCACAGCCGGCAATCTCGAGGCTTCGCGAAGGCTGTCGCCCCTGGGCTGAGGGAGGGTGGTCTGCTCTGTGGTAACAGCCAGCACCGCTCCCTACCTCCTCCTTACCTGTTCCACCACTACCTTGAACACATGACGCATTCGTCCCTTTGCGTGTGTCGAGCCTAGGACTAGGACCCCTGATCGAACGGCGAGCTCTCTTTCCCTTGGCGTCTAGATTGGGAGCATTACTAGGCCTGATATTGCGAAGGGACCAGTTAAATAGTGCGTGAGTATATCGCTGTTTGCTCTTAGACTCAACACGCATGCTTCTCTTTATCCAAGAGGACGCGTGCAACGTACCTTCGTTTTCCATGTGGCAATAGTGTTTTCCAATCATAGGTCTGCTGATGTGCTGCCTCAAAGAAGCCGTCTCAGTTGCGCGTCCACTCCAGAGTCCCTTCTTAGGATCAGGACCGCCGAGCAGGCCCTTGAACATGATGTCTCCGCTCCGGGTCTCACAACCTGCTGCCCTGTGTGTTGGCGAGTGCCCCTTCGGACGACCGTAGTCGAGCCCCACCAGGACGATGGACTTGGATTGAACCCAGAATCGGAGAAAGCGGCGAGGGTGGTGTCTCAGCATAAAACCGTGCATCTATCCGAGCGAGCAAAGCAGAGTATGGGCTGTCGACGATTTATAGGGTCCCTGAACACAGCAAAGAGTAAGCGCTTTGGTTGGGCCACAGGAGCAAGGAGGGTGGAGGAGAGAGAGCTGTCTAGGGTGCAGCACTGGGTGACCAGCACAGCAGGCACTCAATCCCAACTGAGTTTGACAGCCCTTCAGCCTCGAGGTCACTGGTCCGCAAGACGACTCATGCAAAAGGTGACAAAGTGCACAAAGGCACTCGAACGAGAGGGTATTTTTTTGATGAGGTAGGGGCAATCATTGGCGGCAAGGGAGGTGATGAAAGGTTCGAGTGGGGCGATGGCTGGGGGAAGGAGGGGAGAGGAGAGGAGTGGGAGGAATGGAGGGACTCGACAGGGCACGAAAGGCCCGATGCGTTAGGCAACGTGCTAGACTGGGATCGACTGGACTGAGGCTCTCGCTCTGAGTGGACGGTGCATGGTTGCTGCCGCGTCTCTTTCGAAGCAGACGGGAGCAGAGACTACACGAAGAGCAGTCTGTGCAAGAGCAAGCACAGGAAGCCAGTTAAGAAGCGAGAAGTCACACACAGGCGCTTCTTATTCACAAGAGAAAATGACAAAGACTGGGCCCTGAAGACATATCTTTCTGAAACTCTGCTGGCCTCTGTGGTGGTCCGCTGCAACTGTATGGCTACTGCTGCTCTTGGGTGGATCAGGGACACTGATAGGCGAAGCAGAGAGCAAAACAATGTGCGAAGTAAACAAATCAAAGAGTGGGCTCAGGTACTATGAGATGTCAGAGTGGTCAAGGTTCATACTCCAACTCGATGTGGTGAACTGTGTTGACTAGCAAACGGACTCTTGCAGGTCCAGAGCAGTGGAGCAGTGGAGCAGTGAAGGAAGCAGGATGTCTGCAGCGTTGTTTGATTATGTGCGTGTGTGTGCGTGTGTGCCTGGAAGGGTCCTTCCTTGACCGCTGCAAAACTCACTCGATAATACTGCTGAACAGAAGTCATGCGCTGTCTCGGGCATGTAATTTGACTGCTGCGTCTTTGGATCGAGGGTCCCACAATTATCAACCGGCCAATGCGGTCCAACGATCAGATCAGTGATCAGTTGTTTCACTAGCGACTACCTCCTGTGCGGTATAAAAAGACCACCCTCCCTCTCTTTCTTTTTTCCCTAAAGTCTTCGTGCCGGTCTAGCAAGGCGCGTAAGCGCTCCCTTGAGGTGCTTGACCACCAGCTACAGCTTGCAGTGGCCTTAAAGCTAGCTGGGGATTCTTGGCCTCTTGGGGGCTGCCCTATTCACTTTACTTTACTTTACAAAGATAACAAAGAAACAAGTGTGGGAAAAGCAGGGCTCATGAGGAACAAGGACGGACCAGGTGCATCGCTCATGCTGTTTTCTGCATTCAATTTGAACCAGATCACTCTGCCACGTGTGCGGTACTCTTTTGGGCGTAGTCTGTTTCGTCTTCAAATATAATTTCCTATCCGGCATGTCGATGCGCGCGCGAAGGAGCCCACGATGCACCAGTATGCAACAAATTTGCGCGCCGAGCAGGTCTCCCTTGGCCTAAACTCACAGCTATGATTGCCTTGTCCTTGCCTCATGTTGCAAGTCGTACTTTGAACCAGCTCGTTTTGTGTCGATGCTTGTAGCAGCATTGCTTCGTTAGGTGCCAGGTAGAGTCTGGATATTGCGACCTGCAAGCATATGCTTTTTTTTGCAATATTGATATCAAAATGCTTAAAGCGAAGCTAAGCGGCCAGCAGTACCACCCCCAGTTGTGCAGTTATGCACCAGGCCTGCAACACGCTCACTTCATCGACCAAGCAGGCCACACTCGGTTAGGTCTCTCTGCATTTTCACCACCACCACCAAGATCGCAACCCTACCTGGCTGTATACAAACTATTGCGTGTCTACTCATCTCCTATGCATATGTTGCATTAATTTGCTTCCTAGATGAAAACGGATCAAAGAGGCCTCAAATTTCATGTCAACCTTAACAAACACAAAGGACTCAGTAATTATACTTGTCAGCGCATGAGACCAGTACAGGTGACGTTATGGATAGGTTCCAGGAATTGAGAGCGGCCTCTTGGCCTTTTATAAATATCTTGTAAATGGTACCAGAGTATGTATCTCAAGTAATAGAAGTAACACGCAAAAGGAGAGCGCTCGGAATCCTCAAAGTTCTCAAGAGTAGCGCATGTCGACTTGTAGCTTTCAGTGCTTTCGGTTAGCACTTGAAACAATACTAGGAAAGCCGCAGTTTTGCGACTAACAATGCAACATCTTTTCTTCTTCTTGCACTCATCACATAACACAAACAAACATAGCTTTAGCTCTAAAGAATATCATTAAATCCTTTCAAAGAGCTTTAGTAGTTTTGATCCTCTATGCAATGATTAACAATCTTCAGCAACCGAAGAGGGATGTCCAGTAGATGATGCTCTCCCACATTAGGAAATGATCCCCGAATAAGGTTGTGGCTGTGCCTGTTACATCGGCTGTTGACGCTGTGGGGATCACATAGTTCCTACCGGCTACTGTGCACCCTCACCCGTGCTCTTGCCCATACTCATGCATCCGATATCTCGACTTCAGCATCCCTCTTCTTAAGCGTCACCAGCGCATCAATGATCGCAAACCATCGCGACTGAGATATACACGAATTTGTAAATCCAGGACATATCGCAGATGGGTTTAAATGGGTTGAGAAAAAAATAACGGTCGGGTTCTGCGCGGCCTCATAAGAACTGGGCGAGGAAGACTAAATGCGCCCGTATTTAAACTATGGCTCCAAAATAGACTTTTTCTGTGATGACATGGCCTCTCAGCGAGGAAGATATATAAACATAAAAAAAAAAAAAAGTCGTTCTAAGAATTATAGGGCTCCAGCCTTGCCAGGGAAGAATCCACGGAGTTTTTGATAATGCGGTAATTGCGAAGTACTTGCACGCCACTAGGAAATAACTGAGGTGAGGGAGGTAGAAGAGGAAGCGGGGTGGCTGAACCAAATTGGAGGCAGAAAAAAAGAAAGAAAAGAAAGAAGGTGCAATATAGATACCAAGTTAACAACTTACGATGATAAGTTGTATTAAGCGACGGCTAGATCGTATTTTATAGACCTAGTAGCCTGGTACTTTGTATAAACAGTCAACCGACTGGATGTTTATATCAGGTTACGCCATGGAGCTGCCGTATAATCAACCGGGTTCTCTATCGCTCTAAAGAAAAGTTGGACAGTCCTAACCCCATCCATGGCAAGAACCGCGGTTATCGGACGCGCCGACACCCATACTATGACAGCGCCAGTTTCCTACTCATAAGCAAATGAACGAAGCGGCCATGTCGTCGCAGAAACGCTGATTTTATTTGCAAAGATTCATTCATTTAATATAGACGCGACGCATCATAGGCGCCGTCGCTTCGATCCAGTCTTCTTCGAGATCTGCTCTTTCTAAGCATACATGGCCACCATGAGTAAAGATCTCGTTAGCAATGACAGTCCAAGGTTGATAACGCCTCGCAATCTTTCAAGTATGACTTGGTTAACTTGACTTACTCGCTTCGGAGAGGTGGCGTGCCGTGGACCCACAATATCATCGTCCTCAGGTATCACGATCGCCTGATATGGTATATATTCACTCACAGTTCTACTCGCACGGCTATTCTCGGTTTGGATGAATGGCGGCGTAGCTTGAAGTTCCTGAGCATCGTGAGTCGCTGGCGCCAGGAGCAGACGACGACTCACAGCGACCCTTTGAGTTTTCTTGGGCAGGTTTCGACATGTCATCACCGAGTGTCTCTCAGTGTCTTCTTGATGTACCACTTCGCTTGCAACTTGGTCCTTTCGGTCCGTGAACGTCCCTTGAGCTTCGTAGTAGGTTCCAGAAATGCGGTAAGGGTATCCAGTTCCCTCCATAGCTTCTTTGTTAGTCAAAACATCGGGGGTGCGTGATCTTATGGGCTTCTGTTCTGCGGGCAGTAATTTGGCTTGAGTCGGCTCAGTCGTGGTCTTGGTTTCCTGATATCGAGCTTGCCCGTTGGCCTTCGCGAGTTCAATGTGTTCAGATGCCTTGCTTCGGATGCGTGATTTTGGCTGTAGCCGTTCGGATTGTCCTCTCCTGGTTCTTGGAAGTTGGGCTTGCTCACCTTCTTCCATACATTGACACCGATGCTTTAGCATATTTTGATTCTGCTATAGGTGAAAACGACAAAGCAATATCAATGCCACATTCGGTTCTCCTTAGTAACAACGCATTCATCTGTAAAGTATATCGCTTACTTCGACGAGCACCGATAGCGTCTTCGCCTGGATCTCCATGGTCGACCTCATATTCCTCACCATGTCCACCACGCCATCAGACTCCTGCCGAAGCCATTCAGTCCTGATCCGATTTTGCTCTTCCTTCACGCTCGCCTTATCCGAAGCGTATTGCCGGATCGCCTCCAAAATCTCCTCAGCCTTGGTTCGCAAAGCCAATGTATCCGCGTCTCTGTCCTCCTTGACCATGTCATCTCTCGCAAATCGCTTCTCAATTTCACCAAAACAATGCTGGACCTTGTCGAGTACCTGATCAAAAGATGAGAGCTTATCCAAAAGAAGGCGAACCTCCCGAGATCGCGAGAATAGTGTTGCGGTGAGCGAGTTGAATGCCCCTTTGCTAGGCTCGGGGCAATCTTGTTCGCTCTGGGTGGCATTCTCGTCCGTGCCCAACCCATCACAAGATCCTTCTGGCTGTTTGGCACGTGCCGGTGAATCCTTGCAGATATACGATCGTAGATACGATGGGATCGACGTGTTTAACATGGATCTACTCACGAGCAGAGTCCCATCTGAAAGAGTAGGTTCCATGCCGCCCACAGAAGCTGGTGCCAGGGTAATTAAGGACTGAGCAGACATTGCGGATACTGGAGTAGTAATACTGCTGGTTATCGAACTCCCTGATGTAGCTTGTTGCATAGATACAGTTGTTGGGGCTGGTTTACTTGCTCGATCAGTAAACGTGTCATTTGCAAGAATCGAAGGCGCTCGAGAAGGCTCCGTGGAATAGGAGCCATCAAAAACTGATCCTGCTGCACGTCCTAAGTGAGCCCCGAGGGCGGGCCGGGCATACGGACTGTGGTCACACCAATGCTGATATCCTGAAGATTGGTTTGACTTGGGAGCGGGGATTGGGGCCGGAAAAGAAAAAGAGTGTGGGATTTGAATGTGCTGTGGATCTGGGGGAGCTGGAGGTAAGGCAGCCATTGGGGCGATGGGGATTGGCCTCAAGGGGATCCGTTGACTCATGATTAAGAATGACTAGCACTAAGATTCTGGCAAGCAAGATGGAAAAGGCGGACAATCAATGCTGTCGAAAGAGAGAAAGGGAAGAAACGAAAGACGTGGTTGCAGGAAGATTATATCCGACCAGCGCCACCAAAAACGAGGGTCATCGTCTCGTTGATACCAAGACATCCTCGAAATTTACGTGAGATTCAAAGGCCGAGCGTTTTATTATTCTTTTCAGTTTCTGACAACAGATTGCCATGTCCAAGTGAACGGTCCATGAGTCAAGTCTCAGAAGACAGTGGGTATATAACGCGAATGAATAGGACGCGCAATCTGTCGATGACTGTGCTGTATTCGCAAGGTACTTATGTCCGGCGCGCTTTGTAGGTGATCATATCGAGTGTCCTCCTTGCTTTCTTCAAGTCCTGCATGCTCGACAGTAGTGTTCGACATCCGACTTTTCGTAGCTAAATCCGCAAATAGATTGGTAATGGTCAGACGAGAAGGAGTTATAGCCAACACTTCATGCCCTGCCCATGAATAGATCGTCATGCACTCTTATTTCTTTCCAATGGTTACCTTGTTACACAGCATGCACGACATGCAAATGCTTGACATGAGAGACAATTGACTGCACAGAACTGGCACTGAGGTCGCTGACAGATCGAGCAAGAATCGATCAGAGCCTGATACCGATCCCGCATTCCTGGGATCCGACTTGTTTCACACCCACTAATCTCGCCCGCACAATCCGAAAACGTCCATGCTCTCGCTAGCGGTACCGCCGAAGTGGGGAATCCCGAGTTTTGATACGGAGCTACTTGAGAGTGGAAAGGCAAGTGTTGCTGCTGTTGTTGCTGTGATGACGGCTGGGCTTTACTGAATGCGAACAAGCGTCTCATGGCTTCTGCTGGACTTTCTTTCTGCGCCAGTGCTTGCAGTTGCTGCTGCTTTTGGTATTGCTGTTGCTGTAGCAATAACTCATGTTCTTGCTGTTCCTTCTGCTTCTGTTCCTCCAGTAATCGCCTCTGTCCCTGCATCATCAAAGTCATCGTCCTATCTGCGTAAAACAAATGATGTCAATTACCAATGGACACATCATCGATAAGATACAGGAGTCAATAGGCCCGTGTAGTCGTGTTACCATAGACGATCTCCTGCTCAAGGCCGATGCCTGACCGGGTCTTCATGACGAGTGGCGAGATATCTTCATAGGAACTCTTTCGTTTACGGGGGCCAGCTTGGTTTCCTTCTGACGAAGCAAAGTGCTGTACTGGAAACGAGTCCATATGGCTGTGAAACGTGAAGGTTGTATTGTTGTTCATCGTTGTCAAAAGGTTGCGTCCTTGATGGTCAGGGTGGATGATCGATCCCACAGGGTGGCGATGTCGTTGCTGATGCAAACGCCTTTATTCATATACGCGGTCAGAAAGAATAAATTTTCTTATGTGTTGCTGTGTTTGCAGTTATGGAGGCTGGCATAAAATCCATGTCATTTGTTAAAGGGCTTGTTATTTTAGGTACATGCACGAAATGTGTACAGAACGCGATACAAGACAATATGGGGTGGCACACTAGTTCCTCGTTGAGGCATGCATGAACAAGGATCTATGCAGCGGTCGTATTAACAAGCCGGTTAGGAACAGGCACGATAAACGCTAGGCAATGAAGCGCAACAATCACGCTACCTACATTTTTGAGTTGTTGTATCCTGACAAGTACGCGTCTTCCATCGCCGACTGCGTGACCGAGGAATCTAAAGACAACAGTTAGTTAAAGAGGAGCTGTTAAGCCAAATATTTGTAGCAGCACTATATTTAATGCGCGCATACGACCGTAGCTCACCAGAAAGGTCGCTAAAGGAAGACCCAACCGAATTTTGTGCGCTGGACTTTCGAGAGCTGGCCCCTGATCTCTCTGGGCTAGTCCTTATTTTCGAAGAGAATTCGCCTAGCGAGAGAAGACATCACATTTCTTAGGTGCCCCGTTACTCGAGTATCACAACAAGAGTCCATTAAGTGATCGGAATAAGTGCTTACCATGACCTAAACTCCGCATCCGAATAGGTCCCACAGTCTCCTTGAATCGAATGCCCCTTACCCTATGATCGTCATCATCATCCCCTCCGCCGTGATCCAAAATTTCTTCCAGAGCCCCAGTACCAAGACTCGCCAGTTCATCATCAAGCTGAAAAGGCATCTTATCTCCTGAGGCCGTCCTCCGCTGATATCCATCGTTTGTTGGTTTCTGAAGGATGCCCGATGTCGAGGCGCCGGTGCTAGGGAGAAACGCTAATACGTCCTCCAAATGAAGCTGCTTGATCTGTTCACTCAACGGTCCGGATTCATCCTGACTTGCGCTGTCGCCTTCCCTATCCGTGTGCTCGTCTTCGGTTTCGTCGTCATCATCATCGTTATGATGATGGTGGTTTGTCTGAGAGTAGAAAGGAGTCTGATCCATGAACCCCAACCCATATACGCCCTGCATCTGTGTAAAAGATGATTGCTGAAAGGCGCCATGTCTGTCACTGCTCGTATTCTCACCAAGTTGTTGACCCCGTGAAAAAGAATCATTCGACGACAATTGATTAAAGAACGACGTCTCCTCAAAGATCTGCGAAGTGCTGTTGCTTTGTGAATATGGCGTCGAAACTGAAGACACTGTCGAGGAGCGTTCCTGATCCTGAAATATCGATGGATTTCCCTGTGTGGCCGACCGTCCTGGAGAACTCCGCGCACTGTGGCCTGATGATGTTGATGGATGACTGAGTCGCGTAGAAGCAGACAGGGTAGCCTGATGGAACGGATGTGCAGGCTCCGCAACTCTCCGAATCGATTCTGCCATGGCATTTTCATCCCTTGGAGACGTAGGAAGCATTGTCATTGGGTTATTGAGCCGCCGTTCCTGTGCATTGATAAGTTGCGATCCCCGCGTTGAGCGAGGCTGTGATGGTCCGCGATTTGACAACACCCCAGAACTATACACATTGTTATCTACAGCTGCGTTTCGTAAGGAAGATGATGGAGAGGATGGCTGGACAGGACGAATGGTTGAAGCCGAAGACGACATCGAGGCGGGTCGTGCTGAAGAAGGGAACGTCGAAATGCTGCCCGAGAGCGATGGGCTGGCCTGTGCCTTTGATGCTCCCTCACAAATTTGGTTAATGCTGGGATTGGAGTTGTTGTTGGGGATGCCACTAAATGTCCCTCCTTCCCTCTTGGCTACCGAGCGCTGGTCCTTCTCGCTCAGTTGCCCATATCCCGCGTTGACCAGGGGCTCTGTGGATAGGCCTTCTTTCACTCCTTGCGCCCATTGAGAAAGCGGCGATGGTTGCTGATGTGTTACTAAACTTCCACCTAACGACGCTTTCACGGTTCCGGGCCCAATAACGCCGAAATGCATTGGTCGGGAGGTTCCATGCAGCTGAGCAGTAAAGTCCTGCTGCTCTCCAAGTCGATGCAAATCCTGCAACTGGTTCTGATACAGGAAAGCTGCATGTCTGATGAGAAACGGCACTGGGACGTTGCCCAACTGTCGAGATACCGCGTTCCCTATGAAAGAATGATTCAATAAAGAGCGCGAGGGCGTAAGTCCTTTCCAATCGATAAGGATATCTGACATCCAGTTTTTCTTTACAGCGCACAACTAGGCCTTGATTCTTACAGTCGACAAGTGATGGCTTCGTCTGTCCAATGATCTGCCAGAGCGTCTCCTCCATTGCCTCTGTCCATTGCACCTAACGACCGGTAAGAGATTCCAGTTAGGGTGCGAATGCATGCATGCATGCATGCATACACAACTTGTATGCAGTTAACGAGAGGCTGTGTCTTTACTGGCTGGGTATCGATAAAGCCCTCAGGTCTAGGGTAGGGTAGCCGTATGACGACGTGAATGGGTTCCTCTGATGGTTCCATGGCAAATAGAGTCGGAGTGTCGGTCAAGAAGGGGAAGCAGCGGTGTGCCAATGTTGTGTGGAGAGCCAATTGAGAGAGCAGGTGCACGGATCAGACCAGGAGGCTGTACAAAGAACATTTTTTATTTCAAGGGTGCAGGATGACAACGAGGTGCAAAAAGTTGTCTGGATAGGCCATATTCTGAGCGAACCATACGGCATTGACGTCTAGGCTAGGCTTGATGCCGTGGATCATAACCGATGCACCCGCGTGATCATCGTCACTCCCCAGCGGAAACAGGTCTGGCAGGGCAATATTCAGGATCTGCCGCAGCGTCCTTGGCTGGCCTATCATCCGCCGCAGATCGAATCAACGGGTCAGAACATGCATCTTCATCAAAAATACACACGTAGCCAGCACGCTAACTTACCCTGTTCGTCCATAGGGGACACTGGATTCTGTATCACAGGGCAGTTCTCGGGCAAGTAGATCCGGATGGGCAAGAACTTGGTAGCTGCCCCATCGTTCGACACTAGCTTCTGGTTCATTCCCCAGAACAGATCATAGCTTTCTGTGTGAGATATAACGAGTTCAATTAGCGAGAGTAGCCTTCTTTTCAAACAAAATAGCCCGCGGTCAATGATGAATGTCATCCTTACTTGACCACAGTCCATTCCACAACTGCATTTGATCCGCCTTTGACATATTCATAACTTTTTTGGTCGATCCATTGCGGAGGTAATCTGCCTGTAGGAGAAGTAAAATTGGACGTAAACACGATATGAGTAAATCAAATCGATATGGTGCATCATGGACTAAGGCGCATCATTTTCTTTTTCCATGTTCTGATAATGGTACTATACCTCCTTGATCATGGACATGAAATAGTCCTGGCAGCTGTCTGTGAGTGAACTTTTGATCAGCTTATTGCTCGGAAAGTTTCCAAAGTGCACCATGATCTTCCATGGCAACTCTGGTTCGGACACCCCGTGTGCTGCTGAGGCTTGTAGTCTATGAATGTCATAAAGTAGCCCAATCGGATAGTGCCTGGTGCGTGTAATATCTTTGATTTTAGACGCGTATTTTCCAATAATGAAGCAAAGGGTATGTGAAAAGCGAAAGAGCAGCGTACCATTTCAAGGGAGTTCCTTCGTAATCATACCAGATCTCAAAGTCGTCGCCTGTCAATTGAGTGCGCCCATGAGCTGCAAAGTGCCTCTGAACTTGTCTCGTCAAAAATGGCAGATACGAACACCGTGGAGTTTCGACCTATCGAGGTTTCGGGTAGGCAACAACGCGTTAAACTCGTTGGTTGATCACATTCGCACCAGACTGGTAACACTGAAATTTGATCCAGTCAAATCGCCTGTTACCAACAAGGACTCCCGTTCCCGGAGATCACATCGTGCAGCTTCAGCTGGATCGAGTACAAGTTGGATCGGGAGGGATCCGTACCAGACCGCCCTCGTAACAGGGTTGTAGGGTGCTCCTGCTGTAGTGTCCATTATTGCTTGCTTGTGTGTTGTTGACTGTAGACTGTGGTGGTATGTTGAGGTCAATGCGGAATAATCAGGGCGTTTCTGGTCCCTGGATCCGCCCCCCCTTTTATGTTGCCGCCAATTGCCACGCGAAAGCGATAGGACGTACTTCTCCTATGCTGATCAACATGGTGCTCACTACAATGAGATTCGATCGTTGCTTCTCTTCAGAATCCATCTTGATCCGTGTCATCGGTGTCATCGGTGCAACAGCCCAGTTTTAACAATAGCCTGTAGGAGGAGTCGGCGGGCGAGGGAGGGGCTCTCGTAGTTGGACCGTGACCAGGATCCCATCCTTCCGCGTCTATTTTCTACTCTGCTCGCAGCTGGCCTCCTCCTCACCTCTCTCTCTCTCTCTCTCTCTCTCTCACCCTCTCTCACCCTCTCTTGCTGACTCACGCAGGGCGCCCACCGCTCTGACGAGCCTTCGACTCTTTAGCGTTTCTACTCATAATAGATGATACTGCGGGTAATTAGTAGCCATCCTGCTCCTGCGCGCGATCTCTGCAGCTTCAATCGTCTACATCCATTGTATACCTACTTTTTCTCATGCCTATCCTTCGGTGCAGCATGGTCTCAGTGTTGAACTTTTCTACTTTACCATTGGTAGCATCACTTTTTATTTAATAAACCTGATTGCGGTTTAGCAAGTTTGGAATGGATAACTATATCATTACGAAGGCGTTGGCACAGGTATTCAACAAGATCTTCAGTGGTGAATAGGATGGCGAAGGGTGATGAAGGGTATTGTCGTAGTCGTGATAAACAAACAGGCAGCGTACAGACGGATCCCTCGCAGCGTTAAATTTTGCAGGGCTCAAACAGTTCATTCAAAAGTCGAAGGCCGACAAAATTTAAAATAAGATTATTGATCCCCATTTGCCCAGATGATCTTTACTATACAACTCATACGAACAACGAAATAGAATCAGGCACAGTCATGCGCGTTGCTTTCCATACTAGGGTTTATTATACAATGGGATCCGATTGCTGTATGCGATGTATGCGGCGCCTACGATGACTAGCTCGTGATGAGGCGCCAGTTGTTGCTGCCATCTCGTAGCAGCTATAAGCTTGATGTTGGGTCTTCATTTGCTCCTGTTGCTGTTGCCATTCTTGTTGTCCTTGGAGAGTTGCTCATTCCGTGAGCTGTTTCGGGGCGCGTTCGCTACAGACTGCAGCTGCGGCAGTTGAATAGAATCCTCCTTTGCGATGACGTTGGCCGGATCCCGGTGTCCTGATTCCTTGCGCTGACTACGAAGACAGGCCTCCTCGTCGCTAACCTCGTACTCTTTGCCGGCTTGCTTCATCAGGTTCACAAAGTAATCGTCTTCCTCGTCCTCGTCCGAGTAGCCTCCGTCGACAAACTCCACGTCGCGCAGGGGCGCGATGCGATTGGCGATTGGCTTCCCAGATTTCACTGACTGTTGTTCGAGTTTCGTATTCTGCCGTTCCTTCATGGCCTTATTCTTTTTCTTTTTCGTCTTCCCCTTGCGTATTGCTCCGTCTTCCTCACTGCTGTCATTGCTGGAATATTTGTCGCTGCCATCCCCTCTTGAAATCTCCCTTTCTGCCGATTCCATATCGTCCAATCCGTGTATGCCCTCGGGTTCATTGTACATCCTCTGATAAGTACCGTCGTAGAAAACGTCCGCAATCTTTTGCCGATGTCGGATAATGGTCGATGGTATGATAAAAACGTCCTTGATCAGCGACACCTGAGTGGAATGGTGCAGCCCTGATGACTTCTGTTTGGAGTCGACCGCAACCCGATTATGTTCATCAAACCGCACATGAGTCGCTCGATCGTTCCTCGAATGCCCTCGATGATCAGTAAAAAGTTCCTGCTGTCGCTTCTGAGTTGCGCCAGTGAGAGTGCCGTAAGCGCGGACAAAAGCTTCTCGGACCTTCCATACTGCATATGAGCCTGCTGCTGTGTTGTTTTTGGGATCATTCGGGTCGTCGCATGATAGCACTAGCCTAGGTCCTGGACCACCACGGAAGAATGGAGCCGGAGTATTGGGATCCTTTTTATAATAAGATCCTCCATCCCTCACGGAGATACCGACGCTGTTATAGTTGAAGCAGAGTCCATAGAGCTCAAAGAACTCAATCAGGAGGACGCCCAGATTGTCTTGAGGGTTGATCCTTCGCATCTGAACTTGAGGGTGCATCTGCAAGAAGCTGAGGATCATGATCACAGTCGTGTAAGAACCGACGCCACCATGATAGACCTCGTTAAGACTCTGAATTAATGAATATTGAGATTGTCTAATAAGTATCGATTTCTTTATTCACAATAACAAGAACCAACTCGCATAAATAGCAAGCACTACTTACTTTAGTCATCAAAAAATGCTTGATAAGCATCGTCAAGGGTCGCAAAGCTGGCATCTCGTCAATGAAACTGTTGATCACTGCGCCACTCTGAACTCCGTTTATGATGTTGAACGAAATATCGACGGCAATTCCGCTGATAGCCTCCTTGAACTTGACGATAGGCACCTTAGCGGACGCAATGACGGAAATTTCGACCGCAGACTGGGTTACCCGAAGGTGGTTCGAAAGTCGGTGAAGGTCCTCCTTGAAGAATGCCTTGTCCCGAATCACTACAACGTCCAGATCACTATAAAGCACAAAAAGTAGACGGGTCCTGATTGAACCACTCTGTAACCAGTCTCAGTTCAATGCAAGAATGAATATCAAAGAGGTCTTACCTCGTAGGCAGGTAGAGCCTTGTATCAAAGCTTCCAAAAACCATCACATCGGCGTCGCTCCAGAGTTCTTGAATGATATCCCGGATTCTGCGCAGGACATATTTCCGGATCTGGTGCTCCTCTCTCGTCGGACTGATAAATTCGACAAAATCCTTCAGTTCCTGGGTCAGCATCCTGGGGACAGACGCCATTGCTGCGTAATTGCGGTGACCCATCCACGGACAGCCAGGGGGCGGGCCAGTTATGGGAGCTAGCTCGGGATCTGTCTCCTCGTCATCCTGCGAGCGCTTACGCTTTGTGCCATGCGTGTTTAATTGGGTATCTGCTGTACCCTCGTTTGTTGCAGATGATGATTTTTGGCCGACGTTGCCATTATCCAAATTGCCATCCTCTCCATCGCTATCCTCAAAGCCGATAAAATCCACGCCAAGCTGCATATCGTCACCCTTGGGCTGATCCTTGATCGCGGCGATGATGCTGGTGTTGGGGGTGGTGGTGGACCCTGGATTGCCTTCTTCTCCGCTTGAGATCGCCATGTCGGAGTCGCTTCCATCGTTATTCGACTTTCTCCTAGACGCCATAGTGGAATCCGGTGAAGTGAGAGAGGATGGATCTCTGTTGCCCAAGGTTTGCATTGCGTTTTGGTGTGTTGCATCGAAAATGCGGTCACTTTGCACTGCGCCCTAGATCTCAACAATTGGGCACCTGGCATGTTGCACAAACAACAACGAAGGATGTGGGGCGCCAAATACATGGGTCAAAGGTCGCATGGACAACAAACACCATAAACGCCTTCAGTTTAAGCAAGAAGTCTGTGCCATACACGGCACTACCATGGGTTCCGACTACACTGTCAGAAGGTCGTCATTGATATTGCACCATGGCACGGGTTTTCAGGCGGCCTGTGAACTCAAAGAGATTCCCTAATAGAGCTTTCCTCTGATCGTACTCGCAGCAAGTTGAAGTCGATGGCGACAAACTACGTCAATTGCGCTGTTAGGCGGAATTGGATGGCACCTCCTGTTGACTGGTAATTCACTCTGAGAATGCGTGCTTGGCGCACTTGGCCCTGCAACAGTAAATTGCGTGAAAATACTACGATGAAAGTACCAGGCTGTGTAGGTCCCTTGATGATGAAATCGTGAATCGTTTGCTAGCACCGTTAAGTAGGACCCTCTCCTTTTCCTTCTTTCATTCCTCATTCCCTCATTCCCTCATTCCTTTCACACTTCATTCCTTCAACCATTTTTCAAAGGAGCATTCATAACGCCTCATTCTTTTCTTCATTCAACAACCCAATTTCATTTAACTAAAGTAGGACCCATGGAACCTCAAGGCAAAAAGTATGCGATCGAGTACGACGAGGTCGACCATATCTATCGCAACGTCAATGCGACGGAGGGTCTCCTGGACAAGCCTAAAGCCCCACACTATGAAAATCTGAAGGGTCACACCATGGCCCATCTCTTTGAGTACATGGCCAACGAATACGAGGACAAGGATTTTATGGGCTGGAGAGATATCATCAAGGTAACGCAGCCTTTTATCTTGCATCTACACAGGTCAATTTCAGTGTCTATTTCTTGTTCTCTCCAGGGCTTCGTCATCTTAATATGTCACCGTCATTACAATCATTAATAGACGCACAGGGTCGAAAAGCAATCGTCCAACCCCGAGGAGAAACCAAAGAGTTGGACGACCTATGAACTCTCGGACTACCAGTGGATGTCGTACCGAAAGGCCAAGACGGATGCCGATCGCGTTGGTATGGGACTCAAACGTCTCGGCATTGGGAAGGATGACTTTGTCCTCATCTTTGCTAGTACATGGTACGTGGTTCTATGCATGTTAGCCATCTTTGCAGTGGGCATAGTGCCGCCTGGTTTTAATCTAGTATGGAGTTCTAAACAGAATGTTTTATTCCATCCTCTTTATTGTAGCCCAGAATGGTTCTTGATTTCACATGGTAAGTAGCCGTTTGCAGCCATGCGATGGTTGCAGTCAGTGAAGACAAGGCAGTATGGCAACATTTGCCAGGCTTACTAAGATAGAGTCTACTGCTTCACGATTTACGTCTTTTTGTTCATGTCATATTACGGGAGGTCTCCATTTTAACTGACGACATCTTGACACTTACAACGTCCTCTATGTAGGTTGCTTTACACAGTCGGCTACGATCGTGACAGCATACGACTCTATGGATGAAAAGGCGATCCGTTATATTATTAACCAGTCTAAGCCCAAGGCCATTTTTGCCGATGCAAACACACTGCCCGTCGTGTCCAAGTTATTGCAGCATGACAGCAACGGTGTCAAGGCTGTGATCTACACTGGCCCTGACTGGGAGGTGTCAGGACACATCCGCAAATTGGACGGTATTGCAAACAAGTCCTTCGAGGTTGTTCATATTAGAGAGCTCAAGAAGACTGGCGATGATCAAGCAGAGATCGAGACTGTTTATCCTCAGGCTGATGACCTCGCCTGCATAATGTACACGTCTGGATCAACTGGTGATCCTAAGGGTGCACAGCTGACACATGGGAACTTGATGGCGGCCATTGGAAGTGCTGGCGCCATGGTCGGCGCTCTGCTGGACAAGGATGAGGACATTGTGATCTCGTACCTTCCTCTAGCACACGTCCTTGAATTCGTTATCTCGCACTTTGTGGGGTCGATGGTAAGCGAAGTGCTTTTTGAAGGCCATCCTCGACTCTACATACGTTTTTGACAATTGTACTTTCTTCATGGAATAGGGCTGTCGCCTTGGTTTCGCTCGCGCGAGGACATTGATGGATGACGCAGTCGCACCAACAGCAGGCAGTGGAAAATCCAAGGGCGTTGGTGATCTTAAAGCCCTGAGGCCGACTCTAATGGGTAAGTAGGCAAAGTTTATGATGCGATGATGCCTCTTTTCAAATGACGTTTGCATTTTCATTTTTCTTTGGCCTATAAACCTTATTCGCGTCTTCTAAACCTTATATCTATATTGGATAGCTGGCGTGCCCACGATCTGGGAACGCATCCGCAAGGGAATCTTAGCCGAGGTCAACAAGCAGTCATTCCCAATCCGCACATTGTTCTTTGCTGCACTTAACACTAAGTGGGCTATTGTCCAGGCCACCGGCTCAGAGAACATTGCCACGCAATTGATCGACAAGGCCGTCTTTGCCAAGGCCAAGGAGTTGGTTGGCGGTCGTCTACGTCTTGCCCTGACAGGAGGCGCCGGCATCAGTGACGAGACGCACCGCTTCTTGAGTATGGTACTGTGCTATGTTATCTCGGGATATGGCCTGACCGAAGTCGGCGGTATCGCTGCCGTAACCTTCCCAGGCCTGGGACACCGTCTCCGCACAGTTGGACCACCTGTAAGTCGCATTTGATCAAGAACAGACTATTATTTTTATTTCTTTGATAAGACGCTAACGATTAGCTTAATTTTTCCAGGCACCAAGTCTCGAATTGAAACTAGTGAATGTGCCAGACACAGAGTATACAGGCGACAATGGAACAGGCGAGATCTGGTTCCGTGGCCCTGCTGTTATGAAGGGCTACTTCCAGATGGAAGAAGAGACCAAGAAGGTCATGACCGATGATGGATGGTTCAAGACCGGTGACATTGGTACGATGAATCCCGACGGCACGTTGTCGATCAAGGACAGGGTCAAGAATCTTGTCAAGCTGTCGCATGGAGAATATGTTGCCCTTGAGAAGTGTGAGGCCATCTATCGCGACTCAAAGGACATCAAGAACATTTGCATTATTGCAGACAACGGAGCGCCTGTGCTACTGGCAGTCGTTGAGCCGTCGCACCATGGGGTAAAGTCTTTTGTTGCACAGCTATCATAATGCTCGTAGACAGTTATGCGTGGGCAGTGCAATTAACCAAAGGATTTCTTCGTTTTATTTAGGCTTCGGATAAGGAGATCCTGGAGGTACTCAAAAGCCAGGCAAAGTCTTCGGGCCTGTCTAAGGCGGAGACGGTGCAGGGAGTGATCGTCGACGACGCAGACTGGGCGACGAACGGTTTCATGACATCGAGCAGCAAGGTCAAGAGACGCGATATCAAGAAGGCCCACGGAAAGGAGATCGATGAGATGCTCAAGAAGTTCTAAGTAAACCATACCTCCGCATGCCTACCATTCACGTATGAAATAAAATAACGTAGACGTACAAACCATACTTTCCGCCCAAGGTACCTTCACCAAAAGTGTGAAAAAAAGAGTGCCATCATCCTCAACCATCATCTTTGCCATCGTTTTCATCTTCCGCACTTTGGTTCTTACCCTCCTCCTCCTCCCCCTCTCGTCAGGCTTCTTCTTGCCGTCTTCATCCATTCTTCATCCTCAATCTCTGAGCGTCCATTCACACCCGTGTACATTCCTCGCATTCTTTGTTACACCGATAACGTCAGGCCTTCGACTCACTTCCTCTCCAACTCCTGTCATCAACTCGACCATGAATGCTGTCGGCCTCAACATGGCCCCACAAGGGACCATCCTCCCAGGGACGACTATCCAATTGGGCAGATACACCGTCGTTATCGACCGATACATCGCCGAGGGCGGGTTTGCGCACGTCTACCTTGCCACTCTTGCCAACGGAAGCGGCTTCCCTGTCGTTGTCAAACGCATTGCCGTTGCAGATAAAGAAAGGCTAGCCATTGTTAACAAGGAGATCGAGACCATGGTATGCACTTTGCGAGAGCAATTGATCCTTTATTGAGGCAACCTATTGCGCTTCTCAAGAGCAGTTGATCAGAGGATTTACTCTATCGCCAACGCTCTTCACGCCACACTCTCGCCCCGCAACATCGACTAATGTCATGTCCTTGGGAATATGTCGAACGTAGAAACGACTCGGGAAACACAAGAACATTGTAGAGTACATGGATTCTTGCATGGGAAAGCTCGAGGGCGGCGGATACGAGGTCCTCATTCTCATGGAGTACTGTGGAGGTAGGGTCAACAGAGCGACCTCTTTCTCTGAGTAGATCAGGGCCACAGAACCATATCTTGCACTGATAGCGGACTGCAGACTAACGTGCACCTCCCGCTTCATTCAATTCTAAAGGCGGTCCAGTGATCGATCTGATGAACAGGAGGCTACAACATCGCTTGACCGAGCCCGAGATTCTCAAAATCTTTTCCAATGTTTGCGAAGTAAGCACAACGTTTGTCCGGTTTTATGGTTTTTTCCTAAGGCATGAAATGCAAAATGCAGGGGTATCGACCGCGTGTCTGACTAGGTCGTTCTTTTCTTTTCGTTGCTGTGGTAGGCTGTGGCGTACCTACACTATTCTGATCCGCCGATTCTTCATCGTGACATCAAAGTCGAAAATATTTTGCTCTCCAACAACGACTACAAGCTGTGTGATTTTGGATCGGCCACGACCAACATCCTCAGAGGTGACAACATACCCAGGAATGTCAAGGATATCCAGTTGCTTGAGGAAGAGATCAACAACCATACCACGCTGCAGTACCGTGCACCAGAAATGCTGGATCTGTACATGCGAAAAGGCATTGACGAAAAGATCGGTAAGGTTGGATTTTTTGCTCAGGCATCGGTGACGTTTCATGCACCTTTTGCCCATTCGTTGTCTGGTAAATTAATCAGAAGAAATTGAATTAAAGGCTCACTCCTTCAGAACTGACCTTAAATAGATATATGGGCATTGGGAGTGCTCTTGTACAAGCTATGCTACTACACCACACCCTTCGAGGAACAAGGACAGCTGGCAATTCTGAATGTGCGGTACACCATTCCTGAGCACCCGATGTTTTCTCCCGGTCTTATCAGCCTCTTTCGTAAGTGAATAGACCGGATCAAGGAACTACTTCAGCTAAAGATACAGGTAAATCCGACGGTTGCTAACAAAAAAACCCTTTCGCTTGCATAGAGTCGATGCTGAAGGAAGACCCCAAACAGCGACCAAATATCTATCAGGTTATGAAGGTTACCTCGGCTCTGCGTGGACTATCTTGCCCCATCCAGAATGTAAGGCTGGATGATAGTAATTAATGAGCAAGTGCTGGACGAATGTGGCCGCATGTCATTGACTCGACTATTCTTACTATTTACACTACCAATCTCTAGATATATCCCGATATCTCATTAACGCCCACAGCACCCGAGTCGCAACCTTCGGCAACAGCCAACATTCTCAGCAACTCAACAGTCTCGCGGCCCATGGACATTCTTCCCTCAATTGAGCCCATGCGCAGAGGACGCCCAACACGTCAGCAGCCTGCCGCTGCAGTATCTATGCAAAACAACGATGTCCAGAGCGCGTTCCCTGCAACATCAAATGGCGATTTCAACTCTGGATTTGACGATTCTTTTGGACAGTTTGCGGACACTACAGATCCAGTATCAAAGTTCTCAAAGATTCCTCCGATGGGCGATCCGTTCGATTTCTCGGGCACTACCTCCTTTGATAACCCCAAGAAGAACGAGGCGAAGCGATTCACGCTCGATCTCCTGGCTGGAAAGGATGAGTTTGGGTTTGATTTTGCAAGTTCTGGATCCAACAATCGCACTCCTGCCTCTTCTAGCTCTGCGTCTGCCCCGGCACCGGCACCCGCCCTGGCACCTCGGCCCCGACCTCCATCTATCTCTCCTGATCTCCTTCGATATGATGTTCCTACCGCCAACACACCTGTTCATTCGAAGAGTAGCATGCCTAGTCAGCTCTCAGGGACGAATCAAGGATTTGCTGCAAAGGCCAAGCTGGCCGCTGACGATCTCTTCTTTGGGTCTTCAACAGGCATCAAAATCGACGCAAGCGGTATGGGCTCTCGGTCTGGCACACCCTCGTCCTTTGGCAGCCTGCAACAGGCACCTATTGGATTATCCTCACCATCCTCGAACATCGGCTCACAGTCCTCGGGTGTGTCGAAGCCGTTACTTCCAACTCGACAGACCTCTCTCCAGTCAGGACAGCCCTCACCATCCTCTGCTAAGTCCATCGTTGGATATTCAGCTTATTCCGGAGCAAATAGTTTGACGAACAAAAACGTCCACGACGACGGCACAGGAAATTCACGATCTGGACTGCCAGCTGCTGCATCCCCTAGCTCATCATCTTCCAGCAGACAGCGACCGATCAGCTCTCAGGACCCACTCCCAGCACCGATAGACAGCCTTAAACTCTTGCAGCGACAGCAGATGGAGCAGCTCGGCAAGTTCAGCTTTGATATCAATTCTTCACTCGTACCTCAGAATACACAGGGAAAGGCCAGAGTTCTTGACACGAGCCGAACCTTGGAAGGTATGAGATCTGTGGGAGCTACATCAGTAGGATCAGCATCTAACCCATCAACGCTTGCCTCACGTCCTCAAGCGTACTCGTCGACTGGTACCCCATCAGTGCTCCCTATTAAGATCTCTGATTTGACATTTCTGGACAAAAAGGAGCTCTCGCGAAGGGACATGGAAGCCGAACTCAAATTGATAGAGCTGCAACAAAAGGAGTTTGAGCGGCAACAGCAGGGATTGCTGGAAACGCAGAGGCGACAGCTTGAGGAGCAGCAGCATCAACATCGACTTCAGCAGGAGCAGTTGCAGAAGCAGCAGCAACAACAGATTCAGCAGCAGCATGAAAAGTGGCAGGAGCGCAAGCGCATGCTTAAGGAGCAGGAGCAGCTGACACAGAGGCAGGTCATGCAGCAGAGGGATCTCCAGAAGCAACACGAGTGGCAACAGCAGCAGAACCAGCAACAACAGCAGGAACCACAGCAGCAGTCGAGAGATATGTACATGAAGTCGATTCCTGGCACGGGTCCTATCCAACACTCTGCTGTGCTCTACTCTGGAGGATCATTAACGAATGGTCGAGCGAGTATGGATGAACAGGAGCGACTCAAATCCGGCGGTACCTCAGCTCAATCGTCCTTCATGTCCTCACCGGCTACTACTTCTCCTTATCTAAACTCAGATTCTTCTACGATGACCACTCCAGTTGTGCCTGTCAAATCTACTCGCCGGATTGGCATGACCGGGAGTGGTACTTCAAGCACATCGACGGCATCGGCATCCTCTTCTACTACGCCTGCAGCAGCATCAGGTAGCAAAGCCCGTCGCACTTCGGTGAACTGCCTCCCACCCGGTCAGAAGCCTGAGCTGCTTCCAAAGCCAACCCGATTCAGGATGAGGGACGATACAGGAACACTGGTTGCGGGTGAAGAAGAGGCGTTTAAGAAAAAGTTCCCGAGTGCGGATCTGGACGATGATTTGATTCAGTTCCAGACATCGCCGTCATCAGCGACAAGAAATAGAGATATCGGGTCGAATTATGACAGCCCGGTACAAGGGTCTGCGGCTCTCAATGGCCACTTGCATGGTAACACGCAGTACCTATCGCCTTCACAAAGGGCCCGGGAGTTGAGATTGATCAGTAGTAGCAGCGCACGGACAGAGGCAGAGGAGGAGGAGGAGGAAGAGGAGACGTTGGTGAGGTCAAGGCATCATCAAGTCAAGTCCCCAGCACCTGTGTCATCTGCATCACCTTCGGCTTCGCCGTCGTCGTCCTCGAATGGTCGGGCTCATGCGGCGGTGCAGGATAGCGCGGAGGAATCGATGACGCCTATTGAATCTGTGCGGGAGCGCGTCCAGCGGATGAACCGCGTCGGACGCATTGCATGATAGAGCTGTCCGAAAGTGTGTGAAACTGATTCTGATAATAAAAGGGCGAACGGATATAGACCAGCACGCATAGAAATGGAGCTTATAATTTTTGTTATTGTCGTTGTTGCTACTTCGATTGTTCGATTGTTAAGCGAGCTGCCATTAATGGAGATCTTCGAAAAATAGAGATTTTTCAACCCACTGGATTTGATAATCCACTGTTCACCAAACGCGAGTATGTACGCCAGAGATCGCAGCATTTTGCTGCTTAGGTAATACGCGCCTCGGAACAGGTGACCTCCTGCATGGGCGGGGATGCTCTGGGAGGAGCTGCCCGAAGCCAAAGATGAAGATTGTTGACGCTGTCTGTTGGGATAAAGATGGGCAACTGACCTTGGCTGGGTACACAAAGTTTTCCTGCTTCTCTCCCCCTTGGGTTCAATACGCGTTATGCCGCCGGAGGAAACAAAGAAAGAAAAGGCGGCACTCAGATATGCTCCCCTCGCTACTTTCCCGCGACTCCTTCCTGGGTGGGAATAAAAAAAAACAAAGAAGAAAGAGCGGGCCATCGATCGTCAATCATCCCCTCCAACCAGCACCTGGCTCGCCACATCATGCTGTAGGGCGACATCCCCATCCGCCGCAGATAAACAAACAGACAGTGGTGGCAGGCTGACCAGAGCTATTTCAACTTCCCTTCTCCCCGCCCTTGTCGCTTCTTCTTCCTCTTCTTTCTTCTTTTTCTTCGCGACTCCAACTCCTTTCATCCGCATCGACTGAATCAAGTCCTCGCTCGCACTCAACCCCAACATAGCACCCACAACCGCCGTTGCAGTAACCCATATCTCACCAATGCCAGGAATCCGCGAGCGCGTCAAGGAGTCGAGTGTGTGGAAGGACTTCAAGGAGTTCATTCAGCGCGGCAACATTATCGATCTCGGTGTGGTATGTTCACATTCATTCATTCATTCATTCATTCATTCATTCATTCATTCATTCATTCATTCATTCATTCTGTTTTGCAATGTTGTTTGCAACTTGATCTCTTTTTCTGGTTTAGTAGCCGCGCATTTCTATCAAACACTGACTCTCATCCCTTCTGGCCCTGTGTACCACTCGAATCAATTATAGGGTCTCGTTATTGGAGGTGCATTCTCGAAAGTCCTTAGCAGCTTTGTCGACGACATCTTAACCCCTCCTCTGGGTCTTGTTATTTCGGGTACGCATTTCTTTCAGGAACAACCATCAGCCATTAATTCACCTATCTAACAGTTTCTCCTCCTATCGTGCTAATTGAACAAAAACAGGCTCCAACTTGGAGAACTGGTTCATTATCCTCAGACATGGTAAGACCCCGGGCAAGCGATACGAGACAATTGATCAGGCTCAAGAGGACGGAGCCGTCACCGAGAATGTTGGTCGTTTCCTGCAGGTCAGCCTCAACTTCATCCTGGTGGCCTTGACGTTGTTCATCATCATCTTCACGGCTACAAAGTTCAGAAACTGGCGTCAGGCTCGCCGCGAGAAGCACCACGGCAATGGCGACGCGGACACGACCAAGCCCGAGCCCGCCCCTGCCTCCGGCGCGACCCAGACGTGCTCTTGGTGCGGGGCCAATGTTCCCATCAAGGCTGTCAAGTGCATGTACTGTACTAGCTTCTTGCACGAGAAGGTTCCTCTTGAAATGTTGAGCAAGCAGCCGCAGGCAGCCCTGATTGAGCTCGACGGATAAAAAGTAGAATAAATCCCACAAGTGTAGTGTACATACGGCAGACGACAATAAATTATTATTTTTTTGCTCCTTTTGACTATGTCGCTCAGCTCTCTTTCGCCATGGAGTTCCCAAAGATTAACGTCTCTTCGAAGGAAGACATTCAGTACATCAGTCAGATCTGGCGTAAGACGCTCTACGGTAGACTGGCCGAGGAACACATCCGTAATGGCGATTCAGAACTCATAGACCAAGTGCAGCAGCTCCTGGATCAGGTACAACCGACAACCACGCATTCAGGCATCAAGGACCCGGTCGTCAGCGGTGAAAGGAATGACAAGAGGCTATGATAACCTTGCAGCGACTGATCCAGACTGGAATGCTTTTCATTGGAACCATGCATCTGTTTAGTGGATTGAAGACATCATGAAGATGGCAAGCTCGAATATTGATATTAATGGAATTCCATACGAACAAGCAATTGCAGACGAAGGTACCTTGGGGGCCGTGCCATTGCTCACGATGGACTTTTGTCTGGATATACTTACATCAATTCACTGCTCCATGCTAATGGTGCGACTCTTTGACTCTGTACAGAATTTGAACCTTTGGACGAGGCACTGGCACGAAAGGTGCAAGCCCAGCAACTGCAGGTGGAAGAACTGACCCTCAAGGTTGCGGAGCGAAGAAAGCGCGTACCAGAGCAGGTCAAGATGTTACTAGACGATGCTATCAAACGACAATCCGCCCTAGCAGACAGGGTTGAATTCGAATCGCAATCTGAGAACAATGCAGAGGCGGAAATTGAGGATGGTAAGGCATTGCAGTCGTTTCTGGAAGTTTGTTTTGTCTGTGAGTTAAGGAGCGAATGGTCAGACTGACCGATATGTGTTTCCTCGTCTGAATAGTTTCCCTTGAACGATCGGATCTTATTGCTCAGGAATATGCCTCGAGCATAGCATTGCTGAGCGACCTTAGAAAGGTCAGTACATGATGCAACTCGCGCTGTTGAAGGATTCAGCTGTAGTCAACCAAAATCCTAATGCTTTCTGCCTGTTGTACATTGTCTTTCGGTAGAATGTCTCCTCCAACATCACTCGACTGGAAAACGCTCAGGCGATCGTGGATGATATCCTGCCTTGAGTCCAGTTATTACCCTGCTATCCCGCCCCTGCTTGTAAAACACCACATTTGCAACACTGTACCATATTCTCTTGTCTCAGTAAAAAAACATGTCTTCTAGTTCTTCATGTTGGTTTTATTTTGCATGGCTATAGTACATGGAGCTACCAGGCTGTGGATAATGGTCCTTCGCTTTGCTGAAGAGATAGATGCAAGCGGCGATCATGCTTCCTGAATGAATGGCTGGTCTTCCTGGGATCCCCCTTTCTTTAGTCCTAGAGTCTCCGTTATTCCTTGAACTGTGTGGACAACTATGTTGTTCTCTTTAAATCCTCTAGTCGTCGTCAGAGATTCCATAGCGACTAGAAAAAGCAAGCGAGCGATAAAAATGTTAGATCCTTACGGGCTTATCTTCCAACCTCACATCAAAACGAAAAAGCGAACAGCATCTGTCAACGTACGCCTTCAGTTCCTTAAGTTCTTCCTCCTTCTTGGCCAGATTCATCTTCTTAGTGACCTTGTTCGGCTGATAGTATAGCACGATGAGGTACCGCCCCATGATGTTGAATCCTTGCAAGTGCTCGTATGCCGTCTTCGCGTCGAAAATGTCTTCATACACCACGAATGCTGTTCCTTTCGTGTCGTTCGCATTCCCTACGCGAATTTGCCGGATTGCTCCATATTTTCCAAAGATGTCGTACATTTCCTCGGGCGTGATCTTGAAGGGGAGATTGCTACGATATCATAGTCAGAGAGAAGCCGATTAAATACCAGCCATCGGCGCTTATATATTGTTGAATTCTGCTATCCGTATTGTCGATCTGTCTTACCGAACAAATAAGGCCCTGTTGACCTCTGGGGGCAAGCGAACCTATTCAGACATGGATAAAGCGTGCATTAGCACCTTTTTAGAACTTCGTTGAAGATGCCGTGGTCTCAAACGCGCTCAATCCGGCGATGTCTCTTACGTTCGTTCGGTTATTCATGTCTCGTTATTTTGCCTGTGCTGCTATGCCGTTTTAGATACTAGAGTCCAGTGGAGGGTCAACAAAGGTAGGAAGGGTGCTTGTGAATGATGGAGTTTGAGTAAACGCAATACAATGATTTTACCAAAAAGGCAGTATAAACAAGTCCTCAGCCACTTCCGCCTTTTACTTTCCTTTCCCCTCGGGTCCAACGCTTGGTCCCACTTTCCTATCACCCCGCTCCATAATCCTATCTGGCAAGAATGCCTGTCGCCAGAGGTTTCTCGCCGGTGCTTGCCAGGATAACATATTCCCAACACCAGTCCCAGCACCACCACAACGTGCGTCCAGGACTTGTACTTGTGCAGCAGTGGAGCCACTTGACATTTGCTCCTAATTCGTCTTCTTCAAGGGCAGTGGCCACGTCTAGGAGGAACCTGACTTCAAGTCTCCGACGTGCAACCCCGACAACACCTATAGGATGTCCTTTTCAACAGCAGCAGAGGCGTGAATTGAGTTTTCTGGGCACCCTGAAGGCTGTTTTCCAACAGTACGTCCTTCCTTTTCAATTTGATGGATCAGACCGAAGCGGAAAAACGCTAATTCTTGGTATTGACCATTGGTGTGGTTGATTGACGCTTCGGAAAACAAAATAGGCCTACTCCGCCTAACCCTCCAAAGAAGATACCCAAGGAGACCAGGGTCCTGGGACGAGTTCGTGTGGATGAATATGACTGGATGACCAACAAAAACGATCCTGTAAGGCAGTACAAGGAAAGAGGATGAATTAGGATGCTTGCCAGGAATAGGACAGACACCTAACTGTCCTTGAATGCCATCAACTATTGATAGGATCTTAGGGATTACATTCAAGCTGAAAACACGTAAGTCGGTCCTCAGCTTGCTACGGAGGACGCAAGGAGGATCACCATGGATCGCGTACTCATTTTCTAAAACGCTATACCCAACACTTAGGTATGCGAAGGAGTACTTTGCCTCGGAAGCTGCCGCTATCCATCTTTTGAACAGGGTATGTGGGACTATTAGTTGCTACAGTAATACACATGGCTACGAGAGCGAAGCACAAGGAATTGAAGCCAAACTAATATCGATAACACCATTGATCATATGTTCCGGTTGACAGGAGATGAAGCAGGTTTTGCGGACGAAAAAGATCTCGGCGCCGTTGACAACCCTTGTACATGGGTATGAATACTACACCAAAACAAGTCGACATGGCATGGTCTACTGCAGGAGAAGGAAATCGCCCATTGCTAAAGAGGTATATCTCCTCTGCTTGATGCTTATTCTTTTGTCCCAATGTATCGGGGTTGCAAAGTTGAATGACGGATCAGTAGGCAAGGCTCTATTATCAACTAATGTTGCCCTACGATCGAACTTTCCATCTGCTAGGAAATCTTGCTGGACTCGGCATATCTACCAGAAAATTGTCACGTGAAGAAAGTACTTCTGTCAACTGGACACCACATCTTTTCGTTCCTAACATTGGAAGAGGGCGAAGAACTCGGATCACTACATTTCCGGGACTTGAACCGTGAGGAACCCTTTGAGGTATGGAGCTATGAGCACAAAATATCGACGCGAAACTACATGATATTGGCATATCAAGCATGGGCTGACACTGTCTTGTGTATATTTGATTACAGGAGGTCCTAGAAGATGTGTTTAACTTTGTGTGGGGCAATGATAACAAGACTATATATTATACCAAATCGACGGATGTGCTTAGACCGTACCAGATCTGGGCTCACCAGGTCGGCACGCCACAGGAGTCCGACGTGCTGATTTTTCAGGAGGATGACGACAGCATCTTTGTTGATGTTGGATCGACCAAGGACCACCGATTCGTCACTATCAACGGCAACTCGCTCTCATCTTCAGAAGTCAGAGTCTTTGATGCTGGACACGATATCTCAACTGGAAAACTGCCTGAGCTGAAGGTCGTGACTTCAAGAGTGGAGGGTGCTGAGTACTATGTGGACCACCATGATGTAAGTTATATGAGAGAAATGGCTGCGTATAAAATGCTACAGTATGCTCATGACCGATCAACTCACCCAGAAGATCTCTCTTGGGGATTACTCTGGTTTTAGGATCAGTTCTATATTTTGACCAACGATAATCCAAAAAAGACGTTCAGAGTCATGCGTGCTCATCGTAGCAACCCTGGTCGCGAATCCTGGGTAGAGCTCATGGGAGCCAGGGATAATGAGAAAATCGAAGACGTGGATATTTTCAAGGTAATTTATACAATTTATACAATGTCTCTCTCGATCGTTTAAGGCACTAATAGAGTCGACATTTGCTCACTCCTTTTGCTGCACTCGTAGAACTTCATGGTCATTTATGCCAAGCGCGATGCTCTACCTGTGATTTCGTGCTACCATTTTGAGACGGGCGCTGTGCACGAAGTCCCATTGCCAGAGCAATTCTGTACAATTGGCGCAGGAGTGAATCTAGTAAGTAATTGTTTCCTTTGATCATTTTGATTACAGTCAGATATATGTTACTGGCAACTAAATCTCTTCATTCGCTCTTTGGTAGGAATACGAGACGGACTCTTTCCAGTTCACACTCAACTCTCCCTATGCACATGAGGCGACTTATGAGTACGATATGGCATCGAGAGTCATGACAGCCCTACGAGTTCATCCCATCCATCGTACGTTGTTAATCCATAACATCGACTATCGACTATCAAAGTGCATTCGGCTGTCCGGCCCCATTTATATCGTGAGACTAATGTTTGCTGTTTGGCGTTTAATGTTTATTAGGCCTTGATCGCTCAAAGTACATGTGTACACGAATCAATGTCGATGCCGAAGACGGGCATACAAAGATCCCTGTAACACTTTTGCACCGGAAGAATATGCAGCTCAATGGCCGGAACCCTACTTTGATGCGTGCCTATGGCGCCTACGGTGTCCCCACTGATATTGATTTTAGAATGGAACACTTTCCTCTGCTGGAGCGTGGCTGGATCATCGCCCTGGCACATGTCCGAGGAGGCTCTGAATTAGGGTCAATGTGGTACCAACAAGGAAAGCTCTGGAATAAGCGCAACACGTTCACGGACTTTATTAATGTTGCGGAGCATTTAGTGGAAGCCGGTTATACCAACCCGAGGAGGTTGACTGCCAGTGGCGTCAGCGCCGGAGGGCTTTTGATGGGTAGGGAAAGAAAACCTGGCGCCTTGTCGAGTCTGCTAATGCAGGAGTTCGTTCTCTCATGCTTTGTCTCCTTGTCTGTTTATTTGTTCGAACATTAGGTGCTGTGTGCAACATGCGTCCAGATCTTTTTAGGGCGATGATTTTGAACGTCCCGTTTCTGGATCCAATGACGACGATGCTTGATCCAGAGATACCGCTGACCAAGGTCGAATACCTAGAATGGGGTAATCCTGCAGAATCCACCGAAATGTATGACTACATGGCGAGCTATGCACCCTACGATACCATCCCGAATTACGATAGCCAGCAGGAGAGCATGAGACGCCAACGAGTAACGAAGCAACAGCAACAGCGCATGGAGCGTGAGCCCTTTACTGCTGCAGAACCCACTGCAGAGCCCCCTACTTCTGCACCACCCACAGCGCAAGGTGCCTGTTCAGTCAATACAAGTAACCAGACAGTTGTGCCGGCGACCTACCCACCGCCACCGATCACCTCTCGCCGCCCAGCACTCATGATCTTGTGTGGCGAGCGTGACCAAAGAGTCGACTATACGCAGTCAACGAAGTATGTGGCCCGTCTGCGGTCAAGGCTCGCGCCGTGGTACGGCACAGAGGGCAAAGAGGCATGTCTCCTTATGATTGATGAGAATAGGGGACACTTTGGAAATGGTACACAGGACGATCGGGTTAAGAACTGGGCAAGGGAGGTTGTATTCCTGTTGGGCAGTGTTCAGTTGGAAGGAGGCGGGACGCCCATAACAATGGGAAACCATGTTGGTAACGGCTATGGGTCAAAACTATAGACCATAGATTGTAATAAATAAGGTATAGTGGAAAGAAATGGGGGTTGTCTTTTTTGAAAGCCCATATGCGCCAGTGTATAAACCCTATCTACACGTAGACAGCATTCACATGAGTAAAGTCTCTCTTTCTCCCTATATCGACTCTCTCCGGATACCGTCGTTTGCATCAAAGACACCGCAGGCAAATATCATCTGGTCCAAAATAACGGTATCTAGCATACTGGGACACTTTTGGCGATAAAGACAACCTCTTAATGTTCATGGATTAAGGTTAAGAAGAGTCAGGAAACCCTCTCTTTTCTTTGCACCGCCTTGTCGATCCTTACACGGCCATTCAGAATAGTAACCAATAAAACCGAGAAGAATCCTGGGCTATTAATTTTGTGGGCTCCTCCCACTGGTTTGGCAGGTCGAGAACCGGGGTTTTTTTTCTCATCTTCATTTAAGACGCGGACCAAATTTAGGAAACCTAGGCCCTCGACACGTCCTACGTTAGAAGGAAAACATGGACAGAACCTAAAAACAGACGGCAGAGGAGGTTAAATACAGCTGAGCTGACAAACAAGTATCTATCGTCCCCGAGGCCAATGAGGCAAGTGTATCCGCGGAGAAACATCAGCCATTCTTGTCATTAATAATATCCCACCCACACAGAAACCAGCTGGAGCGGACGATAGACAGGATGGTATAAATACCAGCTGCCATCCCCTGGAAACTAACTTCTTCTTTGGCCATCTTCGACCTCATCACCCTACATCGTACCATAGCCCTTTCCTTACCGCGCCGTCCTTCTGAACTCCTCCCTCTCCTCCCTTCTCCTCCCCTCCCCTCTCCCATCTTGCTAATTACCCCTCACAGTCTTCTACAGACACTGGTCCTTACCCCTCACTATGAAGATCACAATCATCCTCTCCGTCCTTGCTGCGGCCACCCTCGTCTCGGCTGGCAAGTTCCACTCCCTCAAGCATGGCAAGTCCAACATCATCAACAACGGCTTCATTATCGAATACAACGATGGTGTCAAGCACTCGGATGCTCATGACGCCCTCAAGTCCCACAATGTCAACTACAAGGTCCGCAACGAGTACAACATCTTCAACGGAGCCGCCATCACTGTCGATTCCCAGCATGATGGCCGCGCTCTCTCCATGATCCCTGGAGTCAAGAATGTCTGGCACATCTCGCTCTACGACATGCCCAGTGTTGGGAACCCCAGCATGAACCCCGATGATACCTCGACCTCGAATCACCACATGACCGGTGTCGATGTCTTGCACAGCCAGTACAATTTGACAGGAAAGGGTGTCAAGATCGGTGTCATCGATACAGGTATCGACTACAAGCATCCTGCCTTCGCTGCTGCCGGTGCTGATGCTGGATGCTTCGGTCTTAATGACAAGAAATGCCGTGTCAAGTATGGTTGGGACTTTGTCGGTGATGACTACACTGGATCCAACACTCCCAACCCCGACGGTGATCCCATGGACTGCTTTGGACACGGTTCTCACGTCGCCGGCATCATTGGTGGAAATGCTCTGAACATCGCAGCCTCGCCTAAACCCCCACTGCCTTTTGTCGGTGTCGCCCCCGAGGTTACTCTCGGTGCCTACCGTATCTTTGGATGCGAGGGCCAAGCTGGTGATGATATTATTCTTGCCGCCATGGAGTTGGCCTTCAACGACGGCATGGATGTATGTGATCGAGCTATTGATTACAATCACACAGACATGTGGGATGAGGAAATGAAGAATGGCCACTCATCTACTTTGGTCAATACGGTATTCTTGAACATTTAGGTCATCAACATGTCTATCGCCGGCGGCTCCTCCTACAAGACCAACCCTATATCTGTACTTGCTGAGAAGTTTCTGATCCGTGGCAAAGCTTTGGTCGGCCCTGCTGGTAACGATGGTTATGATGGTGTCTGGATGGTTTCTGGCACTGGTCTTGGTGACCACGCTACCTCGGTCGGGTCGTTCGACAGTCAAGGAAACTGGTTCTACTACCTCACCTATGGCGGCAAGGACTTCCCCTACGACTCCTCTGATAGCTATATCAATCCCGCTAACCTTCCCGCCTCTGCCACCATCGTTCCCTTGCTCTCCAACGGTAAATTGAGCGATGGATGCGACAAGTCCCTCTACAAAGGTGTCGATGTCAGGGGCAAGACCGTCTTGGTTCTTAGCGATATCACCCGGTGCAAGCCTGATAAACGTGCTGCTCTAGCTGTTGCCAACGGTGCTGCTGGTATGATCATCCAGTCCAGCGGCGCTGGTCTCATCACAACGAGACATGTCCGCAGCCTGCCCATAGTGTCGATCGAGTTTGATGCTGGTGTCCAGATGCTCGCTACCTGGATGACCAACCCCGAATCCGTTGTGACCTGGCCCAATAACAAGCAACCCATCCCCATTGCCAACTGGGGATCACCCTCGGAATTCTCTTCCTTTGGATTGGATGGTGATCTCCGCTCCAAGCCCGATGTTGCTGCTCCTGGTGGCAACATCCTCTCGACCTACCTTCTTGCTCAGGGTGGTTATGCTGTTCTCTCTGGCACGTCCATGGCCTCATCCTACGTTGCTGGTGCTCATGCTTTGTACATGCAGGCTAGGAAGGTCAAGTCCCATGGTGATAGGATTCGCAAGGCCTTCAAGAACACAGCCACGATCTCCAATAACTACAAGTCCGAGACCTTTACCTCAGCTGCCAAGCAAGGTGCTGGTTTGATCAACGTTCTCAACGCTGTCCTGGCCTCGGCCGAGTTCTGTCCCGACCACATTGATCTCCTCGATACTGTCAACTTCCGGAGGCGGGCTAAGGTTCTGATCAAGAATACCGGCAAGAACGCTGAAACCTATACTCTCACGCACGTCCCCGCTGATGCCTTGAACTCGTACAACGTCGGCAACTCCTTCCCACTCGGTACCCCGATTATTGAGGACGACTATGCTAACGTCAAGTTCGACCCAAGCACCATTACGATCAACCCTGGCGAGACTGCCAAGATCACCTTGAAGTTCACCGAGCCCAAGAACGGTAATGCTGCTGAATGGCCCTTGTACTCTGGTTTCGTCGTTGCTACTCCTCACTCCGAGGGTGGTGTTGCTGTTCATATTCCCTATACTGGTATCAAAGGCGATATCCGCGACGTGCCAATGCAGGATACCAGTCTCGGCTTCCCTATGTTGAAGATGATCGACCAGAGCGGCGAGTTGGTCGATGCCAATAGGGACTACACCTTCAACTTAAAGAACGACAAGCTCGTTGTATTGACCCGCTTTGGTTCGCACTCTCCCGATGCCACCATTCGCATCTATGATGGGGACAATTTTGTCGGATTTTTGACCTCCAATGATGGCGGCGCTGCCTTTGGCGCCACCGGCAGAATGAAGAACGTCGATAGTACCACCGGACAGTTGATCTACACCCGGTACACTTGGGACGGACTGGTCCTCCCTGCCGAGAACGCGACCTTGGCCCCTATCCAACTTCCTACTATTCCCGATGAGATCCGCCCCTACCGTATCATCGTTGCCTCTCAGAAGAAGCTCACTAAGGGCAACTACCCCGAGGAATTTGAGATCTTTGACCTTGGCGAGGTCAACCTCATTGCTGAAGGCACCTTCCTTCCCGCTCCTTAAATGCAATTTATTTCTTCTTCCCTCACCCTCTTCTACCTTTCCCATCTTCATTGTCATTGTCACTATCATCTCACCCTCCGTAATTCATCTCTGATGACTCTCCCTTTCCCCGCTCGCGCTTACAAAAGTAACTGAACTCTTTATTTATCTAGGCCAGAAACTAGGATAACAGCAATGTATACAAGACCATAGAAGCATTGTTCAAGAGCTGCATATCTAATAACAGCTATCAACTCTTGTTCGCTGTGATATCTGATGAGCTTTATTCACCTTAGAAGAAACAAATGTACAGAGTAGAAAAAGACGAGTGCATCGGAAGAACGAGACGGAATGCAGGACAGATGCACTCAGATAGCGCTGCTGGAATCTATCCAGGACCGGCTGAACCTCGTTGCTCGATATCCTTGCTTTGCTCGATATCCTTGGCGAGATTCAGAATCACCCGTCCACTGATCATGGCCTCCTCGCAATTATCCTTGATCTCAACCATCGCTCAATATGGGGTTAAGAAATACCAATGAACAGCGCTCCTCTACACTTTAATCCTCACTCGATTCAAACTCAAGCACAGAAATCGCACGATATGTCTGCAGAAAACCGAATTTCTTAAACTATTAAAATTTTACCTTCTTACTGCGGGACCAAAGGAAGGGCCCAAAAAAAACAGGTTTGGCTCTGTCGCCGTACTCCCAATGTCCCTATGTCTCCCGGTGGTCTACGGGAAGCAACAAAGGGCTGCTTTCCATTTCGAGTGAAGTGAGGCATCTTTCCGTTCCAAGGACCTCGACTATAGCTTACAAATTGTTGCCTCGGGGGAGGGGGAGGGGGAGGGGGCAGAGGGGACACGACAAATAAGACCATGTCTTGTCCTGGTCCCTGTTTCCCTTGTGGGAATCAATGAACTTTCCCGCCCCGTCTGCCAAGGTCGCCTAGCGTTAAACAAAGACTGCCATAGGGAACAGGCCACACATGCCACCATAGTGCATTTCCTGAAATTACACGCTGTATTGGTGCACCCATGTGCATGGCGCAAGACAGAGGCTCCTCGTTTGTTGAACAAACAAGTTTGGCCTGCGTCACATCCTCGTGCTGTCAATTACCGGGTATCAAGAAAACCTCTAGGTTCCTGTCGCGACTAGCCTTGGCGAACGCTTTAGGCAGCAGGACCCCCATCCATCAAGTTTCTTGGTTCCTGACAAGTCTAGCGTTCATGAGAGAGAAAGCAAATAGGATGCATTATCGACCGCCTTATCAGATGCGTTTATCCAGATCACGTTAAAATTGGAAACGACACCTGGTCCATGTTCAATTTCATATCTCTCGTTCGCCACTGGCCTTGGAGTGCTGAGCAGATGATTCATCTCGGAAAACTTCTTTTCTGATTGACTGCCGGAAGTAATAAAACTTTGGCTGCACCCTTCCTCCGATCTGTACTCGTTCCGAAAGTAGAACTTCGCACAGCCAACTGTTCTGGAAATAAGCTTTGGTACATAGACGCGCGTTAAAGTTGAGCATGCGTGGATTCTTGTCCCACATGGTATTTTTCATGAGTGGCTCATTGGAGAACAAACACGTCATTTTAAAAGATGTATGTGCAGTAGACTGCATATATGTGTAGGGAGGGATGAGCTATAGCTGATCGTGCAGAAGGCGTACCGCAACGCCTGTGGTGCAAGGAAGTGAGTGCTTGGACCAAAAATCCGGTACTCAGTGCTGTACGCCTGCACATGTGCAAAACTGTTTGAGTCCACTGCAAAAAAGGTCGGCTCTAAGCAAAAATCTATAGCATCTTGAGCCAGAATGAATTGAACGAACCTATTCCAAGTTAGCTCGAGGCCGACCTTTTTTGTAGCCCGCTTTATCCCTTTGACATCAACCTAAGCTTTGCCAGCTCTAATGCTGTTATCTCGTCTCCATTTTAGTCGACATCGTAAGAGAAAGAGAAAGATAGAGACGATTCAAGAAGCTGAACATAGGATATCGATGTCTTTTGCTGAATATCCATGTCCATGTTACACATGTGCCTTGCGATCCTTCCAGCAGTATCCGCCCTTTGAAATATATTACTCTCTTGAGAAAGAAATCATCGTAATCGATACCATCGGACAATTGCGTTGGAGTTAGGCTGTGTGGGCCGGGATAAATATCTATGGACCCCAATAAAGAAACTAAATGAGGCATCGATGTCGTCCAGTGTGTGCCACTGTTTGTGTAATCACGCTCTTCCTCCCGCAGCTACACATGGCAATGATAAGCTTGACTCGTAAGCATGAACGAGCTCCGATATCGATAACACCATCGATCCACTGCATTAGCCCTGCTCGCTCTCGCGTTCGGCAGCAAGAACGAGTTCCGAGGGTTACTGGCCGTGCATGGGATGAAGCTCAACTTTTCGATTCACAAATGCATTCAGGGCCATGGATTGTTTGGGCACGTCTCGTATGTGCATAAAAACGGGTGCAGAAATGGACGTCGCGATACAAACAGAGTGCGCGGCAATCGATTTGATGAGGATAAGTCTCTTGAATGGGCTGTATTCTTTCAAGGGGAGGCAAGCCGCCAAGCTCATTGGCCGAGCCCGCTGTTCTTCGAGTCGATGCCAGACTGCTTTTGATCGGCAGGTATTTTTTTTTCCTTGCTGTCGCGGACTACATGGGCAATGTTGCAGTGCGTGCGTCTCTGAAAAAAATTCAAGATCAGTCTTGTCGAAAGAATGGTCAAGTCCAGCTCAGACTAACACGCGTGTGCCATGCATGCGTGCTTTGTGTAACAGAGCGGCCAGGACAATGGAGATTCCACGCACGTTCCTCGAACAGAATGGATGCGCTGGCGCTGTTGCTGGAGATACCAACTCGATCTGTATCATAGAGCTGGCATATCACTAAATGCTCCAGGCATGAATCCTACGGAGGGAGGCGAGGTCGAGATTGAGTTCTATGCTGAATATCAATATGTCTGCAGATGCGGCGCCATTGGAAGCGAGCAATGCTAACGAGATGACTGCTAGTAAGACGAATTGGGGAGTGTGAGAGACCAGAGGCGCCCTCGGCAATCGTGAGAAAGTAAAGGTCTCAATGGAACATTTGATCAAGTACCGTGCAAACTAAAGTCTCAGCCGAACCGAGTTAGGCATTATACACTAACATGCAAAACTGAGCCAATGTCCCCTATCAGCTAACGTTTTTTTTTGGTATCCTAGGAACCGTTTATGTAGACATTGCTAATACTTGTCACAAATAAAGCTGTCCTCTTCCTTTACGTTTGCATTGCGTATGGCGCCTTCATCTTGCTCCATTGTTGAATTAATGAATATTTTTTCCAACCAGGTCTTTGGCTCAGTTTTGGAGGTGCCACTTTGAAATCGAATGCTCTTTATTTTTTTCGCTAGCTACCATCCAGATCAGTACGAGGTATTCCAGCCTTTTGCAGTATAGACAGCCTGGAACCTCTTATGCATACTCGTGATGAGCTTACGGCAGAACTCCACCGGGATCTTGTACCACTCAACCGAGATTCGCTGCCATAGTTCATGACAGCTCTGCGGTCGTTCTGGATACTTTGCAAGCCGCCTCTCCAACTCTGACCACATGTGTTCAGTGGGGTTGAGGTCAGGAGACTGCACCGGCCATTCCGAAAGCGTGCCCCTCCTCAGTCAGATGCACCGACTCCAAATACTTCCGGACAACCTTCGCCATGTGCTTCGGATCGTTATCGTGCTGAAAGACGAAATCGTTTTTTGCCATGCTCCATTCCTCCAGCGACATTTGTAAATCCTCCTGGAGCAGTTTGATATATAGTTGTGAGTCCATAGTATCATCGACCATCGTAATATATCCAGGTCCGTTCCATGAGAAGCAGGACCACACCTTCACGTTGCCACCTCCAAACTTGACTGTAGACAACTATAAAAGGACGCGTCTAGTCTAGCTAGTTAGTCAGGCTTATCTAGTTCCAGTCCCTGTCATAAAGTTCCTTGTCTACAGTATCCTCTTGTTCCTAGACTCGCCTTGTCAAGCTCTTCCACAAAAACTCTTACAAGATGTGTCTCCAAACACACATCTATACGATATTTATTAATCAACTCGAGATTAGGTTTCAGAGGTGACAGATTTATATAGTAATAAAGTACACTGGACTCGGCGCATCTCCGATCCGTTCACTTCATGATCCTAACGTGGTTGACAAAAGTGGTCGTATTATTTTAAATGGATTTAGTACGGCTTTTTTTACATTACTTGATACCTGTACTATCTCGATATCCAAAACATAAAAGCATAAACCTCACTATGCGAACAAGGAGACACGCCCAATGGACTTTAAAAAAAACACAACTAATGAACTGGTTCATGTTGTGGATTTTTCTCAGACACCATGAGAATACCTGCTTCTCGAGAACATTTCCCATGGCACGGGCTTTATTTGACCCAAATGGGTCTTTTTCTCGACAATGTAAGTGAACGTTTGATACATGAACCAGTTCATTAGTTGTGTTTTTTTTAAAGTCCATTGGGCGTGTCTCCTTGTTCGCATAGTGAGGTTTATGCTTTTATGTTTTGGATATCGAGATAGTACAGGTATCAAGTAATGTAAAAAAAGCCGTACTAAATCCATTTAAAATAATACGACCACTTTTGTCAACCACGTTACAGATCGCCCAGACTTTATAATAAAGAGCCGTGAACAGGAAGTTTTATTCGGCGACATCACGTCTATCGCAAGAAAACTAATAGCGTGATCTTTCCCGATTGATATGCTTTCGAAAAAGCATTTCAGAATGTTGAGAAAGGTTTCGCATCGTTGTCCTAACGCAACGCAACATATTAACGCGTTGCTTGGCTTCGATAAAAGTGTTCAGCTTATATTACGCCTCTAAGTTACTATCTATAACAGGAAATTTTCTTAAGTCGCGGACGCGCCTCGAAACAGGCTGTGCTACGCACGTGACACCCGGGCATAAAGCGCGCGGCATTGCTTCGTGAGATGGCATCGTTTTGATTCATGATCATCACAAAGACTAGGAATCTACCTCTTGAAGTCAGACAAGGGTGACAGAAGGTATCACTCAGGAACAATAATTGCAAGGAGTAAACCCCAGGAGTTTGAACGGGAATCTTAATAGCACAGGAGGACATTGTAATGGCACCACTAAGAAGCAATATTTCGGACGAGGCAACCAAGCGACTGGTTGAGCTTGAAACAGAGTACAGGACACAACGCTCTGCAGAGCAACTACACGCGGTAGCATCATTTCCGCACCTGTTTGACGAGTTTCCTTATGCTGTCATTATCAACGCGGGAATATTGAAGCTTGCAGATTGGTTCAGGAACAGGTACGGCAAAGGACTTTGTGCAAGCAGATCCACTAGATGCATACGGATCTATTTCTGCAGCTCAACGGTTTCTCATGTCTTTCATCGTGTTGCTATTGTTGTTATCGTTTTTTTTTTTTTTCGTTTAACAGCAACAATATCCAACGACATGCCATCCTTCAAGTGTTCAAGAAGAGTCAGCGACATCTGAAGATGGTCGTCAATGTCGAAGAGACCATCAAACGCATTTCTCCCATGCTGCAGTCTAACGACCCTTTAGCACGCGCCATCACTCTTCGGTAAGGACGTCCTGCATCTCATACATCAATGCGGATGAAATTGCAAAAGCAGTATACACGTGCCTACTCACCGTAATGAAATTTCTACGACCATGGCATTATTCCAGGACTCTCGGATGCATGTCAACTATTGCTTCAGACCGAATCGACGTCTATCACAAGTACAGATCAACTGCTTTACTTCAATATCAAACCAATGGTCTATAAATGTGTGTACTGATAACTGACACCGGTAATCCTTATGCGTTTTCTTTACAGTATCATCCACTCGCTCGATTCTTCAGAGGCAATGGAGGTCAGTGCGGCGATCTATGCCGCCGATATGCTCTGTGCCCAATCGCAGCGTTTCTGTGCCATCATCTCGGGAAAGCTGGCATTCATGGTCCGGGACATAAAAACCCCGCTGCCGCTCAAAAGACGACTTATCCGGATCTTTGGACATATGTTTGAGGATATCACTCTGGCACGATTGGTATGTTCTATCATTTTCGCACAGTCGGCAGAAACACAGAGACGACGAAGGATCTGTGCAGGGTCTAACAGCTTTTCGATTTCAGGCCAGAAAAACGTGTCTAGATATTTTGAACCTGAACCAGGATGGCGAATACACGGTTGCAATTCTAAGGACGCTGACTCGACTGGCGTCTCATTCATTGGTGGATGTTAATCAACAAATTGATTTGCTGTTGCAGCGGACGCAGGAACTCTCGCATTCACAGCCAGGAATCCGCCGCGTAACGCTAATGTGCGTTGGGTCACTCGCTCAAAAGAATATCGAGTTCAGTCCAGAGCAGATCAGGGTAATTCTAGTTCGATATTTTTTACCGTCTCAAGGATGTAATGCCGCATAACGCTGCAGCATCGCACTGTCCTCCTTTCGCCTTACTGATCTGCGATGACCACTTTTGCGATCTCGTTTTATAGGTGATCTTTGATATCGCACTAGAATCGAACGATGAACGCACAACACTAAGGGCGATGGCGACGCTGCGCAAGATCTTTTGCTTGACGAATGTCATGACTTCGATCTGTTTGATGGATTCTGGGACTGAGAGCATGAAGGGTTACATCGGAACATGCCTACGAATCCTTGAGCGGTCATCCCTGTCCCTATCATCTCCTTCGACTCTGGCTTCAGTATCGAGGCTCGTGGTGTTGGAGTGTTATGGGCTCTTATCAATCATCTTGCCCTCTTATCAACGGTTCGAAGGAATGGGCTCGTTCACTGGCGCGGACGAAACTTTCCGGGAGGCAATCAAAGTCGATACGCGGTCAATGGAACAGTTCTTGGTCCGGATATGGTCACAAAGCTCGTCAAAATCCGCGGCAGGCGACTATTTGTCAACGGCGGAGAACATGGCTCAATCAAGGACGGTACTCTGGTCCTTAGTCACCCTTACATTGGAGGAGGACTCAGGGGTCGATACCTTGCTTGCGAATCTCATGGAATGGATCGGCGCCTATAAGGGTATGTGCCTCTTTATTCGTTTCTTAGTTCTGGGGGGTTTCCGAACTCAAGTCTCCATTACTGATAATACTCATGATCAATGCTTAATAGACATATCGGCGTTATTGGCAAAGGCTCTGTTTCGCATCGCACAGCAGCAGCCAAGGAGAGTACACTCTCTGCATGAAACGATCATGGTTTACTTGGAATCCAATGTGGATTCTCCAGACACACGGACCTTTGTAGGTCATAGCTTTGCTTATGCTCGATCTCTTAGCATTTTCTCATTGTACTAACCGTCCGACATTTCTGCCTGCTATCTCTGCTATCAGATCTTAGTCTACAGAGCACTACTTGAGTCATTTACACTCAAAAGAATATCCCTTCCCACCTCTGCGCTCGAAGCCTTCGAAACCCGCATCTCGCAACTGCTTGAGCAGTTCGGGCGAATAGATATGATGGAGCATTATACGAGGAACCACTGGGAACTCTATCAGATAGCCCGGTACTCGTTGCAGACGGGTTGGTCGTCACTAGCCTCACTGGCACTTAGGAATCAGGAAAAGTTGGTGACGAGTGTGTCCGCTGTACTATGGCTGATGGTCGTGCAGACCGTGGCGCTTATCGAGAGTTCGTTGCAGAACGCTACTGCTGCAGCAACTCTATCAACGTCCACGTCAAAATCATCTACAGCAGTGCAGCAAGAAGGCGACCCCAACGGACGCTTGGACTTGTATTCACAGCAACAGATGTACATCAAGGTTGCGGGCTACCTCGAGGCAAGAAGCACTCTTTCTCGTATGATCACTCTGTTCATGCTATTGAGGAGAGGGCTTGTCTGACCTTCTCATCATATATTGAACTACTTATAGGAACTTGAAGCACATCAAGTTGACAGGACCTTCCACCTGCAGCTCTGCAGCCTGCGTTGCAGTTATCTTCAGGTCTGCCAATCGACCGTGGCCACACTCCAACTTTTGTCCACGACCCTCTCAACCCACCATCTTCATGACACAGCATTTTCGGCCCTGCCTGGAGACGAGATTGCGCTGCACCAATGCGCTGCAAGATTCAACCAGCTGGCACATGAGTACACGCTGTTGCGGACGTCTGTTACCTCACAACTGTCGTCCTTCCCGACTAACTCGTTGAGTTCATCGGAAGCCCCAACGACAGATACACAATCAGATGGTGCGCTCCAGGTGCTGCAGACCATCTGCCTTATCATTGCATACGCTGTCCAAAAAGTTGCCAAGATCTTGGGCCGTGCTGATGCTGTTAATGCAGAGGAGGGCAAGAGACAGCATAAGGAAGAAGATCTCGATGACGTGTTTGACATCGACCCATTATTGATTCCGCTGCTATACCTCCAGGGTCAGGAGCTGAACGAGAAGCAGGGCGCTGGAGATCCACAGAAATCATATCTGGAGTCGTTCAAGTCCTCGACACGACTGACGCTCAACTTTCTGAACGACCAAGTGAAGGGTGGCGACATTGGTGCATTGGAGGTATGAGTAACCCTGGCGTTTTTTGCCTATCATCTTTGGTTGTTTGACGCTCATCCCGTTGTATATCTCTCTTCTTCCCCTCTCATTTCTATTACTGTAGAGGGGCATCTCGATCGCCCGACAGCTCATTTCGCAGTACGTCTCGCTCCCGATTGCTATCCCACAAGAGTTCTTTGTTTCGGCTCGATCTCAAAAGCCAATAGCTTGACCATAGGTCGACGTGTGCCGAATATCGTAGCAAAACCAACTACAATAAAACATTGGCGCCTTCTATTATAACACAATATAATTACAACACCGCGCCCTTTTTTTTTATTCATTGTGAAAATAACGCCCAGCTTGGAGAACTCATGCTAACGTCTGCCCTGTATAAAGATCCTCTGACAAAAAAGCAGCCCTCCACCATTCGTCTCCAATATCATCCGTCTAGTTCGAGTCCATGAATGCCCTATGATCCACAAAGGTAACCAGCTTGTTAGCAATCCGGGGCTCCAATAAAAAAAAAACATGTACAAGCAGTTTAAAACAAAATGCAAAGCATACCTGAACCTGTCCTCGATCTCTTTGTAGATGTTCGAGTACTTCTCGCGCAAAATCTGCTCTCCATCGTCGGGATCTTCAAACTTCATGGAGCTCAGCTTATAGAGCAAGTCTCCGAGTGAATCCCTAATCTTCGCCCAGGTCACGTTCTGCGATGATTCGACAGTGTGCACAGCCTGATCATAGAAGAACAGCATGTTGCGCAACATCCACACAGTCTTGTAGAAGGGACAGTAGCGGTCATAGTTGGAGTATCCGTTCTGCTGCAGGAAATCGTCGTTCAGCAACTTGGCAACCTCCAGCACAATCTTATCCTTCTCTGCCAACGCAGACTTTCCGACCAACTGCACAATCTCTGACAAATCCTGCTCCTCTTGCAAGATCTCGCGCGTCTTGTTACGGAGGGTAATAAATTCCGGATCCTCCTTTTCGTAAAACTGTGCCAACACGTTCGTGTACTTGGAGTACGACAAAGACCAGTTGATCGAGGGGAAATGCTTGCGCTGCGCCAACTTCTTATCCAGACCCCAGAAGACCTGCACAATACCCAGAGTCGATTGTGTGACAGGGTCGGCGAAATCTCCACCTGGGGGCGAAACAGCTCCGACGACCGAGACAGATCCCTCACGTCTAGGGTTACCCAAGCAGACAACCTTTCCAGCACGCTCGTAAAATGAGGCTAGACGAGCTCCCAAGTAGGCGGGATAACCGCTATCAGCGGGCATCTCCGCGAGACGACCGGAAATCTCACGAAGCGCCTCAGCCCAACGAGAGGTAGAATCGGCCATCATGGCAACGTTCTTGCCCTGGTCACGGAAGTATTCAGACAATGTGATACCAGTGTAGATCGAGGCCTCGCGAGCAGCGACAGGCATGTTGGAGGTGTTAGCCACAAGCGTGGTTCTCTTCATGATCGACTCTTGACGGTCGCCGACCTGGATTGACAGTTGAGGGAAATCCATCAAGACCTCAGCCATTTCATTTCCACGCTCTCCGCATCCGACATAGATAATAATGTCCGAGTTTGAGTACTTGGACAAGGACTGGGAGATCACAGTCTTGCCGCATCCGAAAGCCCCGGGAATGGCGGTCGTACCGCCTTGAACACAACTAGAGTGAAGGAGTAAGAACAAGGCGATCGTTGTTTAGTATTGTATTCTTTCTCGGAAACCATACTCAATCACACGAGAACTCAAAGCGTTGGCATACGGGAAGAGAGCGTCCAAGACACGCTGACCAGTCAGAAGTGGGTAGTCAGCGACCAACTTCTCGGCGACGGGACGAGGCGAACGAACTGGCCACATGTGCATCATTGTGAACTCCTGCTTCTCGCCATTGAATTCGATCTCCAGAACCTTATCCTCCAAGGTGTACGAGCCCTTCTCGGCAATGTAAGTGATCGTTCCGCGAGCGCGAGGAGGAAGGGTGATCAAGTGGTTTGTCACCAAGCTGTTCTCGTAGACAGCACCATAAGCATCGCCTCCAGTAATGTGGTCGCCGACCTGTAATAGCACAATTGAATAGCAGCCCCAGAATACTACATTAGAGATCACATATTCGTGATGGTAGTCCCGTAAATATACCGCATTAGTTTTAAGTCTGTACCTTGAAGTTCTGAGGAACAAAGTCCCAGGAGACCTTCCTGTCCAAGGCTACGGTCGAGATACCGCGAGGAATGTAAATACTCTCCGATTGATCGCTAATGGCCTAATATCGTGCCAAATTGAGGTTGTCAAAAGTCATTATCCATCGGTGTGAGGCGATTTGTTTTTTTTTTCTGGCTTCCGAACGCGTCCATGAGACATTGCATTGGCATAGAGCCACTTACCTTCAAGGGACGCTGAATACCATCGTAAATGTTTCCCATGAGACCGGGTCCCAACTCGACAGACAGGGGCTTGCCAGTACGAAGAACGGGATCACCAACGGTCAAACCAGCTATAGAACAGCATCAAAAACGATAGGTTGAGAAAGAGGGCTAACGTTGGCATAGTGTATCTTCGTATCCTGCAATAGATCAACCAGTATTCAATGTCTTAGGCGTGTCACGTACAGGTTTCCTCGTAGACCTGGATGGTAGCCTTGTGCCCCTCGATACGAATGACCTCTCCAACCAATTCGTCGTGACCGACGCGAACCTGGTGAGGAGAAAAAACAAGCAAATGATAAGATAGTGGTGAGTATGTCTGCGCTGCTCACTATTCAAGCCATTGGCGACGCTTCTTCTCTAAACTTGCTTTACGAAGCACTTACGAGCTCGTACATGGCGGCTCCGTTCATGTTATCGGCGATGACGACTATCATATTCAGCAAAAAAAATACGCATTGGTAAAGGAAGATAGGTGCTCTGCAAACATTCTGCCGTCTCATACGAGTTTCGCTCGGTCAATGCACTTGATCGGCAGTTTCGTATCCCGTACCTGGACCAGAGACACCATAGACATATCCAAAGTCCTGCTCATTCTCGTGGTCCGAGATCTTGATGAGGTTCTTTTTCGCGTTGCTCAGAGCTCCAGCCTAAAAGGCCACGAAATTCGAGTTAGGTTCAAAGGGCAGGTCAGGTCAGGTTGGGGAGGGGTCAGGTCAGCAGAAAAGGTCAGATGCAAGGTCAGGTCAGGGGAACACCATTCCCAACCGTGACGCCACGCATCTTCTCCAGCTAAAAAAACAAAGGGATTTGCCATACCATGTTGACTTGTAATGAAGAAAGGTATCCTGTGGAAAGCGGTTTGCTGGTATTTACTGAAGTTGCTTGTTTTCGTTACTAAGGAATAGGTTCCAGTTGAGAAAAGGGTATTCGAGTGGTTACTGGGTTGATTTGCTCTTGGAGAGTTTTTTTCCTTGGTGAACGCGTGTTATTTTTTCCACGCTCGCCGCATATTGGTGGTGCCTGGCTCAACAAATATGAGCGCGATGTGTTGTTGCTGCGTGGGTGGGTGTATGTGTACCTCGGTATTGGATTGTGCTTGACAGGCAGTGTCTGTCTGCTGTTTTTTCGAGAATAAGACAGCGGGTGAGGAGAAGGGGAGGAGTGGGGGATGGCAAATGGAAAAAGAGAATCGACTTTGAATAATGGAATATGCACTGTGCCCTATCATGACGTCTGGCCTCCCTTAAAATGTGCATCAAAATATAAAATATTAGAGCGTTAAAACGACCTTTCCATACTGATTTTCATCTTACCATCCCCACTTCACCTCAGGAGTCCCATGGCACTGTTCTTGGATGTCGAGAGCTTGAAGATGCTCCAACGCTTGCCGAATGGTGGCGAGAGCGGTGCTGGAGGCACTAAAACGGAGATTAACTCGAGAAAAAGGCGCGAGACAGGCGTGGCTGGGCTGCATGAGAACCGAGGCCCGTGAGATAGCGATCGTCACGGCGGCGTGCGAGTCCCGGAGTTTGATGGCATATCCGCATTGAAACGAAAGAATGTCGACAGCACTGGCGATGGTACTATAGCGATCTCTGCAATGGTGGATGCAAAAGCTATTTAAACCCCTTTCCCCCCCCCCCCCGGACCTACTCTTATGCTGCCTAATACATGCTGTCGCACGTAGCACCTTTTCTTGGCACATAGCTTAGCTCATGTACGCGTCGTTCGAGGCCGCTGCGTATGGAACTCCTTTTGGCGAACTGGAGAGGACTCGGAGGCCTAAAGGATAGATATTACGGACACCTTTCGGAGCGTCATGGGCTGTATCGGTTCCCCTTGGCTTTTCAAATTCGCTGCAGCTTTACGATATTAGAAATCAAAGTTTATATTCATACACAAAAATAATAGACCCTAATCAATCAGTTTGGCGCATCTTCTGTCTCTTCTGAAGCGAGAGAGGCTAACTAAGGGAAGTATAGGAATGGATTGCATCAAAATAACCATTTTCCTTCAACTGCCAACAAATCCAACAAAGAAAAACAGCTAGGACAAAGGGTAATTGTCATTTAGTTTGATAAGTTTGATAGTCTACCAACGATCCCCCCCAGTCTCCAAGTGGATCCTTTCTGCTTCAGTAGATGTGCGTCCCAGAATCTCATTGCGGTGCGGATAGCGACCAAACTTCTTGATGACGGCCTCGTGTGCAACTGCATAGTCCAAACACTGTTTGAATACATCCTTGTAGAGCGGCTCTACTTCTTCATACTCCTTCTTGAACTCCCTCACGCACGCGGCCTGGTCCTCAAGATCTTCAGAGTGCTCCAATGGCTACGCAAGGGCAAAAAAAAAAAAAAAAAAAGAGTTGTTTAGTATCATAATCATTTCCAGAAGCGAGCTTCAACCAGCATTCAAAGCAAAGGAGCGTACCATGTACAGCACATGTCTGTAGATCGGATGCATGTAGCCGCAAGTCTTCTTCACCAACGCTTCCTTGACGATCTGTCTGGCTAGAGGATCAAATTCAACAAAGGGACGGGGCGTTCCTCGAAAGATGTTGCGAGGGATCTGATCCAGCAGAACCGTCAGTGCTACTGTGCCATCACCAGTTGTTCTCATCTGATCTCTGAACTCGCGGTCGACTAGGGCTCGCTCAGCATCCTTTCCAAACTGCTCGCTACAACACGAAAGGCAGTGCTAAGTATTGTCAATTGCTGTCAATTGAAAGGTATGTAGTTGCGGAGGAATTATTCAAGACATAGCGCAGTGTACTTTACCGAAGCAGATCGTCGACCTCTTTTGATCCGCCATACCACAGAGCAAAGAGATCTACGGACAGAGGCTGCCCAGGGATAAAACCTTTTATGAACAGTACTGTAAGAGCCAATTGCAGGATGCGCGATATAACATACGGTCGGCTTCCTTCCTTACCCTTGAACCAAGCATCCAAAAGGCGCTTGGAAGAGTACGCAGCAGCAGCAGCAACATTATTCATGTCAAAAAAAAAACTCGAGGAATGTGGATGCAATGTAATGAGCAACAAAAAAAAGTCGATTCCTTTCCTTTGCCTTGTGTAAAGCACAACAGCGCAGCAGACAGGGCGTGTATCGGGAAGACCAAGTTTCCGCGTTGGCCTTGTAGGCACAATTAGGGTTTATCGCGAATAGACACCAGCTCCTTTTTGGACAAGTCATGCATCACACATTCCTAAGCCAATTCCTCCAATAAAAAATAGTTTAATGATAGTACTCAATAAAGAAATGCCCTAAATGATACAAAGAGTGAAAACGAGACGAAAGAGGGATGAAGGAGAGAAGAACGGTTGAAGGAGGAGCGAAGATGGAGCTGAAAAAGATAAAAATGCTGGTGCAAATGTACGTGTGTATGTGCTTCATAAACAAAAAAAATTCTAATTTGCTTTTGCTTGTTAAACCAAGATCTGTACGCGGTAATGCTTCTGCAACTTGTTCTGTTTCTGTCCCACACGAGCCTTGTGTTCCTCGATCCTTCGGAAATCCTTGAACGTCGACGTTTGCTTGTGAGCCCATCGCGCCTCTCCCTCGTTCCGGGCCACCAATGCCTGTCCACGCTCCGAGCGTGCCTTGCTCTTTGACAGTGCCAAATCGTACCCCATATGGTCCGTGTAATGCGTCAGCAACCGGTTGATCAATACAGAATCGCGCGACTCCTCTGGCTTGACGTTCTGTCTGTAATATTTGTTCAACGATCGGTGCCCCAGCCGCGCTCCAGACGGCAGGATCAACTCCATCTCATCCTCTCCCAAGCGAGCACCCGTGCCCACATAGTCCTCGTCCAACTCTTCCTCGTCCAAATCAATCTCTCCAGCATCGGCCTTCTCGGCAGCCTCCAACATCCTGCGTTGCTGCTCCTCAGGATATGATGAGCTGAAATCATAAAAGTCGACGACCTCCATCATCTCCGACTCGGAATCATATGGAATCTTGCAGTGACCCTTATCGACCATGTGCTTGCGGACAGCTTCCAGTGATTTGATCTGACGCCCCTTGCCATTACAGTACAAGCAAATGTTTCCGACAGAGACCTTCTCACCCAGGTATTTAATCAATCCCTCGAGATCGACCAGATATTCGATATCGGGAATGAAAAATCCGTGTGCCTTGGTCATATGCTCGACATTGCTATAAAAAGAGAGATAGAGAAATGACTCGGTCAACATCCTTTCTTCCTTGACAACAATGTCGTCCCTGATTTCCCATACCATCTCAACAGCTATTTATCGGCTTACCTCTCGAACGTCTCCGTCTTCTCGGTACAGAACAAACAGTCTGTAGGCTCCAGACGAATGGCGGTCTCGATCTTCTTGTCCATAATTTCTTCCAACTCCTCCTGTGTCGTCTCATCCGTTACAGAAAGGTCTACCGTCATCTTTGACGTGATCGACTCAACATCGCTCTTCGTTGGCTTCTCAACGGATTTGGCAGGACGAGGGTTCGCCTTCAACTTGGCTTCCATCTCCTTGTGTTTCTTCGACGCCAAATGGTTCTGATACGCATTCTCGGACGAGTACGACTTGCGGCAGGTCTTACATTCGTTGCTGCTGACAGCGGCAGCTGCCTGATCATCCGCGGCCTTCTGTTGCTGGGCGACAGCCTTTTGCGTAAACATCTCCGCAGTGACAGGGGGCAGCTCAACCATCTTGCGCTTCAGATTGTATCGGTGCCAGTCTGAGCGATAGTGCTCTCTCTGGATATCGGCCGTCTTGAATGCGACATGGCAGGCGAGACAGGTGAAGAGTGAGGAGCGGGGTGCATCCGGCATGGAAAGAATGGTCCCCTGCGTGGACGTGGGGCCAATAATAGAGCTCATCGTATATGTGTTTGTGGATGTCCTAAAGGAGGTGGTCCTGAGCGGGGTATTTTGTCCTGGTTGTGAGTCGTTAAATGGAGAGAGGAGGGGTAACGACAGGAGTACAGCAACAATGAACCGAAGGTGCCGCAGTCTATGCTGTTTCTTTTTCTTTTTCTCTTTTTTTTTTTTGAGGCAGTCACGATGTTTACTTACTGGTCTTAAAATGTACGTATTACGTGTGAAAGTTTATTATTGCTGCTTTGCCCTCTGGCTGTGCTGATTATCAGGCATGTGGAGTGGATGGTGTTGCTGGATACCTGACGATGAAAGCTCATCTGTAATGGGATCAAACGAAGAAGCAGGCGCAGGGATCGATGTAGTGCTCGATCCGACTTCGCTGGCACCCTGGAATCGGACCTTCTGAATACTCTGTCTCTGTTGAGCCGCTGCCCGCACAGATGCCTGGGCCTTGTTCAGTCTCTCTATGCCTTTCTCCATATCCTTCTGCTGCTGCAACAACATCGCTCCCAGTTCTGCGACGGGGATATCGGGTGCCGTCATCGATCGACTCGGTCCTCGTGGTCTCCTTGTCAACGACTCCCGCCGACTGGAATCCACCCCTGTGGCATCGCAGATCGGTGGTGAAGGCTGACCCGACGAGGCATCGTCGCCAAATGGCGACCTCGTATCAGGTGGAGTGATCTTGCCTTTCTGGAAATCGAATGTAGGTGAACCGGGATTCGATGGTGAACCGACCTCGCTTCCATCGATACTGTTCCTGCCACCATAATGCATATGTGAAGCCCGCTTCGCCCTTGCGGCTGAAACCATCTCGTCATTGCTGGCACTGTGAACTCGGTTCAGATGCGAGTACACGAAAGCAGATGCATCATCGGTCGAAAACGCAAATCCTGTATGAGCAGGCTTTTGATTGATGGGCCTGCCATTGCCTGAGCCGGGTGGAGGTGGAGAGTCGTCACCCATGAATCTGAAATTAGGTCCACCAAGAGGGACTGAAGGAGTGCTCTGGCGTTTGACACGAGGTCTATCTTGCCCCAGGGGACCTCCAACGACTCCTCCTGTCGCTGTTGCAGCTGCATTAATGAACTCCTGATTGAATGAAAATGATGTAGTTGGGTATCCTTGAGCAAACTTGCGATCGATCGGCTCGAGGGTATCTGACTGCGCGGGCAAGGATGTTGATGAAACGCTGTAGTCATTGTTGAACGTCTTTGCAGGTGTAGCAATCTCAATCCCGCCATAAATATCATTCTCTCCTTGAGCATTAAAGGTATTGTTGCTGCTCGCGACTCGCCTCCGTCCTACTAGTTCTCGTTGAGGTTGGGCTCCAACTGCTCCGTCTGATGATGCTTTCAGGTAGTACGCCTCGTCCACTCTGCTCAAGCTAGCCATGGGAGATGGTGAAGGTTGGCGTTGTCTGATATCGCCTGGCTTCTGGTCATTAGGATCCTCAGGCGACAAGATTGTTGGCGAATTTTTGATGACGGGGATTTGATCTAGATCATCCTCCATGTCATCATCACCAAGGACATGGCTCCCGCTGCTGACGATTCCTGGATCTTGAAAGCTGCTGTTGGTCCTATTCATTTCGCTTTCCCTCATCGCCTTCAGTTTCCTGGCACGACGCTCCTTTTTGGACGGATGCTTCTCCCTGTAGAGCTGCTCGCGAACAATAATGATATCGTTGGGCTTCAGGTACTGACGCGCAAACTTGTAGACGTAATGAGGCAACATCGTCAGGACCACGGAAAGAATAATCGCAAGCCAAAAGGCCGGGCTGTTGAGAATGATGTGATCCATCCCGTAGAACGTGTTCTCGATTGTGAAGAAGTTGGCGTAGACCCAGCAGTAAAGGAAAAACACGATGATCGAACCAAAAATGACGGTGAAGATCATCTTGGTCCAATGGAACATGTTCAATCCGACATACAAGTTGGCGACAACGACCGAGCAAGCAGAGATCAAGGTTCCGAGAGCGACAAGATCGTTGGTACTATGTCCTGAGGCGTACAGGTCGTTTGATAGATACCATGGGACGAAGAAGCAGATGACTGACTGATATAGTGCATCCAAAACGTAGAGCCAGAATTTGCTGCGGGTGAAGTGCTTCTGCTTAATTCCACGGAGATACAGTGCAGGAAACTGCATCGATGTCTTAGCGTCCACATCCTGATCGAACGCTCCCATGAACATGATAGGCAAAGACGTGAACAGCAGGTTGTACAGGACCACGAATGTATAGTCGAACAGAAGCAAGGCTGTAAATCTAAAGTGTCAATAAATAGAAGGTTATAACAGGCTCTCAATGGGCCAATACATCTTAAGTCAAATACATGCATGAGCAGACCAATGGTTCTTACCCAGAGAAGAACTGGAACCAAAAGATAGTCAGCGTCCAAACAATGTTCTTATAGAAAAAGGTCAAGATCATCTCCGAGATTCGAATGTACGACCATCGTCCGTGAACCAAAAGCAGCTTGGACAGAAAACGAAACTGAGCGATCGCAAAATCTGATGCCATCACAGCCTGTCGACCTTCCTCACCCGCAATGCCGACGCCGATATTGGCCTCCTGAATCATCGAGACATCGTTGGCACCGTCACCGATCGATAGGGTCATAACATCCAATCCACGCTTGACCATGCTGACGACCTTGGCCTTTTGCAGTGGAGATACACGACAGCAGATAACAGACTTGCAGCGCTTGCCTACGTCCAGAAGGAGTCCATTCAGTGCAGGCGACAGTCCATATTTGAGCGTCTCTCCGTCGATAATCAGCGCATGAGACTTGTTGGCCAGTGAAGGATCCTTCTCAGCCTCGCGACCCCAGAACTTGTCGAGTGCCTTCATTAGTTGCTCCCGTGTGTCTTCCTTATCCTGCGCCTGGATGATAATCAGGATCATGTCCCGCTGAAGCAAGTTGCAAGCGAACCCAATGTTGATGGCGGTCTCCGTCTTATCTCCTGTGAGAACCCAGAGTTTGATTCCCGCGCGCGATAGAAGAGCAATACACTCGGGGACTCCCACTTGGAGACGGTCTTCGATGGCAGTGCCTCCCAGCAAAATCAATGAATGTTCGATCTCCTCGCAGGCATTCTCAATGTTCTCATCGCGGTTGTGGATGGTATTACAAGCCTCGTCATATTCCAATACCCAGTTGGCATACTCTTCCTCGCTGATCTTGCGGTATGCCAAGCAGAGTGTGCGAAGACCTAATAAGATAAACAAAAGTATTCAATTAGCAACAATCCATATTCAGGTACTGCATTACACTGTATTGTAGATGGTTGCTTCGTCCTGTAGACATACCTTCATTGGCAAACCGCTCCAAATCGACAAGGGTGTCCTCCCGCAACTTGCTCTGTTCCTCAGCCTTATCCAGACGCTCATAGATGACGCTGTCCGCCCCCTTGCAAACAAGCACAATGCCTCCCTCCGGTGGTCGCAGGATGATCGACATGCGCTTCCTGTTCGAGTTGAACTCAAGAATGTTCAGGATCTTGTATACCCGAGGCTGCCCCATAATCTCCAGGTGCATCATGGGCCCTTTCTTTTCCAGAAACACAAATCCAACGTCGCGCGCAGTAGAAACTAAAGCCGCCTCGTCTGGCGATTGAGCCTTGTACTCGATCTTATACGGATCCGTGTCGATGTCGCGTTCGGTAATGACAGTATGGCAAACAGCCAAAGCCGTCCAAAAGTTCATGATGGCTTTAGCGTGCTTCGAAGCCGGGTCCGCCATGTCTTCAAACAGATCCGAATCAACGAACGTTGTCTTGTCAGAGTAGTATTTGTTGTCGAATAGCCTGTCCATAGCTGCCTTCATCTTAAGCCGCTCCATGTTCAGCTTTTCCAGATAGGCCTCGTCGGATTCGAACTCCATGGGCTCGAACTCACCGTCTCCACTCATCTTTTGGCCGCGGGTTGCATCTGTTTCTCCGATACCGTAATCGATTCCGTTGATGGTGCACTTTTGAAACTCCATCACGTTCTGTGTCAGGGTTCCTGTCTTGTCAGAGAAAATGTACTCGATCTGTCCCAGGTCGTCGGAGATATTCCATGTTTTGGGTACGCAAGCCTGATTCACTCGCTCGTCATACATGTCAACATCCTTGTGAATAAAGTAAGCCTGTGCAGTCTTGACAATCTCAATACTGATATACAGTGAAATAGGCACGATGTTCTGGTACAGAATCAGGCATGACCTGGAAGTTGCAGTGAGAAATAGACAAAAACGAGATTGTTAAAGAGGGTTTGCGCGATTGTCACCGAAAAAAAACAGAGAAAGGATACGTACCAGAAGGTGATGAAGGCTGACATGAAGGGCGTCGAGGCATCCGCACCGTATTCAAAAAACGTTCCCGAGTTGTTCTCCGTGTCTCCGAAAATAACACCATTGGCAATAGCAGATCCAATCGAGAGCGCAAATAGGATAATGAAGTTCATGACAATCTGTCAAGTATTATATAAGAATGTCATCATTAGCATCTCGGCAGTACAAGTCATAAAGAGTAGCCGGGATCGACACAGGATACTTACATGGAAGTTAAGATCCTTTTCGATACGACTGCGCTTGCTTGGGGTGTCGCCTGAATTCAACATGATCTTGGTGTCTGTTCCTGTGAATAGTACCATGCCGATGACATGTTCCGTGTTTCGCAAAACACATCCACGGAGCAAGATCTCGTTGATTGTAATCGACTCAGTCTTGTTATGCACCACGCGGTCCCCTGCAGGCATGTCCGCTCCGTCGGAAATCAACCACTTCAACGCCCCCTGGTACGAGTAAAGGTTTGCATGAGGTGACTCTGATTCGACATAGAATGCCGCTCGCTCGATAGCTGCTGGTGTTTTAAGTCCCTTTGTCGCTGTCAGGCCACGTCGAATCTTCAGGTTAGTTTCTCCATCCAAATTCTTGGTCTCGATAAAGCAAAGTCCGTCCGCCTCTGACGTTGAGAGAATGACTATATCTGCGGGAATAGGATCGTCATTCTTCAGGTACACAATGTCGCCGACTTTGACATCCTGCCAGATACAGTCCTGCCACTTTGCTCCGAACGCTGGTTTTGCTGAGTAAGACTCTGTGTGGTTCAGTACTGAATGAGGGATGTTTCGGCGGACACGTCGGGCAGGTCTGCCAGCAGGGTCCTGTCCTTCAGATGCCGCTCCCTGTGCGGAGTTCGCATAGTGTCCTTCAAAGTAAGAGTTTTGGTCCGAGCGTCCACTTGGGGTTGTCGCTGCTAATGCTGCAGCGTTGATAGCGTCCGCACGATTTGGCTGGGATTTCCTTGGAGATGCTGTAGCCCAGCTGAAGAGACCGCTGATGGCATCTTGGATGAGCTGCAGTTTGCTTGACCCTCGGGAGTGGACGTTAGTGTTGGTCCAGTTACACAACAGGATAACGGGTGCGTTGTTGAAGGCCTCGTCTGATTTCCGGCGCTTCCAATCCTCGATGGCGTCCTTGATGGCGGTGACGGTGATGATGAAGATTAGGGGCAGGAAGGTGAGGAAAGGGGCGAATCCTCCCAGGATGGGTGCGATCGAGAGACCGGCGACGAAGAGGAAGTACAGATTGGCGAGACGACGGAACTGCTCAAACAGGTTCTTGGGAATGAACGAGAACAGGTCGTATTTCTATCGATGGCCGAATAAGAAGAGTGTTAGAAAATGAGAACAATATCTTGACTGATCGCAATCATATCTGGTTGCACAGAGCAAAATCAACGTTTTATGCAATCGAAGGAAACAATCCATACACACACACATACAACCCCGGCAAATAGCCCGCAACGAACTCGCCCAAGCAGCACAATCACCTGCAATAAAAGCCCTTCACATACAACAATGACATGTCCAATCGCATTGTATCCCAACTCCATAAACACTCTGAGCACAAAAGAGCTCTCGAAGGAGGAATACTGCCTTGACATCCAAACAGGAATTACTGGATTGCTGCAGAGCAGGCTGAAAAACCGGCTGAGCAAGATAACGTGGAAAAGAGATGGACCGTGGCAAATACAGGACCATCTGTGAGCCGCTCTTTCCCACATGGGAACAGTCGACTCTCTCCCAGGACCACACCTCCTATTACTCCCTATCCTTATCCCTCTGACTCCTCTTATCAAGAACAGTCGCTGCTGCGTATCAGTATCAACGCTAGTTGAACAAACAACGTATCCTCTAACGACAATGCAATTTGCGCATCCGCCAGAATGCGGCGCGAAGGGACAACGATTATAAATATCCGCTGTTCAATGTACGTCTTGCATCTTTGGAACCAGACCTGCAAAAGAAAAAAAAACGATGGTCCTAGCCAACCAAGATAGTTCCAGTTCCAAGGGTATCATCATTCCTTCGGAGCGCAAAATGAAAAAAAGAAAAAAAAAAAAAAAAAAAAGATGCAAGGGTAAATATAGAAAAAAAATACACAGACACACGTGTGCTGCAAGGCCACGCGAAAGAGGAGGGGGATCAAGCAGCAGCACACGAGTCGCCATGCTTGCCGGGAACCCGGGAACAGGATTGACTGCAGTAGCGGAAAAAAGAAAAGGCCGCTCGGACGAATGGACCAATTAACGTGCCGCTGACTGAGAGTGAATTAGGGATCTTTAAGTGGATCATTATAAAAATGCGAAAGGAATTTTTGATAATGGCAGGGGAGGGGAGAGGTCGCCAGGACGGTTAGGCGGCAAATAGTATTTACCGAGGTCGTGACCTTGTTGGCCGGGTAGTGGGGCAGAGCCTCATTCGGTGCATCAAGGTCGCTCTCGATTGACTCTGGCGTGAGGTTGAGGTAGATGCGTCGACGCTTCGTTGGTGACATTGACGCGTGGGATTCCATCCGCCGGAGACGATAACTGTCCTCTGGGCCATTGCCTTCCTTAGGCTTGCTAAACAATCGGCGGACTCGGTGAGGGATAGCGCGGTGTACGAACTCCATGGCTGTCGTTGCTGTGTCGTCGTATTCAGCTGAATGGGAGTCAACGACGATGGTGTTGGATGTTTTAGTAGAAGGTGTGCGCCGACAGAGAAAGGGTTAAGGATTGGATATGGTGGTCAATTGATCTATGCCAAGTGCCAGGGCCCCATATGTACTGATAGAATGAGCGATATGATATGTGGGAAGTGGAATGACAAGAAGATGCAAGCAGAGTAAGCAAAAGAGAAGCTGGTAGAGTGGAGTGAGAAAAAGAGTCGAGAATGAAGTGGGGAGGGTATAGACTGGAGCAGCAGTGTAAAGTGCAAAGGAGAAGGTAGCCAGACGGGATGTCTTTATGCTAGATCCAAGTGGAATGGCCAGAAAAGGGTCAGGAAGGGATCAGAATTGGATGGAGATTGAGTGAAGAGATGAAAGGATGAACGATTGAGTGAATGAGTGGAAAAGAGAAAAGAAAGGACGATCACTGACAAGAAGCAGGGTTCATAAAAATAGACCCGCTGAAATAGAAACGACGCTTTTCAATTAACGGTATCTTCATGCACTGTGTGTAATACAATGGAAATCGTGTCCCTTCCATCGGCCCTCTATCTTACCATACCCTGCCATATCCTGCCCTACTGCAGGGCTGTGCGGCTCCGTCGGAATGGGGACGCAATTGACCGCCGCGGACGAGCAATTGACCCGTCCATGCATGCAATATCTGAGTACGTATTCATATCATGGTAACCTCCGAGTATTGCGGCGTTAAATAATAATAATAAAAGGAATAATCCCAGGCCGAAGAAACACCAAGAATCCGGCTGTACCATTGTGCGATGTGCTCAGAAAGAATGATGAAACGACAAAAGAGGAATGCCAAGCAAGCCAAGCCAACCATTAAGCCCTGTCCTTTATTCTCTCTTTCTGGGAATCTGAATAAGCGTTTACTGAAAAGCTTTCCTTCTACAATGTCACGTCTGCAGGCATCTGCAACAAGCAATTTACCACTAATGCCCTTTTTAAATCCAATGGAGGCAATTGGGCTTTGTCCCTCCGGGCATGTTGCTCAGCCCAAGTCTATCGTATTCGCCGATTTATTGCGGGGTGACCCCCTGGCTGTATCTTTTTATCCAGCTTTCAGTTTCTTTTCTTGGAGAACATTTGCTCCACCAAGGTGTATCTATTTGATCTATTCGTCATGGCCAATGTCATGCTTCCTGTTAGTAGCAGAAGACAGACATCAACAAATACAACTACTGAGAAAGTACGTAGGCCAGATGTGCAAAAACAATATGACGGTAAATAGATAAAAAACAACACACCTCAAGTCCTCTTTGAGAATAATGACTTTAACAGTTGCATTCCAAGGTCGACGATGTCACTGACCCCAGCAACGATTGCACCCGTAGTCAGGCCTTGTTCTTTCTTTTCTGGAAGTGTACCTGTTGTCATCATAACTAATATGCATTCATATGCAGGTCCAAAGGACAACAAACAACGCGTGGTATGTGGCCAGAATAGGGGCTGTGAACGGGTAGACGTTACGCATCTTGCGTGTCATCATCGTTTGTCCCGTGTCCTCTGTACAGTAGCACCCTTGCTGCTTCCCTGTATTTCCACAACACGAAAAGGGAGAGGAAATTGTCGCTGTATCCAACCTTGGCGCGTGTGCACTCCTGCCCATTTGTGGAGGACGTAAAGGTCTAACCCTTACAGGCTGAATATTTCCTTTCTGGAGCAAATTTGCTCGATATTGGGTTCCTTTGGTCATCAGCAGCTAACCTGCTTATTACAGATGCTGACCGCTAGGCTACGCAAGCTGCGGAGGGGCTCTCAGCAGGAACGAAAAAAAATCAATTTAATCCACACAAGGAAACGTGTCCTCCCTTCTACGGCTGTAGATACTCGAGATCTACAATCGGGAACCTGAAAGAATTGCGGTTCCGCAAAAGAGAAGCTCCTCAACTACATAAGATGCGCCCAAGCAGCGCTTGTGGAAAACTCATCTCGTGTCAAGATCGATTGGCCACCATCAAACCAAATGGGCACAAACACCTTCCCCACTGTCGCGGGAGTGTTGTCTAGTCTATGAATTCTTGCATGCTTTAGCCAAGGGCTGTCTGTAGAACATTCCCAGGATGTATCTGATTACAGATTTCGTCGGTAAAAGGCAGTAACCAACTTGATTTCAAGGATCAGTGGGATGAAATGGTCGCACCGACAATATTGAGGGCTCACCTCTTTCTATTGATAACTTTTCAAGACCGCCAAAAGTCTCGGCGCGAAGGAACAGCCGACAACCACAAGGGAACCTGCATACGCGCGCGTTTTTCTCCTCGAAAAGTAATATTACAACTCACGTTTGAAGGCAGTAACACATGAAAAGGCTGCGAAACACTCTTCCTTGACACCGATAAAGATGCGAAGGATTTTTATTTCCTGGGCTTAAACAAGGACAACTACTGATACCACTGCATTTTCCGGTTTCAGGGCATGTCAATCTCTGCAACTTCTCTATACCTCATCAACCCATCTGAGGCCATCTTTACTCCTTTCTCACATATCGCAACCTTCTCAATCTGCACCTCCGCCCAGATTTCATCTTTCCACCTCTCCACCAACTCGGTCGCGTCAATCTTCATCACTTTGTTCTTTGTTCTCCACCTCTGCCACTGCCCCTGTCCCTGTCCCTGTCCCTGTCCCTGTCCCTGTCTCCGAAAGTCACTCTTAGCTACACCACCGGCCCTCGCTCGGGCATGAAGCGTGTTTACGATCGTCGCATGTAATTTTAGGCCGCGTTCGTCAGGAGCCATAAATCCGGCCTCGATAAACGCAGCTTGTAGAGCCTTGCAGAAGGGATATAGCCGTCCCGAAGCATCGTGCGGGACCGCGTAGAGGACGCTCGTCGATTCCAGGGCATGCATCGGAACCAGACTACGAAGGGTCACTATTAATGAACTTCGTGTGCTGCCGTCCTCGATACTCAATGGCTCTTTTGGAATTGAAGATGAACTTGCGTTTCCTTGAACGATGGAAGTACTTTCAGCGGTAGCGGCGGTGGTGGCGGCAGACTCGAGCAGGGCGCGCACATCGACCGTCTTCAAAAAGGCTGCTGCTCGCTCCAGCTCAGATGCTTCTCCTAGGCTCATCATTCCCAGGGTAAGATGCAGACTTGCGATGGGCCGCAGGGCTTCCCTTGGCAGAGGCGCAGTTATGGACCGGGGTACACTCGTTGCTAATGGAGATGTCAGTCTTCGGGCTTGACATGGCGGGGAGTTGGTGTTGTTCGTTGTTGGTACGGACTCGTTGTGTTCAGAGGCTGCCTTGGAGAGGGATAGCTGCTCAATCGAAGACGTAAGATCCTCAGAAGCAGTCGTAGGGGTACCCGGAGTGGTGACCTCGGCTGCGAAGCGTGAAAGCGATGTGTTTAGACGATTAGCGGAAGTAGAAGTGTAGAGCGGTAACGCCAGGAAGTGTGTGAATACTGGTTTCGAGGACATAGTGTTGGGTCTGATTTGAATGCAAAAAGGACCTTTCTTGATGAGAAACCAAAAACTTGAGGAATAGATTCATTGCGTTTACTCCACAAAGGAAGGGGTCCGTGTACTTCGGGCCTAGGAGATCTGCGCAAATCCAACCACAGTTGAGTAAAAAGAAATTTCCCAGTCCGGGGATCGAACCCGGGCCTTGTCGGTGAGAGCGACAAATCCTGACCACTGGACCAACTAGGAATTTGTTCGGGTGAATGGGTAATTCTCGTGAACTATATATTTCCATTTTACAATAAGTAGGAAATCCATTCATCAAATTTAAGGGTAAATCCATGCAATTATTTTGAAAAAAGGGCTGTTTTTAGAAATCCAGCGTCTCGTTTCAAGGCCATTGCGGACCAAGCGTCTCGTACTCTCAACAACAACGAGAGTTGCGGATCATCTTTGGCGTTGTTCAGCTACCTTGTGCGACCAGCGACAAGAGTGGAGGGACGCGGTGGAGGAAGTGGAGTTGAATGGATATCGTGCATGGAGACAGGCGGTGCGAAAATGGGAACAGGAGAGAGAGGAGGCCGAACGGAAGGACAAGCCCTTCACTGCGACTTGTCCCAACTTCTCGGCAACAGGAACGAAGGCTATCTGGGAGTCAATGCAGTGGATTCAGGGGACGGCGGAAAGACGAGGGACATATCGGGTTGCGGAAGGAGAGGAGCCGGAGAGTGAGGCAGATTGGGAGGTCAAGGACTTATACCGAGGTTTGGTGCCAACGGGACTCATTGAGACCTGGAAGCAGCTATTTACCACCACCAAGTGGATTGCGACGATCATGGTGACAAAGTTCCTGAGCAGGATCGAAGAATTTGGCAGGACCAAGATATGGAACAAACGATGCGAGGACACTGTCGCCTGGGAAAAGTCAGTTGGAATCACCTTCATGAGCAAACGCGCCGGAGGACGCAACGGTGATCGGGGACACCAACGTAGTGTTGGTGATTTCTCTGATTTGAAAGGGAGACGGTTACTTGCAACGGAGATCCAGGAAGGTAGACGGACCGCGGATTATAGGGTGCTACAGCATTGCTTGGGGCGAGGGAAGTTGGACATAATGGAGGGGTTATTCGGTTTAAAAACAACTTTATTAACATTGGATCTGGATTAGGAGACGTGTATCGCGCAACAGGTCACGCAGGAGTTAGGTTAGGCTAGCTATGCGACATGGGTTATGAATTTGACGCCTCAAGCCAACATAGTTGGTAGGGGATGCGGCTCTGCCGTGCATGGAAGGCATCTATGGCTTCAAGGCCTTTGCGGACCATGCGTCTTGTGCTCATGGGGATTTATGTTAATAAAAAAAAAAAAAAAAAATACTCATGTGGATTTATTTTAATAAAAAGAAAATGGGACCTGTGCGACTATCGAAACAAATCTGTCCCTCCACCTTCACCTGGCAAGGGACTTTGGATGCGAACGGGGTGCTCAGAGTATCAAAGAGGTCTTTGGGGATGGGATCGACAGGAGACATGCGTCGAGTTGGTGATGCACATGATCTACTACGCAGAGCAGCTATTGACGCCGGATGGGTCACTCAAATCGTGGAAAGACGTAAGAAACGGCAGGAAAGGTCCAAAGCACTCTCCAGCATAGTCCAACAACCTCCAGGATCTCATGAACCAAACGAACTACACTGTAGACTTCCAGGAAGAGTTGTACAGACAGAGCAAGGAAGAGTTGCAGCAGCTAGACGAGGCATCAGACGAAATGGAAGAAAGTGAGGACTACGTGAGCGACGTGGAGGGACAGACGGAAGGCGAATGGGAGGCTGTAGCTGAAGTGGAGGAACAGTATGGAGTGCTGGAGAGGGATCTGGTGCAAGTACAGCCGGATCAATCGTCAGACGGAAACACATCGGACACGCTAGAGTCATCAGAGGTAGAACGATCGGAGTCGGAGAAACGCCAAGAGATAGATATCAGCCAACAATACCTACCACGGCCGCGACCAGCAGAATCGGAAGCAGCAAGGCAGAAAAGGAAAGCGACGTTTGTAGAGGAGGAAATGAGGCAGTATCTACACTTGGACGCAGATCAACGGCGGATAAAGGAGGAAGACATCAACGCGGCATTACAACTCAAGGAGAAGACGAAGGAAGCAGAATAGTACGCAAACGAACGCTGCAAGAAATCCAAAATGCAGAAAGAATTGAAAGATCGCGAACGTAAGGAGTGGAACAAGCTGACAAAGGAGCAGAAGGACCAAAGAAAAAGAAAAAGAAAAAGAAAAAGAAAAAGAAAGAAAAAAAGAACAAAGAAAAGAAAAAGAAGACAAAATGAGGAAGAAAAGGAATGAAAAGAAAAAAAGAAAACAAGAACGGGAAAGGATGGAAGCAGCGCAGAAGAGCGAGAGAGAAAGGATACGACGAGAGTAAGAGGCCAGCATACAGCGGGTCCAGCGACTAGTCCAGGGACGCAACAAATACCGCAGGCAACTGAAGCAGGCAGCCGTCAAAAGACGTCAACAGCGACACTAGCTGCGGGTCAAGGAGACAGCAAGAGCAATTTGAAAGGAACGTCGCACGGAACTGCGAGGCCGCGCAGCACTCGTCGGAGCCGAGCTAGACACGCGGCTTCGGTGTATCGCTCACGAATGCATGTATGCGACCCCAACACCACGGTACAGCGCACTTCCAAGTGATATAGAACAGCACGGTAACGACACCTTCGGCGTTGAGGTACCAAAGCGGGCCAGGGATCTCATAATGGCGCAAAGGGCACGAATCCAAGGCCGAAAGAGCGTAGTTCTGTACTCGGACGGATCACTGGACCACGCAGGGAAAGCGGACGTGAGTATAGCATTCGGTGTAGTGGTAAAGGACAGCAATAATCAGTATCCAACAGCGGCGTCAGGCAGAGTTGAAGGACTCGCGTCGTCAACAAAAGCAGAGCTGGCAGGACTTTTCGCGGCAATCTTGGTCAGCCCCCGTAACACCCCGACGATAGTTTATATCGATAACTCGACAGTAGTACCGCAGTTCAAAGCATTAGTGGAGGAAAGGGACCGATGTACGGAACGACAACGCGTAAGATCATCGTACGCGACTTGGTGGGCGGCAGTCCACCATGCATTCGTCCAGCAGGGCAGAAGTGTCAAAGTCGCTTGGATCAAAGGACACGCTGGTGACAGTGGCAATGAGGCTTCAGACAAAGCAGCGAAGGAAGGTCATTTATCGGAGCTATGGAGTCTCAAGGAAGATGAGCACAACGATCTTTTGTGCCACGCAATGATCAATGACACCATTGTGGAGGATGACATGCGACGAGTGCTGAAGCGTCAGTCGGTAATCCGGAACAACACGGTGTGGACCAAGCAGAATAGGATAGCAATGTATATTCCAGGCTGGCAAGCGGTGGATTGGAAGGCGACTTTGAGTATTGTTCACGACGGGCAGACACCAAGGAGTCTCTTCACCAGCCCTGCAGACTGTCAAAAACGTGCACATCGAACGAAAAAATACATGGCATGCTCCCGACACTGTCATACATGAGGAGCTGGCGGCCAGATCTGTATGACACCGACATTTGCAGGATGTGTGAGCTGGAGGTCGAGGACGTTGAGCGTATATGGACATGCGCGACCTCTAGGGGCGAACAGTTGGAAGGCTGGAACAAGGCAGTGGAAAAAGTAAATGGGAATGGACAACGCGCTTGGGCAAAGGAGAGAAAGCAATGGCAGGCGAAGCAAAAGAGCGAGGAGGGCCGAGGACAGCAGCCAAGCACGGAGGAAGGACCGCAGTTCACCGCACTGGCAGAGGCGACCATCTGGAGGATGCTTGAGAGCAAGATCAAAGGAGCGACGACCATCCGGTACGCGGACGAAAACCTCGACGAGGCAGACGAAAGCAGGCACAGCAATGAAGCAAGTTGGACCGTTCAAGCTTTGTACCATGGGCTGGTGCCAAAGGACTTTACTACGGAATGGGCAAAAGCGTTCAAGACGTCAAAGTCAGTCGCAAGGTACATGGTCGCACGCTTTGTCAGGGCCATCGAGGAGCTAGGACGGACTGAGATCTGGAATAGACGTTGCAAAGTCGCCGTGGACTAGGAGAGAGAGCGTGGAATCACCTCTGTGAGCAAACGCGCCAGGACGCACTTGTGCTGGAGGGCACAACCGTAGCAGAAGTGATTTCATGGGACCAACCCATAGACAACGACCCGCAACAGACGTGGAAGCGATCAGGACAGAGGCGGACAAGCGCCTAGTACAGAGCTTTTGCCAGCAGCTGGAGCTGACTCTGATGGAGCGGCTAGGTGGATGCAAGTTTTTGATGACAGTGGATACTGGCTAAAGGACGACCTTCGTGCACAACAGGCCAAGTAGGGAGCAGGGCTCTTCGAGTCACCACTCATGCTGACGAGGATTGTGAAAGGGACCTGGCAGCAAAAGCTGTTTATTAGATACCACTTTTCTTTACGTCTCTAGCAATAGGGGTCCCTAGAGCATAGTACCACGCCAATAAAGCCCACACGTCCCTATGGGTCCTAGTTATCAAAAAAAAAAAAAAAAAAAAAAAAAAAAAAAAGCGTCTATCGGAACAAATCCCATGCCTATGAAGATCCTTGTTAATAGAAATAAAATAAAAGATGGGACCTGTGCGTCTGGCCTTTGCGCGACAGGTCATCCACAAGTTTGACAGCTTTATTGAGATACAGGCTACGGAGCTGATCGCGACCACTGTTTGGGAGCGAGAATATGTAATTACAGTCAAGATGAAACGCGCAACATATAAGGCCCTCGAGGAGGCTAGAGTATGGGCAACGAATACATTTGCGACACTGACCACCATCCTTGTGGTGAGTTGCTCGCCAATCATACAAACGGGGGCTGCCCTGGACCCGCGCTGGATCCTGATGCTGCGGATCGGACGCTATTGGACTGCCTACAAGGGAGGAGGCGGTTGACAATCATGGAGGGGATGGGGAAGATACTCTTTTTGTAACACGTAGTCTTCAGCTTAACACAATGATGAGGTGTAGCAGTTGTTGCGCAGGTCCTAGGGGTAGGCCCAGGGAATGTAGCCTGCCTTTTGGCGGCTGTGGATTGGCTGTGCTTTGGTGGGAAGGAGAACTGTAGTAGAGGAAAAATTGTTATAAAAAAAAAAACAAGCCCATTCCCCGATCTACGGCCACTTAGTATTCGCTTGCTTGCATTTAAGGATGTATTCGAGCCTGAGCTGCTGCTGATAGGACATTAAATGATCGCTCAAGTAATGTGGTTTTCAACCGTAAGGAAAGATGCGAACGGTTTTACTTTACAACCATAGTTTCCAGTTGCTGGAGTGTGGTTTATCTTTGTCAGACCTGAGATGAGAATACAAAATGGGGTCGCAACAGCGACTTCGGCATTGTGTATGTCAAAGGATGCGAAGATGAATGTCGCTTTTCATACGAACGCCACGGGTTGTCTTTAGAGGTCATTGCCATCCTTCAATATGCCTGTCTTGACGAAAAGATGGCCGTTATTACAAAGAGCTCCTGCTATCGCATAACCTTATTAAACTGAAAAGATAGACCACTTGCTTGCGCTGGCGTATTTGCGGTGTCTGCATTGTACAATGCAGCAGTTTAACCATATATCAGGAAAGCAAGGAAGGATGGACAGATGCGCGCTCGCTAGGAAAAAAAATTAGAGACGCGTCCAGTTGACCAATAGGCGAACAACACAATGGAAATCTACACTCGCTCTTCCTCTCGCCGAACCTTCATGAAAATAAATAATAGACTACGAAGGGAGCAGGACCCTCTGAGCCGCTCTCGCATTGATGCAAGACAGAGACTATGCCAGAGAGCACCAACCTTTACTGTCGTGGAAGATAAAACGGCCGACAATCCTGTGCGTGTATCAAGTCCTCATTTTTAATGCGGTACCAACTCTTGGGTTCGCTGCTCGCAGTATCTTTCAGTCTGGACAAAATAGAAGCAACTCCACGGATGCCGAAGAGATCTACACAGCAAGCGGCGATTTCTGCAGCACACGCTCGTTTGTATCCCTGGATCAACATTAGTGAGTTCTCGCTATGACACTAGGAGGCAATCTGATGGCTTTTTCTGCCACCAAGAAATATCAACGTTCCTGTATCCATGCAAAAGCAAAGAGGGCCACTCCCTCTAGGCTATGTTAAGGCAGCGTTCACTGCATCAAAGGGTCCTCCCTCCATCTGCCCATCCATTTCCTCCTCCCCCCTTCTCTCTCTGGTTCGTCTTGCCCCTCCTTCTCACTAACACAGACTTGCCCTTTCCCAAACTCCCGCTGCAACACCCCCCTGTCTTGTTCGATCTCTATCATTTTTTTATGCCGGTGTAGTCTCACATTCGTAATGGCATGTCTCGAAAGAGTTCGTTCGAGTTCGCCATTTCACGCGTCATTGCACCCTCTCATTAACCTGCTTCTCCCTAATTGGTTCGATGCCGAATGTGTCCAGTATCAGAAAATTAAGTCCAGGATATGGCAACACGAAACGAGTTCTGGTGGGAATATTGGAAAATAAAGTGTAACTTGCGCCCCTTTCCTTTTTTCTTTGGTTGCATCTGGTATATCGACGACGATGTTCCTGCCTTTGTTCAAAAACGACAGTTATCAGATTAGGCACTATTAGATTGTTCGCTGCATAATGCTGTGGTATCGTCTCTCGACCCTCCATTTCATTCCATATTAAACCCAGTTGCGCAATGCGCTGTATACCTAGGGGACGATAGATGCATACATTCAGACCATTGTGCACACAGTCAAGGCATGCCTCGGGGGCTATATTGCTGTTTTCACTTTTCATGAGACAACGGGGGGCAAACGTACGGTTTTATTCAATATTGCTCTCGTTCTCGTCTCTCTTTCTCTCTTTTTTTTTTTTTTCGTCTGCCTGTGCGCAAGGATCCACGCATCATCATTCTTTTTCATTTGTTACGGGTTAACAGGGCCATCTACCCACTGCCTTGGTACTTCTTTTGCTGTTGTTGTTGTTATTGTTGTCAGCTGCAGTCTCGAGCGCCTCACGTTCTGCCTTGCTTATTCAGAGTGGCGCGTACTGAATGTCTTGCATGGCCATCTGCGTGTATCTATGTATTATTACCGGGATGGGCTACTGTGTATGCATATCGCATGCCATAGTTACCAGAAAAAAATCTTTGACGAGATGCGGAGGAGTGGGATTTTTCGCCATTCGCAGCATACCAGGACGAAACACACTTCCCGCGCTGACGTTCAGTTGAGTCGATAGCGATCTCTTATCAAGCGCAGC